GAAGACGACTACTACTACTATATATATATATATATATATATATATATAAAGAAACCCCCGTGATGACACGCAGACACACACGTACACACGCTTGGGAGCAGAACTTGCTTTACCAAAGCAATGTCTCACCCCTCGTCTTCAGCCTCCCACAGACACAATGAAGACAGGTTAGAAAGAGAGAAAAAAAAGTTAAGTGTTTAATAGAAAAGAGAAAAAAGAAAAGCCAATAGTTTTAGTAACAACAACAACAAAAAACAAAAGCACAAACGGTCAAATGAGCTAGCTCCTTTTTTTCCCCTTTCTTTTCTTCTTCCTCCAAAGTGCACCACTGATGCAGCCTGACGGCAAGAGGAAAAGAAAATACCGTTCCAGCAATTCCAAAAGGAGAAAAATAGAAAGGCGGCTGGGAACTTGCGACGCCCACGCGGAAAAAATAAAGCAAAAGAAAGTGAGGGGTAATGGTATCACTGAATAAAGAAAGGGGGTACACAGCCAGCGTTGCAGTTGGCTCTACAGGCAACGAAGAGAAGAGAAAAATAGTTGAGAAAAGAGACAGCGTTGCTCGGCGTATAGGCCACGAAGCCCGATGGAAAAGGCTAAAGACTCTTTCGTGTGTTGATTTTTTTATTTTATTTTGATGATTGAGACGCTGCTTTCGTTGCACACACACACACACACACACACACACAATCAAACAAGAAAGAAACGCAGCTGTCTGCGAGGACTATGTACAGTAGAGACAAATACTCAAGGAGTGCTCTGAGAGAGAGAGAAGAGGAAAAAAGGAAAGTGAATGGGGGAAAAACAAAAAACCACTGGTAGAAAGAGAGGGAAAGTAAATTTATTACTTCACAGGTTAAAACGGGTGCCAAAGAAGAAGAAGAAGAAAAAAAGTGGTGTGTAAAACCACTTCAAAGAAGTACAACTGCGCGTTATCGGCTGCAGAACTGGGGGAAAAAAAAAGCAAGCCTCTTAATAGTTATAATTCCGCAGTTCCGGGAACAAACACTATTCAAAATAACGCTTGCTGAGCACTATAAAGAAGAAGGAAAAACCTGAAGAAGAAGAAGACAGGTGGCCAGTGAAGACAAAAAACAAGGGAGGTCGGTCGACTATTTACATATATATATTTCCCTCTTTTCGTTTGCTCCGTCTCTCTTGTTGTATCCGTGCGAGCGCGTCTTTTGCGCACCACCGCGTATGGATTTACTTCCTCAGTGTTTCTTTTTTGATTTGATTGATCGGAGGGGGGAGGGGGGGAAGTGGGAGGGGGGGAGGTAAGCAGAGGGTGTTCTAGCTTGTCTGCTTGTTCGCTTGCTTGTCTGTTGATTATTCCTTTTTTAAACAGCAACAATAAATGAATAACAAAGAAATATTATTGACGGAGGGAGAAGACAAACAAACAAAAAGATTGTATCAAAGAACTTCACGTTTTCTTGCTCTTACGAAAAACACCAACAATAATAATGAAGGAAAAAAAAGATGATACTTTAGTACGTTAAGTTTCCCCTCCTTTCTTCCCTCTCCTTTCGTTCCTTTGAATTATTATGACACTGATCGGTTTGGCAAAAAGAGGAAGGGGAAGGAAAGAAAAAAAAAGAATACCCGCCACTACAAAAACGGGAAAGGAGGCAGAGAGAAAGGACAACAACAAACACAAATGGAAAGAATTTTTTTTCTTGTTTATTTTTATTTTTAGAGAGAGAAACGAGAGAATTGATTCGATGATGCGTGGTGGAAAAGGAGAATTTTTTTTCCAAAAACGAAGCAACAACAAATATATATATATATGTTGAGCTGTTCTATCTTCCTTTCTTCCTTTTTCCCCTAAGTTTTTTTTTTTTGTAAGCGTCTTATTACTCACTGTAGTGGTAATGCGTTGAGGCGCGTGGGTGTTAGAACCGTTTACGAGCCGTTTCCGATTATTATCGTTTCGTGTGTGTGTTTTGTTGTTGTAGAAGAAAGCAAAGAGAGACAGAGTGAGAGAGAGAGAGACAGAGATGTTTGTCACGACGTTCGTGGAAGCAGGAAGAAGAAAAACAAAAACAAAAACAAACTATTGAAAAAAACCCAAATCGCGCGAGGGAAGGTTCTATTCAAAGCGGCGCTTTAAACAGGCTGAAGTCTTTCCTCTTCTTCTCTTTTCGTATTTCCGAGAGAGGGAGAAAACATGACAACAAAAAACAAGAACACCTCGTGGCGTTGCGTCTGAACGCGAAGAAGCGGCGCTTTGTTTTCTCCTGTGCGCGTGCGAATTTGAGTTTCTCCCTCACTCTCATTATTACTACTACTATTATTACTATTGTTGTTGTTGCGTTGGCGCGCTGTTGTGTAATGAGAAATCAAAAAAAAAGAAGAAGAGAAAAGAGAAATGACCGCGAAGACCCCTCTCCCCTCCCCCCAATTCTTCCGCACAGCGATTATGGTCGAACAGGAAAGGTGGTGTGTTATGGTGTAACAGACGGTCAGCGTTGCGGTGGCGTGCTCCATTGACTACCGCGCATGTTTATTTTTTCAATTGTTTTTTAATATTCTTAAAGAAAGTAATAAAGAGGAATGCAAAGCGAGACAAAAACAAAGAAAAGCATTAGCGGACGCAAACACACACCATTGATGAACAACAACAACATCAAAAAAGGAAGGAAGAGGAAACCAGCAAACACCCCTGGCCTTGCGTCGCGCGAAGTAGTATACATACGACTGTGGGGGTCCTTCACCATCATCACCGTTACCGCCAAAAGAGCTGTGTGCCTTCGACAACGTGAATCCCTCCCCCCAAAAAAGCCACAACGGCCGCCGCCGTGGCGTACATAAGACAATCGAAGGAGGAAAGAAAAACTGACGGAGTGAGGGGGGAGAAAACAGAAGAGGGAGAGCGCGCGCGTGCGTCGCACGCCTCTGTGCGGTCCATGAGAACCTCCACAACATACCAGGGGGGGGGAGGGATGGGGGAACAAGCAAGAGAAGAAAAAGCTGTGCACATGAGGACGTCAGCAGATCATCCTGATTGAAGGGGAGCAAACACAAATCCGCGAAGAAGAATCATCGACAGCAATAGCGATGACATCACTTTGTTCTGCAGCGTCCACATCAATGGGGAAGAAAGAAGAAAGAAAAACCCCACCGGTGATAAACGCAGCTCGCGTGCAAACGAAACAATATTTAGTCCCCCCCCTTCCCCTTTCGTCTCTCTTTCGCTGTGTCTTGCTACCCGTCTGAGCGAGGGACGCACAGCACTTCCCGGATAATGCGCGAGCAGCAGTTCGTCATCAACGGGCTCTTCGCCACCGCGGAGGTCATGAAGCCACGTGCCATGCTCACCCACAACTCCTTGTTCTTCTCCCCGACGTCGTCGCGCCGGGCCGAACCCCAGGCGAGATCGTTGACGAGGTACAGAAAAAGGTATTCCCGCCGCGAGGGCAGCTGCGCGTAGAGCTGCTCCAGCGATAGCGTGTCAGACGCCGCGCGCTGCCCGTCACCTTTGTGCTGCAGTTGCTGTTGGCTGCGATACCCCTGCAGGCGGTCATGCACCGGCACGTTCACGGACATCAGAATGTTGGGCAGCATCCCGCTGACCGACGCCCCTCGTCCGCCATTGCCAGCCGTTCCAGACGAGAGCTGACTGCGTCGGAAGGTGCTGCCGCGTCGGTTGTGCAGCTCGATGAGCTTCATGTACTCGTTCATTCCAGACGACATGTGCGAGGTGTTGAAGGACTTCTCCCGTGGATTGGAGCTCGTTGGGAGGGAGGTGCTATCGCCCGAGTCGTGCACACGTGGCTGTCGCCCGATAGACATCTGCGACTGCGCTAGTCGGCTCCTCTCTGCGGTAGCCGCCGCCGGCTGCTGCTGCTGCTGCTGCGTGCCCATCGGCTGCCACAATCTATCCTCCTTCATCTCGTCCAGCAGGCTGTGCATCACCGGGAAGACGTGGGCGTCGCCGTACGCCACGCCGCGCGACTGCAGGAAGGCGACGTACTGCTGCTCCGTCATGGTTAAGATCTCGTACGCAGAGTTGAGGACGAGGGCCGGGTTGAGCAGGTTGCCGTCTGCCGGCTCCAGCCACATAAAGCTCTTAAACGAGTAGTCGCCGCTGTTGAGGGCCTTCTTCATGAGCAGAAAGGCCAGCGGGGCAATGGGGGCGCTGAAGTACACACCGTTCACGATCGCGTTGCTCAGGAGCACGCCGATAGAGAAGAAGACGTTGTGCAGCTCCTCCTCGGTGTTGCAGAGGATCCCGCTCGGCCCTTTCGAGAGCGCGGACCCGGACAGGTAATTTCCGCTAGAGTTGGTGCGGTTGAAGCCGCCACTGCTCCCGCCTCCCTTGTCACCGCGGTTCACAATGGCCTCAATCAACCGGGGGTTCGCCCAGCACGCGGCGTCGCTGTCGGGGCTGATGAACGTGAAGACGCTCATGGACGCACGCTCGTGCCCAATCGTCAAGATTCGCAGCGGCAGCGACATGGGTATCTCCGGCGCCGCGACGTGCAGAACGACTTCATTGCGGTACTGCAGTTGCTCCTGCTGCTGCTTACTGCTGCCGTTGACGGAGGCGGCGCCGGACTTGACGGACGCACTCATGCGACGTGTGCGATGCACGAGTTGCATGCTGGGCAGCACATCGATCACATTCCAACGCACCGCCAGCCGCCGGCTCGCCTTTTCCTTCACCCCGAGGAACTCGTGCATGAGGCCCTGGTACATGCGCGTCTTCTCCATGGCGATGCCGCTGTTGACGGAGGAGTTGGCAGCGTCTTCGTCTGTGCCCTCGTAGCCCGCATCGTAGTTGCTGCTGTGTGCGCCAGCATGATCGCTCGGCGTCGCACCTCCGATGCGGCCTGAAAGACCCGTTCCCGCTGGCCGTGCTGCGCTGTCCTGCGGCATGGAGTCGTTCACCCTCATGGTGTGTGACCGCGGCGACGGGGGGATGAGTAGGCGGCCGGTGCCGCCGTCCGGGCTTCTGGCGCCGCTGGTGGTGGTGATGGGATGCAAGCTCCTGTTCGCAGCGGAGCCGCCGTCCGCCCCGGCGGTGATGCCGCCATCTTGACTGGGCCGCGTCGCGCCAGTGAAGTACCGCGCCGCACCTGGCGGGTTCAATGCACCTGCGCTGCTGCTGTTCCTCTTGTACATATCGCCCGAGTTGCCCGGCGATGCCGCCGACGCTGAGACGCGCTCCGCCATGGCAGACACGATGTCGCCCGCGCAGAAGGTGACGAGGGGCTCCGCGGAGGTCCAGCGCACCACCAAGAAGCCCTCACTCGGCATCAGCTTCGGCACGGTTTGGTGCAGCGCCAGTGCGATGTCCGGTCGCCGTGCCTGCACCTCGTGCTGGGAGTGCAAATACGAAACCGACACTGACGGCGTCAACTCCGTCGCGCGGTGGCGGCGCAGGGTGGCCTCGTTGCTGCAGCGCATGTACAGCTGCGTCTGCGGGTTGACGCAGGTGTAGACGTCGATGTCACGGTCACCCTCCAGCAGTGTACTGCACGAGGGCGACGCGCTCGATGAGGAGTTGGATAGCTGATCGTCCAGCAGCGAACTCTTCAGCTGCCCTGGTGCGTTACTAATGTTATTATTGTTGCTTATGCTGTTCGCTTGGCGGGTGATCGACTTGGGCGGTGACGTCTTGGGCGATGTTGCGCTCGTCGGCGAGCCCGGATTCACCGCCGTCATGTACTGGTACCTGTCCTTGGCGGGCGGGGAGGCGTTGCTCTGCCCCACGGCTACGGGGCTGAGCGAAGCTGGCATCACCCGCGGCGCGCTGCTGCCGTTCACGCTCGTCGACAGCGGGGAGGCGCGGTCAGACCGCACGGAGTCAGACGCGTTGATCGTGTCCGCGAGGCTCGTCGGCGCGAGCAGCGAGGTCGGCCCGGCGGCTTTGGCGGGCGGCGGCGGCGGTACCACGGACGCGCTCATCGAGTTCAGCTCGCTGTCGCTGTCCTTCTCGGTGTAGCCCACCGTCAACGCCGGCTCAAAGAAGTAATTTGCAATGTCCACGCGGCCCTTCCCCTTCGCCGCCTGCAGCGCCGTCGCGAAGGACAGCAGCGTCATGTCCTTTTGAACGGTGAGGGGCACCCGCTGGATGGGGGACACCTGGGCTGCGTACAGGTACATCAGCACCCGCTTGCCCTCCGCGTTGACGGCGTAAAACGGGAAGAGCGGGAACCACTCCTTAAACTGCTGGGGGCAGGCGCTGCCGCACGGCAGGGCACCGACGGCCTGGAAGAGCTGCCGCATCACGCCGCAGCACTCGTCGAGCTCGACGTAGGTCAGCGGCTTGCCTTGGTGCTTCTGGGCAAGGATGCCGTGGTTCGACATGATCGGCATCCCCATCATACACGCCACCCAGCAAATGCGGTTGAGGAGCGGCACCTCCAGCATGTTGCTGATCGCTACGTCGTCGGTGACCTGCGAAATGCCACCCGGCACCCGCCGATCATCCGCGACGATGCTGCGCTGGCCACCGCCGGTCAAGAACATCATCTTCAGCACCATCCCACTCAGCAGCCGCGTCACATCGAAATCGTCGTGCTCTTCGGGCGGCGCAATGGCCTCCAAGTACGCGAAAACATTCGGGTACCGCTTCCGCAGCTTCTCCATCTTGGCCTGGTTCTCCTTCTTAAAGCGCTTAATCAGCAGCTTTGTCAGCACTGCAAGAGACATCTCGTCCGTGATGGCGTACCGCTTCAGCTCCTCCAAGTTGTCGGTGTGCTTGCCCGCGTAGGTGTGAATGGTCGCCTCCTTCCGCCCGATAAGCTGCTCGAGGGTGATGCCCTTCTGCGCTGCTTTGGCGCGGTTGTCGCGGAAGGCCTGACGGACCCGTAACACCTCCGCGAGCTGAAACATTACCGTCAGCACCATCGACGAGCACGCCGTCGTCACCACCAAGCCGGCGTGGCGCACCGCCGAGTAGAGCTGCCGTGCCGAGTCGATCCTGCTCTCTGCGTTGCCGTTATTGCGCATGCTAAACGACTGCGTAAAGCCCAGCTCGTTGAAGCTCGTGTTCATAAGCCGCTCCGAGTCATCCGGGGCCTCGCCGTTCAGCAGGCGGCGACGAGACTCGAGCGACATAAAGAAGGACATCGTGTCGAGGTCGCCGACTTTCTTTTCCTGGAACGCGATCGGCTCGTACACGACGGGGGTGGAGCTAAGAAGGTAGCTGCTAGGCAGCGACGCCACGACGGAGGTGGGGATGCGGCGGGCGAGGAGGTCGAAGCAATCAAAGCTGGTCGACACGGTCGTCTGCAACCGCATGAGCGAGAGACTGAGCAGCTCTTGATGCTGCACCTCCGACGTCGCCCCGCTCGTGGTGCGGCTGAGGTCTCGCTTGTGATCGGCGCCGCTGCCGCCGAAGCTGTCGCTGTCACCGCCAGGCGCACCATTCGAATGGGCCTCCTTGTGGCGGTGGTACTCCTCCAACAAGGTCTGCAAGGTTCGCTTCTTGTTGTGGTACTCGTTGCTCTCCACCAAGGAGCCGCAGAGGTCCAACAGGCGCTCGCGCAGCTGGTCACTGTACTCCTGCCGCTGCTGGTTCAGCTGAAGCACCTGCTCCCGACTGGGGGAGACGGACATGATGATCTCCTTTTGCTGCCGCGATGAGCGCCAGCGATCCTTGCCGAGCACCGAGAGCATCACCGCGTCCAGGTACCACTTATCTCGCAGCTCGGTGGTCAGGAACGGCGCCCAGAAGCCACGCATGAGGGCGTAGTGCTCCACGGTGAGAAAGCCGGAGGCGATGCACTCCAGCTGTCCTTGACGAGGAAAGAAAATAGAAAGAAGGAGTTCGCGTGCTTCACCCAAGGTCAGCCGCGGCTTCCCGTTTAGCGAGGAGACGTGCGAGACGAAGCTTCCGTTGTTCGAGCCGAACGAGCCGTTGGTGCCGACCCGCGGAAAGCCTGTCAAACGTTGAGGGGTTGGCTGCACCGGGTTTGCCTCGCTGCTGACCGTGACCGACACACGCCGAGGGCGGGAGCCTTCACCAGCGTTGCCCGTCTGCACCGACTGCAGCGCGGACGACGGCGGTGGAGGCTGGGGAATGGAGAAGCTGAGGGGGAGGTTGCTTCGCTCGTCGTCGCGGTCGTCGCTGGTGCGACCGTGCGTACTATTCCTGTGTCTGTTGCTTCTGCTGCCACCGCCGCCGCCGTTACTAGTTGTGTGGCTGTACCCGACTTGGGCACGTGTGGCGGCCGCGTGAGCCTGAGAGGATGCGTTGGAGGGCCGCTGCAGCGGGTTGCGGGCGGTGGCATCGCTTCCCGCGTCACCATGCGCGATGTCCGACCGGTGGTCACTACTCGCATTACCCATTTGCTCTAAAAGAAAAGAAAGAAAAAACAAAAGAGAAACGAAAACAGGACTCAGACGAGAAGAATGATGATGATGACGATAATAATAATAATAAGGTAAAGCGTGCTGTCGAGGTAAGACCGCCGTGCGACCTCCCGCGTGTGTGCGTCGGAGTCGCTTCGGGGACAGCCACGCAACACAGAGTTTCTTGCTCTTTCTTTGCTGGAAAGAGCAACACAAAGTCTCTTGGCTAAAAAGGAAAAAAAGAAATGAAAGGAAGGAGACGGAAACGTGTGGCGCGACCGCACGGCGGCGAGGTGAAGGTGAAAAGGGAAAAAAAATGCCAACACGCAAGCAAGCAAACAAAGAGACCACAAAACAACAACCTTCCGCGGTAAATGCGGAAGACGTCAACGTTGCCGACAACGTACCAGTGGTGCAGAACAGGGAAGTAGTGAAAAAACAACAACAACAATAATTAAAAGAAGAGACTGATGCAGCAGGAACTGAGACACAACGAGCAGGCTACAAAAATTACAGGAAATTATAGCGGGCAGGCTCGCTGCAACCGAAACGAATGTGCTAATGAAGAAGAGAAAAGAGCTGAAGAGAGAGAGAGAGAGAGAGAAAGAGAATGAACACTAGAAATAAAACACTGCGGACAGCGGAAAGTGACGAACAGCACATAAAACCTGAAAACAATAAAACAGATCTTATGAAAAGCTTTTGAAAAAGATTCCAGCGATGGTAAAACAATAACAACAGCAGCAAGCGCAGCACACGCCCGCACATCCACAACTGATGGCGAAAACTGCACTGGCAAATGAATTAGACGAGTGAAAAAAGGAAAAATATGTTAATAACCAATAAAAAACAACAACATAAAAAGATGAATTTTACGTACTACCTCTGTCAGGTAAGAATTTTCTTTCTTGTTAATTTGTCGGTTATTAATGAAGACGGTGGAGCTTGACCCACACACACGCACACACACGAAGATATAAGAAGAAAGAAGAGGAAGTAAAAAAACATAGACACGACACAACAGTACTTTCAATACATGTACATGGACCCTTGGACGTACGTGTGCACACACGCAGATAAATCGAGTGAAAAACAAACAAAAAACAAACAAAGCCGAGGAAGTAGAGACAACAAGACGAAGGACCAACCAAAAGCGCTTCCCCTTTCCTCTTAACCGACGCACTTCGTACTAGTCCCGTTGAAGTAAAGCCGAGAAGGAATATACCAGTTATGCTCAATAGGAGCTTCAATCCTTCACAAATAATAATAATAATAAATATGTTTTATTAGGCGAGAGCAGATGCTGGCGTCAGAGAAAACGACGTTTAAAAGGAAAAAAAGAGAGAGGAATCAAAGTACGCGTTTTTGTTACTTTTCCTTAGGATTAAAATCGCCACGAGCGTCACGCCTGCTTTTTCAAACGGCACGCACACACACGTAATCCGACAAGAATATCAAAGAGAGAAAGATAGAAGGGGAGAATGAAGACACCCGCGCACGGACACACACACGCACACACACACACACACACGCACACACACACACACACACGCAGGCAACAAAAAAAAAGGCAAGCAGACCACCAATAATAGTAATAGTAGTAGTAATAATAGTACTTTACTCCGTTAATAGCGACGCTTTGCTCGTATCCTTCGTTTCAACACCTTTCGCGTGTTTGTAGGTTTTTTTTGTTTCTCCTTCTGCGTTGACCAACACGAGTCGGACCGTGCGGCGCCGGTAGTGGAAGAAGATATGTAAAGAAGAAAAGATGTCAAAAAGATGCAGATGAAGACCAGGTAACGTAAATCGCAGCAGCGGAACTAGCAGCGCTCGAGCACTCTTGTCTCCAAACGCTCTCCCTCTCACCAACCAACCAACACACACACACACACACAGTCGTGGACCTTCGGCGCTCCTTTGCTTTTCTTTTCCCTCCTCGTTCGAGAACGAAAAAAAATGACGGCGTGCACTGCACCCATGCAGTGTGGTCCTCTTCCTCTCCTACGAGTTTCGATGCTTATCAGGACTACGTCGCAATACACACCTAACACCCTTTCGTAGCCACGACGAACGAGAGCGACGTTTCCTCCTTCCTTTCTTCCTTGAAAGCGTGAGGATGAATGAGGCGGCAGCAGATCAGAGAGAGAGAGAAGGAGAAGGAGAAGGAGAAGAAGGCTAAAAACAAAAACAAAAGAGACTCAACAGGGAAACTTCAGCTTTAATAATAGTAATAGTAATATAAAGCGCTGAGTAAGAGAAAGAAGCAAGGTTTGGCGGCGAGTGTCACCGCGTTGTGTGTTCAAGGGTTTCTTTGAGTAACATGAGAGGAAGGAATGAAGAAAGAGAGAGAGAGAGAGGAGAAGAAGATAGGAGAGACGGAGGATCGGCTCTCAAGTTTTTCTTAATTTCGCCGTGGACTTTGCTGTGAAGGGCACGAAGAACGAAGAACAACAGGGATAACATAAAGAGAAGCAAAAGCTTAGCTCAAACGGGAGCAACGACAGCGGTGGGGCGTTCGATGGGTGCGAATCAGTGCTCTGTCGCAGTACAATAATAATAATATTAATAGTAACAATAGTAATAGTGACAAAAAAAAACCCGGTTCGATATAGCTCCTAGCTGCGACAAGAGGAGGAGAGGAGAGAAGAGGAGAGAAGAGGACAAGTGACGGCAACCAAAACCAAAAACCGGTACACACTACGCACACTCAAACATACACACACGGAAAGGTGCGGTCGTTGACGAATACCTGTTGGTGAGAGGCGGTACATTCGAAAAGGGGGAGAACCGCGTGAATCCCACGTACACCTCACCCTTCGCAGACAAACCGTCTGCCGTAGCGCGGAGAAGAGAAGCTGGAGGCAAGAAAAAAAGAAGAAGAAGCGATTGCGCTAGATGGCGCATTCCCGGAGAGGTGGGTCGCTCGCTCTCTCTCACCTGTCCTTCCGTGTTCTATTCGGGTGTTCGTTGGTGTACTCACCGCATCTCATGGCGCGACTGCCAGACAAGCCGGGGAGCCGGCCTCCCTTGCCCAACTACATCCAGTTTTTGTTTTCACTTTCTTCAAGGAGCGCCTCTATTCTCCCAAGTCAGCCACACCACAAACATGCACACACGCACCCACACTAGCAACAAGAGAAGAAGCAACACCACCGCACGCAGCACTTCCTTTTTGGCAAAAAAAAAAACAGCTCAGAGGAAACCGAGAAGAGGAAAGGAAGTAAGAGGGGCGAAGACGAATGCAAATGACATTCGGGGGAGTGCCCAACGACGGCAACCCCCCCCCCAAAAAAAACGATAATAATAATAGTAAAAAAAGAAACGGTATACTGGTAGTAGCAACAACGGCCACAACGTCGCTCCGCCTAGTATGCTTCGTGCTAGGCTCTACAGGTAGAAGCGGGAGAAGGTGGACTTGTCTTTGCGGTATTGCACGTTCTCTTTTCCCTTGATAAAGTCCGCCTGGCACACCTTCATGCGACGCTCCCGCAGCGCCAGCAGGCCGGCCTCGGTGCAAATCGCCTTCACGTCCGCCCCACTCATCTCATCCTTGGCGTGGATGAACTCGGAGATGTCGACGTCGTCGGCGAGCGACATGCGACTGGTGTGGATCTCAAAGATGCGCCGCTTCGTCTTCTCATCCGGGAAAGGGAACTCGATTTTGCGGTCAATACGGCCGGGGCGAATCAGCGCCGGGTCCAGCGTGTCAATGCGGTTGGTGGCCATAATCACCTTCACATCATTGTTGCTGTCAAAGCCGTCCAGCTGGGTCAGCAGCTCGAGCATCGTGCGCTGCACCTCCTTCGTGCCGCTGCTGTCCGTGTCGTACCGCTTCGTCCCGATCGCGTCGATCTCGTCAATGAAGACAATCGAAGGGGAGTGCTCCTCCGCTACACGGAACAGCTCCCGCACCAGCTTCGGACCCTCACCCGAGTACTTCTGGATCAATTCGGAGCCGACAACACGCAGAAAGGTGGCGCTGGTGCGGTTCGCTACGGCTTTCGCCAGCAGCGTCTTGCCGGTGCCGGGCACACCGTACAGGATGACGCCTTTCGGTGGCTTGATTCCGATTTCGTCGTACAGCTCCGGGTGCGACAGCGGAAACTCCACTGCCTCTTTGATCTCTTGAATTTGCTGCTCCAACCCACCAATGTCCGCGTAGGTGTCCTCCGGCGCCTTGTCCACCTTCATCACGCTCACAAGCGGGTCGACGTCGTCCTTCAACACACCGACGATGCTGTGCTGACGATCGTGCAGGAGCACACTGCACCCGAGCTCCAGCTGCTCCTTGTCCACGAAGGACATGAGTGGCACGTAGTATTCAGTGCCGGCGATAGAGACGATCGCGTGCGAGTCGTCCACCGCCTCCTCGAGCGTCGCCACCTCCAACGGTGTGCCGCGTATGTCCTCCACGCGCTTCAACTCTGCCTCGTAGTGCCCCATCGCACCCTCCTCCAAGTTCGACTGGGCGTCGCGCTGGGCGTTGATCGTTCGCAGGAACTCCTCCTCGAGAAGGAGGTAGTCCTTGCACCGCTCCAGGCGGTACTTGCGCAGCACGCAGGCACGGTTCGGGTACACCTTCGGGATGCGCGTGGCGGCATCGGGTCCGCGCTTCTTCTTGCGCTTGCCGATCTCTGGCGCTACCGGCGGCTCCCACTTATCGGGCTTGTTGCCCGCCGAGTTCTTTGGCACGTTCTGGCCCATTCTTGACGGTGCTGAAATGCGCGTGCGGGGCCTGCAAAGGGGGAAAAAGGGAAGAAAAATAAGAGAAAAGCACGTTCGCACGCTCGGGGAGGGGTTCGTTTGATGCCTTCCGTTTTTTTTTTTCGCTCTTCGGTGGCTGCGTACGCCGCCGATCCGCTCCCTTTTTTGAGGTGGGGAGGAGCGGCCGAATGAAGCGATGCAGAGAAGGCTTAGGCAACGTGGAGAAACGCGGTGGCAGCGGAAATGCCGACAACGGCGATCGTCACTGCACCGACGAGTGAGGGGGAGACCCAATGGCGGAGTCACAGCAACAACACACACACAGACACACACGCAAGTTGTAAGCGGTTAGCAATACAGCGACGTGTATTTTTTCCTTCGTTCTTCCCAACCGCAAAACACCACCTCACTTTAGAGGAGAAATAAATAGATAATGGAGATGGCGGAACTGCGTGCGTGCGGGAAGAAGTGGAAGTTAAAAGAAATCAAACGACGTAAAGAGGGGAGGGGAGGGAGGAGGCAGGAGAAGTGTCAAAGGTGACAGGACAACGTAGCAACTCAAGCGAGAGAGAGAGAAAAGTAGGAAAGAAGCGCCGCAGATTTGTCGTACCTTCATCGTGCGTAGACGCAAAATCCAACCAACCAAAAATATTAGTCCAGACCGGCCAGCAACGCTGCTCAGGGGGGGGGGGGCCACCTCCACCTCCACCTCCAACGTTCCCCTCAAAAGAGAGGAAGAGCGAGCGAGAGCGGCTAACAGCGTATTACAGCGATTTCGCGGGGAGGCGTACAACACTGGCGGAGCAAATATATATATTAAATATCATTAAAACTAATTCGAAGGCAAAACAAATTGGATCATGTATATATGTACCACCAATAGGTCGAACTCTTGACTCACGCGGAGAGGCTGATTTCGTCGACGACCACGTCACCATCTGCCTCCTGCGCAAGACAACACTGAATTCATATTAATCTTCATTACCATCATTTTCAAAGCACACACACACACACACACCGCATTTCAATCATCCAACAAACAAACAAAAAAACAAAAAAAGCACGTTAAAGCGTTAAATAGATTATTAAAGGAAGAAAGAAATAAAATGACTTCCGGGAAAAAAAATTAGAGGCGACACAATTGTAGTGTCTCCTCGAAGCCCACGCCTACCGCCAACGTTAAGTTGCGTTGAAAACCATAAGCTCAACAACAACAACAAGAAACGACGACGCCAGCTAAATTGTTTAGTTTCGCAGCACTAATACATATGTTTTGCTTCGCCACATCATTCGATTTCTCCCCCTCTAAAAGAAGAGAGAGAAAGAAGAGGAGGAGGAGGGGGGGAGGGGGTAAAACCGTCAAAACGAGAAATAACGCACGCCTGCACCGCATCACAATTCTCCCTCCCCTCCCCCTCCACACACCTGCGCACCACCACAAAGAAACGAGGTAGGCAATTACGATTTAGTTAACAAAAAAGGAAATACGCGCTTCCGCGCCGAGGGGTGCGTTACAACAACGACGCTTGAACGAGTTGGAGCATGCACAGAAAAAACTTCGTTGCAAGTAGATGCAAAAAGACAGCACGTTATGAGGGCAAAGAAGAAGAAACAACTACCCAGAAAACACACACACACACACGAACGTGTTGGATCTCCTTCTCATGCCTTGGGGGCGGGAGGGAAGGCGACGGAGGGCTCGCCCGCCAGCGCCTTGTTGCGTGCCGCCTCGTGCTCGGGGTAGGTAGTGTCGTCGGCGGACATCACACGCACCGTCGGCACACCCGTCAGGCGACTTACGTTGTGCGTGATGTCCGTCAGCATGGCGTAGTCGTCGATCACCGGCTGCTGCAGCATCGCCTGCTCACCGTACTTCTCCGCATTCGCGCGGACAAAGGCCATGAAAGGCATCAGCCCCTTGCTCTTTTTCATGATGGAGCTGTCGCGGGCCACCACCTGCTTCGTCAGGTCATCCGGGAAGCTGTTGCCGTTCTCACGGTAGATGGCCTGCAATATCTCCAGCGCCTCCAGCTGCCAGTCGAGGTACACCGGGCGGGTGTAAATGACGACCTCCTCGATCGGGCCGCGCTTCTTCGCGTTCTTGGTCACCTGCGAGCGGATCTCCTTTATCACGGCGGTCATGACACGGTTCGCCACGATGAGGGAGTAGTCCAGCTCCGCCGTCGGCTTCGGGAAGAGCTGCGTGACGACGGAGTCCTCGTGTTGCAGGACCTTCTGCCAGAGGTGCTCCATCGTGTGCGGTGCCAGCGGCATCAGCATGAGCGCCGTCACCTCGTAATAGCGCCGGGCCACATCCGCGTGCACGTTCAAGTCATCACAGTACATCTTGTACTGGCTGTACTCGTTCGACAGCTCGTGGTAGGCCGTGTTCAGCGCCATGCGGAACTGCATATTGTGGTAGTAGGTCTCCGTCTTGGTGATCATCGTGTTCATGATGTTGTTGAAGATGCGGTCGAACTCGTTGAAGTCGCCGGTGCGCAGGTCGGTGCGGTCCACCGCCTCCTTCGCCTGCTCGAGCAGGGTCGTCAGCTTCAGAATGAAGCCGGCGGCCGTCTCGCGCACGAAGTTGGCGTCATCCAAGCTGTCGCCGGCGTCGGCACACGCAAGACGCGTGGCGTCTGCCCCGTACGTCTCCATCGCCTCCCGCATCGAGATGAAGTTGCCCTTCGACTTCGCCATCTTTTCATTGTCGACCTGGATGTGGCCGTTGCAGTAGATGGCCTGCGGCCACTTGCTCTCGTCGTCGGACCAGATGGCCGCGTGATTGTACAGGAACTCCGTCAGGTGGTTCTGAATCAGGTCCTTGCCGGAGCAGCGGAGGTCGACCGGGTACCAGTAGGTGAACTCGTTGCGCATCAGCTCGAGCACCTTCAGGGGGATGTGCACCTTCGCCGCCACCGCGGCCGCGTCGCCCTTGCCGTGGTAGATGTAGTCGAAGGTGTCATCGGTGAACATCTCCGGCGTCAGACCGTAGGGGTTGTCCGCCTTGCCGGTCAGCCCAATCGAGCCGTCCGCCCCGACGTTGAAGAAGCGGTCGATGGTGTAGAACGCCATGTAAATGGTGGAGTCGGAAAGGCTGTCGATAATCATCGTCTTGGTCGCATCGCACGGGAGGAGAGTGCCGAGGCCGAAGGTGCGGCTGCACGGCCAGTCCGCCAGCCAGTTCAGCGTCTCCTCGAAGGCGTTGCGGATACCCGGGAAGAAGAGGTTCATCCGCTTCAGGTGATCCAGCACCATGTTCTTCCAGTCCTCGCGGCCGTACTCGAGGAACCACTGATCGCACAGCGCCACGACGCACTCGTCGCCGGAGCGGCTCATCACTTGGCGCACCGGCTCGTAGTAGCGGATGCACTGGTCCGCCTCCTCCATCATCGCCTGCATCTTCACCTTTGCCTCGCTCACCTTCATGCCTTTGCAGGGGCCGAGAATCATCACGCCGTGGTAAAAGCCCTGCTGGTAGCACACCTTCTTCGCCTCCTCCAGCAAGTCCGTCGCGTTCGGGCCGTTGATCTTCAGCTTCTCGCACATGTACTTCGCCCCCTCCGTGCCAAGCTCCGGGATGTCAATCAGCGGCACCATCGGACACGACATGACCCACTCATCCTTCACACCGATCTTGGCGCGGTACTCCGGCTTGTTCCACAGCTGGGAGAAGTTGATGTAGTCATCCGGCGAGTCGGACGGGACGGACATCACCACGCCGGTGCCCTTTGACTCCGCGATGGTGCTCATCGGCAGGGTATAGACGGTCTTGTACTTCGCGAACGGTGCGCTCAGCGGCATGCCCACCATGCTCGTCCCTTCCACCTCGAAGAGCGGCTCGGGGTCGCAGCCCGTCTTGCCGTTGATGTAGAAGTCCTGGTAGGCCATGTTGCGCGCCGCGCGGGCGGTCATGATGTAAACCTCGTCTTCGCCCTTCTTGCTGCGCACGTAGTACGCCTTGTAGTTGAACTTGTTGCTCACCCAGCAGTTCGTCTGCCCCGTCACCGTCTCGGGCCGCAGGGTCGCGCCGGGCAGGACGACGTTGCGGGTGCCGATGATGTCCTTGTGTGCGGCGAAGCACGGCTGGGAGAGGGGGTCCTGCACCGTGAGCTTCACCACCGTGTACTCCTGCGGCAGGGCGCCCTCGCCGCTGGCCCGGTCGTGGTCGGCGCACGGCTGGTTGTCCCGCGGCGAGTACACGCAGTAGCGCTTGCCGTAGTTCAGCATCTTCTTTTCGTAGAGCTGGCGGAACTGCCACTGGATGAAGCGGTCGTAGTAGGGGTTGCGGTCTGTGGTGATGAAGGTGCGGCGCCAGTCGATGTGGCAGCCCAGCCGCTTCAGGTCCTCAATCGCGCGCGGGGTGAAGTAGTCGATCCAGTGCTGCGGGTCGGCGAATTGCGGGATCTCCACCGACGGGATGCCCATCGACTCCATAATGATCCACTGCGGCTTCGCCGGGCCCGCCTTGCCCCGCTTGCTCCTGTGCGCCCCGACCGGTGCGTTCGCCGACGGCGTGACGGGCGAGTGCGGCTTCGAGTCGAGCACCTCGGGCGGGAACTCCGGCGGGTTGCCGTACTCCTCCATCTCCTTGCGAATCTTCTGCGCGCACGCGGCGATGGGGGTGCCCGTGACGTGGAAGGCGAAGGCCCAGAGGGAGCTGCGGCCCATCATGCGCTGAAAGCGCGAGGCGAACTCGGACTTGGAGGCGGAGAAGGTGTGACCCAGATGTAGCTGACCGTTCATGTAGGGGAACGGGAACGTCGTGAAGAACTTCGGCGGGCGGGGCTCGCCGGGCAGCGGGGCGTCCCACTGATGCAGCTTCTTCGCCTCCCACGCCGCCTGCGTCTCCCGCTCGATCGCCACGAGCGTATCGCGACGAGCCGTGGACATGGTTGCAGAGGACGAAGAGAAACAAACAGAAGGAGGGGACGGGTACTTGATTGTCTACTTTGTTTTCTTTGTGTGTTGTTGTGGGGAGGCAATTCTACTTCCTTTTGCAAAGCTCCACAGTTTCGGCCAGAAAATTCTCTCTCGCTCTCGCGCGCGCTCTTTCTTTTCTTCTTCCCGCAGGACGTTTGTTGACTCAGAAAGTGGGTAAACGAGGCACGATGATGCTGCAACGGTGCACGTTGACGGTGCGGGGGATAGAGATACAGCAATAATAATAATAGTAATAATAGCAATGCAGAAGAAATAAAGAATAGAGGAGGAGGGGGAGGGGAAGTCGAGCAGTGAGAGCGAGGCCGAATGCGAAGACGCTTCGACGACAAGAGAGTACGACCGATGGCCTGAGATGAATTACATTACTCCCCTCCCTCTCCTTCCCCCTCGTTTCTCTGTCCGACGCATAGGTCTAGTGAGAGAAAGAGAAAGATAGGGAAGAGAGGGCACGCTCGTGCATCGTTGCTGCCTTTCTACCTGAGAGAAAATAATCAAGAAAAAAGCAATCACAAACGGTGGAATGTCGTTTGCGTCCCACACACACACACACACACACACAGGCACAAGCACCTTCATCCCATTTCCACCGCTTCCGCAAGCGCAACGATCATTGTACGCTGGCAGAGTAGAGTTCGATCCATTTTTCTTCTTCAACGGTATTGCTGTCACGGCAGGAACCAAAAACAAGAACGTCATACACAAGTACAGAGAACAGCAGCGCCGAAAACGCAAAAGAGGGCAGTCTTTTTCACCCTCTGTGTAGTGTACATCAGCTCGAACGAAGGAGCAAAACGCCAACAAACATCCACATCGCGCACACCAACTCAACGTAGAAGTAACTATACATGCCAACCATGAAAGGAGGAGGAGGAGGAGGAGAGAGAGAGAAAGAGAGAAAGAGAGAAGAAAACGGGAGCAAATAACAACAAAAAAAAAGCAGCGTCGGGTCGGCTTCTCTCTTTCTCTCGCAGCTCAAACAACAACACATAAAAGGAAAAGGGCAAGAGCGCGCGAATAGCGATGTATGCGTATATATCGACCAGTCAAGCAGATTTCATCTCACCCCCATGATGATGATGATGGGGAGGGGGAGAGAAGAAAGGGGAGCAGCTGCCTATTCCACCCCTTGCCTTACTGCAGTTGCTTTGCCTTGCGGTACAGAACAGGATCCATGTCAGCAGGCACGATGGAGTCAATGTACTCCCCATAGCGCGCATCCTCCAGCGCCTGGCACCCTTGCTGTTGACGGGCCTCCTCACGGCGCGCCTCGATGGCCCGCCGCGCGTTCTCGCGCTTCTCCGCCGCCTGCAGCTTCAGGATTTCCTCAACCCGCTGCGCCTCGGCGCGACGTGCGGCTGCTTCCTGCGCCTCCTGTGCTCGTATCTGCTCCGGGTAGCGCCGCATCTCGGCTGCGTAGGCGCGCTCTTCTTCTGCGTTGAGGAAGCCACCAGCGGTGGTGGCTGCGCCGTGGTGCCGCGACTGCGCGTTCGACGACGTGCCGTTCGCCCTCTCCTCCATTTCTCGCTGCAGCTCACTGCGGTGCTGCTTCTCCTGCTCCCGCCGCTGCACGTCGCCGTCGTGCATCCTCTGCAGGAAGCTCTGCCCTTTTTGCTCAAACACGTCCTGTGTGCGGTAGGTCGGGGCCTTCTCTGGGACCGCCTCCTCGAGATGCTGCAGCAGCGCGGTCTCCTTCCGCCTCTCGAAGGCGTCGCGCTTCTGCTGCTGCTTCTCCATCACCCACGCTTTCATCCCATCGCGCCGCGCCTCCTCTGCGCGCATGGCGGCCTCGTTCTGCTTGTTGTCGGCGAGCCGCTCCTGCAGGCGCTGCGACTTCGTCAGGGCGGTTCGCGCGTGCGACTTGTTGAACTCACCGTTCTCCAACTCACGTGCGCGCCGCTCGGCGTCTTCCGCTGCCTGCTCGGCGCGCTCCTCCGCCGCCTCCTGCGCCACCCGCACGCCCTCCTGCTTCTCCGCCGCACGCGCTTGCCGGAGCTCGTTGATCTGGTACAGCACCGTCTCCAGGTTCGTGTTCTTCTCCTCCATGTTGCGCTGCCGGGCCGCCAGCTTCTTCTGCATCGCTTCGGTTTGGTCTCCCCACGCCTGCAGCTGCAGCTGCCGCTGCGTGTCCGCCGCGGCCGCCTCTTCCTCTTGCTTGCAGTGCTGCTTGTACGCCACCTGCTCCGCCCGGCCCTTCAACGTCTCGTGCAGCAGCGTCATCGATCGCGCGTTGCTGCCGCGCGGGTCCTCCTTCAACTGCGCTAACTCCTGCCGAGCGATCATCGCGTTCCGCTCCTCCTTCAGCTGCTCCGCGTACAACTCATCCAGCACCCGCTGCCGCGCCTCCGCCGCGTCCTTCGCATCCTGCTGCGTCTTCAAAAAAAGGTCGTGACGCGCCTCGATCGTGTCGGGCCAGGTTGCCGTCCGCGCCTTCGACAACTCCCGGCGGCGCTCTTCCTCGCTTCGGCGGGCGTCGAGCCGCCGCTGTTCCGCGCTCTGCGCACTCGCACAGGCTAGGCGGTGAAAGAAGGCGAGCTCGCGGTCGCTGAGCACGCCGACGCGGCTGAGGTCTAACCCACCCGCCACGGCGTTGCCGTTGCCGATGCGACGACGTGGGTCCTGCCGGGCACGGGTAGACACCGATAACGCGGTGCCATCACCACCAGTGCTACGTGCAGCCGCTGACGAACGCGGAGGCATTTCGACTCTAAAAATGTGTGGGTGGGAGTGGTGTAGATATTAATAAGCTAGTGATGACAAAGGGGAAAAACAAAATGGCGGAGAGAAGTCCCTGAGCTCTGACGCACTGAACAGTCTAATTAGAGATATAGATGTAGGAGTGGGTGGCAGGAAAGGAAAGCGTCGAGTCAAAAGACACGGGTTCTCGCCAACGCGGCTTTGTTTCAGAACGGAAAAGCACACACACACACACACACACACGGGTACCACAAATAAAAATGCGTGGAGGGGAAGGGCTGCGTTCGATGATATAGAAGTACGAGAACGAGAGATTGGGAGAGAGAGGGAGGGGGGGGGGGAGGCGGTGCAAGAAGAAACGAAACACATGAGGAAAACAAAGAAGAACTATTATACCGAAGAGACGTCGAGTTCAATCAGGTCTTCCTGATGGCGCTGACGTGCGCTGCTCTCCTCCTCTTGCCGCCTTAATCTCCGCTGGCTTCGCAGGTGTCCCGTTTTTATTATTATAAAGTCCCCTCAGAGAAAAAAAAAAGACAAGAGAGCCGCGCGTGAGGTGGCTCGTGCATCCACGCCGTTCTTGGCCATAGCTGCCTTCTCCGTTTAAGTTCGAGCTGATAGCCAAAATTATATATAACAAACAACACAGCACTCAAGGTAGCCTCGCAACACAAGAGGTACACCCACACACGTATACAAGAGAGGTCGAATACAAGGAGGAAAAGACCGCCTGCTTAGACGCACATAGTATCCGCACGGCTTACTGCGGAACACCTACCAGCGTGCTCTGATCCGCCTCCGCCTCTTCCTCGACTGCACCGCTGGTGAGTAGAACGTTCGTATCCGCAGGGTTGAACTTCAGCAGGAGATCCGTCATATCTACGTGGGTCAGCATCATGCGGCGGCAGCAGAAGCGATCGAGGTGGAAGGCGTCCATGGCGTCCTCCTCGGACACACCCTGGCTGACAAGATCGAGGTACAGCAGATACTTGTCTGCGATGACGTTGCCGCAGGTGAAGCAGCGAACGGGAATGATCATGATGCACTAGTTTGGAGTAAATAAGGTAGACGCAACGTCGGCTAAAACAGGAAGAAAAGAAGATCTGCTCGACGAACTCACCCGCCTCGCAAGCGGTGGTTTTCCTTTTCCCTTTTAAATCAATGCAGAGCAATAGCCCTCCTCCAAATGGCCACCGATCGTTAAATATCGATGATATGGAAGGGGTGTAACGGAAGAGCTAGGCAGCTTCGCTTTTCGCTTCTCATTTTTGGTTTTTGTTTTTAATCCGAATCGGCCAACCCAAGAGGAAGAAAGAGGAAGGAGAGGAGAATGAAATGGCACGCGGCAGCATTGCGAATGAGGGAAGATTTGTGCAATAATAATAATAATAACAGCGTGTACTGCCTTCAAAGCAGTACCCTCCCCCCCTCCCCTTCCATCACGACGAGGTAATGTGATCCCCGCCTCGGTGAGTGCTACCAGGTGATAAAGCCAGAGCAGCGAGCAACACCGCTGTGGCCCTAGTTAAGCACCAGAAGTGTCCGTCTTCATTAACAACAGTAAAAACAACAAAAGTCAAAGTAAAAAAAAAAACTAGTAAATAGACAAAGAAACATAAATAACTGAGTAGTTAAAATAACGTACAAGAAGAGAAGAAGAAAAGAGAATCAAATCAAACACTCATACGCCGGCAGCACTAAACAACATCGAATATATATTCAACGCGTCTGGCGTTACCTCGAGTGCATCCACGGCCGGATGTCCACCAGCAGCTCCAGCACGCCAATCACCACCTCCACAAACACGAGCCAAATCACAATCCACTCCAACCGCGCACCGTGCCGCTGCGAGAAGTCTTCCGCCAGCATCGACAAGATCTCGTTCGCCGCATCCAACTTGTTGTCCAGCGCCTCCACCCGCTCCGAAATCTCGAACTCCTCCTTCGTGGCCTGAAACACAGGTTTCAGATACGAATTCTCCCAGAAAAAATCGGGCTCATCCAGCAGATCGGACCCACTCTTCAGCATTAGACGGTAGGAGAGCACCTCGCCGCGCAGCTGCAGCAGCCGCCGCTCCGTGATGCTGACCCTGCCCTTTTCGCGCAGCTCTCGCGGCAACGGGGAGCAGCCGTCCGCCAGCTCTTGTACCTGCAGCTCAATGTAGTCGATCTTCGCCGACTGGGCCAGTGCGTGCGACGCGCAGAGCATGAGCACGCTTCCCGTGGCCACCTCGCCGTGGCTGTACGGAATAACGAAGTGGTCAAAGCGCAGACGCGCCTTGAAGTCGTCTTCCACCTCTAAGGTGTCCCGACGGGCCAGGTTGTAGGTGCACCACACCGGGTAGTTCTCATTCACCAACTGCGTCGTGTAGCGGTTCGTCATGCAGTGGCTGATGGCGCTGTGCGGCAGCATGTAGTCGTTTTCCACGATCTTGAAGTAGCGCTGATCGAACCCCCACCAAACCACGGCACCGTAGGAGAAGATGAAGAGGTCAAAGCCGTGCCGGACACGCACGTTGCTGGCAGCAGAGCTAGCGGCTGCGGCTGACGCGGATGCCGCGGGTGCCTCGCCGCCCTCAGCGTCGGCGGCTCCGATGTTGCGCGTGCTGCCGTAGTCGCGACGGGTAGGACTGGTGCCCGCCGCCGTGCGCACTCCTTGTGAGCTCGCGTGCGAGTGCGGTGACCCACTCCTGTCCGTGTTCTGCGGCTGCGTCCCGCCATCGCTGTTGTTCTCGTGCGAGAAGGTGGTGCCCTGCATGTTGTGCCCAGGAAGGGCGATGCCGCTGCTCCCGTCTTCATGCCGTGGAGGTGGTGCGGCTCGACGTGGCGCCTTGTCCCGGTCCCGCCGCCCCGCCTCCTTCGGCGCCGTCGCGTCCGCCTCCACTTTCACGTTTCCAATGGAGGGCGGCTGGGCAAACCGCACGTGCAACACGTCGAAGTCAAACTTGGTGTAGTAACCCTGCGCACGGTAGTACGCCTCCAGCTTACCCAGGTGCAGCTCGTCCGCCACACAAACGTAGCCCACCCGGCCCACCGGGCCCAGGTAAGTCGCCGCCTCCTCCAGCGCACGCTGACCGGGCTTGCTCCACCCACCTGGCGCACGACGGCGCGACATACCCGCAAAGCTGCGGTTGCCGTCGTTGTTCGGCCCGATGGCGCCCGTGTCGGACGGGTACCCGCCAGCCACTCCGCGGCTGATCGGCGGGTGTCGGCTGTTTGACCGTCGCTGGTGATGATGCGCTCGCGCCTGTGCTGCTGCTGCGGCGGCACCGCCGTGCCCCACCACGTCCACATCGCTCAGCGCCAGCAACGCAGCCTCATCCTCGTCCTCGCGTTCGTTGTGCGGCGGCAGGATGCTCCGCACCGTTTGCTGCGCCACGTCGTAGTCGATGACATGGCTGTGGGAGAGCAGGTCTCGCAGCGTCGCGTATTGGCCTTCGTCGTGGCTGATGCCCAAGATCGCAGCGATCTGAGAGACGCGGATGGGGCTACGGCCGGAGACCCGCAGCAGCTCCATGAAGCGCTTGTGTAGCACCGTCGGTGTGTCGTCGTCCATCATTTTTTACTTTACTTTACTTTGCTTCTTTTTTTGTTTTAAGTGTTATTGATGGTGCTGCCGATAATACTGTCAAGCAGGAATACAAGTCAGCAGGATATGCGTCTTCTTGCTTCCGCAGGCAGAGCGAAAAGAAAAGAAACGTTAGGAATGTTTAATGGTACTGTTTTTGTTGTTTAGCCGAAGTCTTCAACGACGGACGGCGAAGAGAGTGCTCACATGTGGAACCTGACCTATTGCGTGTTGAAGAGAAGGGATAGAGAGAGAAACATAACGGAACAGCACGAATAAATGAGGAGCGGAGGCTGAAATAATGATAACAACAATAATAGTACAAACACTGAGAAAGCTGCAGCATATCGTCCTGGCGTCAGAAACAGGGTCATCACGAGTGTTCGCGTCCCAGTGGTTGATGCAGGTATTCTCTTCCCTTTTCCCTTCTCCTGCTACGGCCACTGTGCGTGCATCGCTGCAGACGACACAGGAAAGCACCGAAGGCGCTCATTACTAACGGAAGTCGCTCTCTCTCTCTCTCTCTCTTGCGAAAAATGTAAATATAATTATATTAAACCTGTTGTTAAACGAGGCACCAAAGCACAGCTTCCCTCCATCACCAACACGTATTGCGTGGCGTGGTCAGCTCTTTTGGTAAGTCACCCACCTGCATGAAAAACAAATCAAAGCAGTATGAACAACAACAGAGGGGAGTGGGTTAGGGGTGCGCGGTAAGAGAGGCAATAAACGGCGCCACGGCCTCCACAAACTCCTTCGTCTTTTCATAGTGCACGAAGTGACCAGCCCCCTCCACCACCACCTGCGTGGCGTTGGAGAAGAAGGTCGATATCTGCCGTCGGTGCTCCGGCTCGTTGTACGGCGACTTCTCCCCAAAGACAAACAAGACGGGCAGCGGGCACCGACGGGGCGTGAGCACGGCAGAGTGCGCGTCCGCCGCCTTTGCCGCCGCCGTGTACCACGCTGTTATGGTCGGCTGGAAGCTGCCATAGTCTCCGGCCAGCACCGGCAAGTTGCACTTCCAGTGCGCTGGCTGCGACTTGTCACCCCGGCTCAGCACGATATTCGTTGCCACAAAGTCGCGCATCGCCTTGTCCGTCATGCCGACGCGGGCCAGTTCCTTGTGCGCGTCTTCGTAGCTGTGGATGGCGCTGAGGTCGACCGCGGTCATGCACTGCAGCGTTGCGGGAACGTTGTCGGCGGAGCTGCGCCGATCAGCCAGCCGCACTGTCGGGGTGACATCCACAATGATGGCGCCAGAGACGCGGCCGAGACGCGGAATGCGGCTCGCGATGCCGCTCGTGGCCGCCGCCGCCGCTGCGTTGTTGTACAGCACATCCGCAATCGGCTGCGAGGCGGCGAAGCTGAACTCGTCGTTCACCGCGCGCATAGCTGCTGAGCAGCCACGGCGCCGATCCGCACTCCACGATCCAAAACGCGAGGCCGAATCTTCTCCGTACTCGTCCGCGCTCTGCGGAAGGAGACGATCTTCGTTGGCGCGCCGCAGCAGCGTCCCTGCCACCGCTAAGCCACCCATGCTGTGGCCAATCAAGATCGAATTGTGCGTGGAGCAGGCGGCCGGGTCGGCAAAGGCACGGTGCAGCTCCTGCTGTTCACTCAGCACGACCGCCTCCACGTCCGAGGCCAGCGCGGCGTTCGTGTGGTTGCTGCTGTGGGGGCTGCTGCCGTGGTTGCGCATGTCCAGTGCGTGCGCGCAGCGCAGTTTATCGTGCAGCGTCGGGTGCTCGACGAGGCGTTGCGCCGCCGTGGCCCAGTTCATCGCGTTACCGAGCAGGCCATGGGCGATGATGAGCTGACTCGCCGCGGAGGGGTTTACGGTCTTCGCCGTGAATCGCTTCGATGCCAACTTCAGCGGCCGCATCGTGGGCGTACGCTGCCGGGGGAGGAAAGAAGTCTCTCGATGAAGCGGGGGCGATTCCAGAAGTGAATCTTCGACGAAGCAGTCATAATAATAATAGTAATGAATATAGTGGCGGTGTGCGTGCTTTCCAGGCGGCCAGCGCGCACAGAGAGAGAAAAAAAAAAGGAATAGAGGAGTCGAGAGGTGCATCCAAAGGGACGAATAACGCACGGAAGAAAGAAGGGCTCGCCTTTCTATTTGCCTCCTTCCATAAGCTTCTTTCAACTGTGGGGTGCCGCCTTGGCCGCCATTCTCTTTTTTCTTTGTCTTCTTTTACTTTTGCGGTGCGCGGGGGAAACCGAGGAAAAGTTTCCGGTGCCGGGGATCGAACCCGGGTCTAGCGGGTGAGAGCCGCTTGTTCTATCCACTATACCACACCGGAACGCATAGCGTTTCGACTTTTTCCAGGTCTTGGTGCAGAGCAGCGCGCTGACCTTGTCGCACACACACACACACAATACAAGACAAAACAATACCAACCTACCCGATACAATAGCAGTAGCAAAAGGTGTACACCCGCGCAACGCCTACAACTCAAAGCGCTCCGACGCGCTCTTTCCGCCGAACAAGTTCGCCCGTAAGTTGCGGAAGTTGAAGTCGTCGCTGGGCGAGCGGTCGGCCTTGGCGAAGTAGTACGGGTCCTCCTCCCACCGCTCGTACCGGCGGGCGTCGTTGTAGCCCACGTCGTACGCCTGCAGAAGGTCGTCCTTGCGGGCGTCACCGCCGAGCAGCGGCGCAAACGCCATGACTACCTGTTTTGGAAACGTGAAGTGTGTGTTGCCGAGGTAGCCGTGGCGGCCGAACATGATGTTGTGCCGCGCCTGGTTCTTGTTGTAGCGGTATCCCGCGTAGCCGTGGATGTAGACGTGGCGGCAGTACTGATCCAGCTCGCTGCTGAGCGACATCATCGTGCCGCGCAGCACGTTGTCGGCATCGCGGAAGATGCAGGGCTTCTGCGTGTTGGGCGCCGTCGCCGCGATAACGTTCTGCGCCAGGTCATCAAAGTCCGTCCACTCGGCGATGTGGTGACCGAAGTAGATGTTCTCCTTCGCCTGTGTCATGTAGCCGGGGTCCTTGTTCGAGAACCCGATCGTCAGCGCCAATCGACCCTTGACCAGGTCCACCGCGTTCTTCGGCAGAAGCTGGTTGATGCCGGCCGCCAGCACCTCAATGCGCTTCTCCTCGTCCGTCACGACGAACCGGTTGTTCACGATGAAGTCGCGCACCTGTTCCAGGTTGACGGCGCGAGGACCGCAGGCGAGGGCAATGGCCGGCAGCACACCCGACCCTGCGCCGAGCAAGAAGCTGTTCGCCACGAACTCCTTCTTTTCCTGCTGCAGGTAGAGCGCAACCCCGAGGGCGTAGGTGACGAGGAAGCCGCAGCCGCCAAAGCTCAGCACCGCCTTCGGGGCTGGCTTGCCAACTTCGAGCAGCTGCGGTGTTTTAGCACGCACCTTCTTGACCCACTCGCGCGGCACCGTCGGCGGCATTATTGGATTCTTTCGACTGCTGCTCGCTAAACGAACTGTTTTCTTTGAAAAAAAAAAGGGGGGGGGATAGAAGAACAATCGAAGAGGCGGAGTAGCACAGAGGTGTCAATACACATATTTGACAAAAACAGAAACAGAGGTAAAGCGTCGAAGCTGCCACGCCGACCCAATTTCCAGGCGTCTGCGCTTCATTGCATTGCTGTCGCACTCCCTCTCCGTTCCCTGCTCTGCGAATCACAAGCGACACACTTGGGATGCATTTGACAATGAAGGGCATTGCCTTTCCTCGTTGCAAGTATTTTCTTTTTACGTTCACTGTGCAATGACGGAGGTAGTAGCTGAGCATCTATGTACATGATAATCGAAGAAAGGGGCGGGACAACAAACGGTGATCTCAAAAAGCAAGTTGTTTCCTACCGGCTTCAAAGAAGAAGAAGAACACGAGAAAGAGAAATCAAAGCTGTCGGGCCATCCTCCTCCGCCTCGTTGACGTTGTTGGGTGAGGCCGCCCTTTCCGCCTTTTTTCTTCTCTAGTTCGTGACCAAGTCAACGAAGTCGTAGTAGTTTATCCGTCCCCGCCGCTCCGGATCGACCGCCGCGATGAGGCGCTCCACCTCCGCCTCACTCGGCTTCTGCGAGCCGTAGGTCCGCAGAGCGTGCGCCAGCACCCGCGTCGAGACAAAGCCCTCCGGCATATCCGGCGATTCAAAGAGCTGAAACGCATTCCGCAGCTGTTCCGCGCTGTACTCGGACTGCACACGGCGGGCCATCATACTCGCGAACTGTGTGAAGTTGATCGTGCGGCCGGCACTGCTGTTATTGCTGTTCGTCGAGTTCTTGTTATCGCCGCTGTTGGTGGACGTGCTGACGACGCTTGGGTTGCGGCTCACGGACGGAGTTGCGGCAGCGGCGGCGGTGCCAGGCGCGACAACGGCGTGCGCTTCCTCAAACAACTCCGCGAGCTCTTGCTCCGTCGGGCGGAGGTGCAGCGAGGCCATAAGCTTGCGCAGCTCCTGCACGGAGATGACGCCGGTGTGGTCGGTGTCGACCAGGTCGAAGATCTCCTTGAACTCCTGCAAGTCATTTTCAGGGATGTCGTCCATCGCTGTCACGGAGGGCAGAAAGAGGTCGGGGTCTTTTATGTTGCTTTGCTGCCGTTCTCTGCGTGTGATGGCTTGCGTATAAATGGAAGAAGTAAGTGGGAGAAGCGCAGTGCTTCCGCGTAGGCAAGCGACGCCGTGAATGCACTGCTGTGCAGTGGGAGAGAAAGAATGAGAATTCTTTTCATTCGTGTGTGTGTATAAGTGAGCGAGTTGAGATCACTGCGTGGTAGCCGCTCATGTACGTGCATTTTGAATTGCTTCTTGTGTTTGCACTGCGTCGACGTGTGCCGGCCAATTACTCCCGGCAGCTTCATCGAGTTCTTCACTGCAATAATAATAATAATATTAATAATATTAATAATATATCATCACAATGGAACTGCAGCTCGCAGAGATGCCGCGTGACGTTGTGCCGCCGAGCAGCGCGCTCCGTCTTCGGAGTCACACGCTTGAATAAAAAACAAAAGCCAAAAAAACCCGTGTCTTTTACGAGATGCCTTTTAGTATTATTTCAGCTTGTAAACCCAGCAAACATGAGCCGATGATAAGATGGATTATTATTGTATGTGAAGGCGCAGACAACCATAGAAAAGAAAAGGGAATTTCCCCCTCTCCCGCCTCCCTTCGTTTTACAGCGCTCCCCGCAGCGTCGTTGCTAGCTGGCCCCACTGCGCCAACCACGCAATGTACTCCTCCTGCTCCAGGAAAAACTGCATTTGACACACGTACTCGGCCACCTCGCTCGTGATCCCGAGATGCAGCATCACGTACCCCTGCAACGCCTCACGCAGCTCCTTCGACAGCTCCGTCAGGTACGGCCCGGCGTACGCGAAGGTCCGCGCGTATTCGCCGCTGCGGTCGAACTGCGACGTCAGCACACTCGCACCGTCTGCCGCCGCCGTTGACAGAAGCGGGTCCTCGAGGAGCGTCGATGCCGCCGCAGCGGCGGGAGACGCCGACGACCGTGGGGCGTCAAACACGTTCAGCGGGGAGACGGTGGTGTGCCAGCGAGTCTTCCCGTCCGCCTGGGCCACCGCCCGCTCGCGACGCTGTCGCCGCAGCAGCTCGAGGTAGAGCGGCTCCCCTTTGCCGAAGACGGCGTGTTCCTCCAGGGCACGCGCCAGCGTGTTCGACACAAACTGCACTGACCGAATGCGCAGCTCGCTGTTCACGCAGGCAAGGCGGAGAAACATGCACCGTCCTTCATCCCAGATCTCCTGCTGCCCTTGCAGCGGTGTTACTGACGGCTGCTGCTGTGAAGCACGCGACGACGACGACGATGCGGCTGTGGATGATGCATGCCGAGAGTTGGCGGTGGAGGTTGATTCTGCTGCCGTGGCGGGTCTCGTCTTACGCATTAAAACATCAAAGCGGGCCCATTCGCAGATGTCCACGTGGGGGTCGTAGAGCGTCAGGTCCAGCGTGCGAAACGGCGCGAAGAGAGTGATGTGAGTGTCGGAGCGCGCGTACCGCACCCGGCCAGCGCCATCACCGGCATTAGCAGCATTCCCGCGAAGAAAATGCGTTCCTCGCTGCGGGGCAGCGGAGACCTTCTCACGCGACCGCCGCGGTGCGCCTGATCTGCCGGTCATCATATCTCGCACACTTTGATAGCGCGGCGTCGAGTCGGTCACTGTCGATGCAGCCCCGTGACGCCCATCTGCGTAGTACCCCGTCTCCACCCGTGTCATCGTGAAGTAACTGGAGCCGGACGGGTGCAGCACCCGCCACCCGGCCGGGGCCAGCGGAGGCACCGCCGCCACGCCGTCCTTCATGTCCCGCGCCACCTCGGCGCGCACCTCCTCGTGAACGACGCTGTGCAGGTCGGTGCAGCGGGCAAAGAGCTCGCGGCGCTGCTGCAGGGCGGCCCGTGCGCTTGCGGAGGTCGGCTCCGTCTGCGGCGCTGTGCGTGAGGACGACGACGAAGCCGATGGTGCTGCTGCATTTCCTGTGTCACCTTCAGCGAGGTCGTCGAGAAAGAGAAGTTCTGCGCTGTCCAGGCCTTCCTTCGCACTGTCGAGTGATCCTTCTTCGTCGCCGCTGCTGTGGAGACCGTTGTTCGCGTCGGGCGACTTGGCAATGAAGCACCGCGCGGCGTGCGTGGTCGGCGCGCCCGTCCTTGTCGTCCACCGGTGAATGTGAGGAAGTTTCAGTCCGCCGCGTCGAAGGTGGGGTGGTCCGGGTGGAAGCCGAGAGACGACGGCAAGGACCGAGGACAGAGAGGAAAAGCCGCGGCGTGCACAGCAGCGACGCAGCGCACGAGGAGTACGTGCAGCAGCAGCAGCAGAACGGGCGACGCTACATGACGAGTTCGCAAAAGGCCGCATTCATTCAACTGTGAGTGTAGCCTAAAACGTTTCTCTTTCTTCTTGAGCGTAATTAAATTTTAGCAAAGTCGTGGCTGCGCTTTCCATCGAATCGGGCTACTCAGCAAGCCCGCTGAGATCGGCAGAACGGAGACGGAAGGCACAAGATAGATATATAAGAGGAGAGAGAAAAAGAGAAAGATGACGCGCACGTTGCACCTCAATCAGGGGTGGTGTGGGGGTGGAAGGTTGTAAGATGGACAAATGTGTCAGTTCTTTGTCTACAAGAAACAGTGAAACACAACTTGTTGGCTCTTTACCCTTGGTTGTCTCTCAACGCTTCTTTTCTTCTTAGCAGCAACCCCATCAACTCGCGCATTTGTCGAGCGTGAATTTTAAGAGGAAGAAAAGAAGAAGAGCAATTCGCTGCGCGTACTTCAAGCGGATGCGTGCTGTCACGTTTGTACGTGCTCCGCCGAGAGTGTGTGTGCGTGTTTCCCGCCATCTTTTTTTTAAATTCGATTTCTTGCTTCTTTGAGCCGCAGTAGACTGCGTATGTACATCTCAAACACAAACAGGGAGAAAACACACAGAGCAACAAAAAGGCGTGATTACGCCAACGACACTAACTGCCGACGACGACGACGACGACGGTCCGCGCATTGCTCTGGAAAGCTGCCGCCTACACTGTCGCGTCCTCGGGCTTCTCTACACCGTCACTTTACATCAATCGCTGACACCGACACCGCACAACGACAGCAGTGAAGAAAAACGACAAACAAACCTCGCATCTCCGCCTCCCTCCTCTCCCTGAGTGCGTGCGTGTGTGTTAGTCGTTCTTGAGGAAGTATACCGTTACTAAGCAGTGGAGGGAGTCGCTCTCGAACGGTACGTGCACCATGCCGTCCTTTGTGTTGTCCCACAGGCTAATAAAGCCGGTGGACAACGCGGCGCCGGTGCGCTGCATAACGACACACGTCACGATATACTTGTACGGCTTCTTCAGTTCCGCCAGCTCCTTCAGAACGGACGTGACGACGTCCTCGACCCACCCGTCCACCTTCACCGGGTTCCACTGCTCATTGGCGAGCTTGTTGCGCAGCAGGTTGCTCACGTCTTCTTGGATGCTGTCACTACTCAGCGCGCTGTTCTGGTCCAGGTTGTCCTCCGTGTCGTAATCGGCCATTGTCATCTAGATGCGCGGGTAATAACAATAATAATAAATATATATCCTTTTTTCAAAAGCAACTAAAACTTGTGGCAATATGTGGTAGCCCTGCGCATACGTCTTCTTTCTTCTCTTCCTTTTCTCTTCTAATTGCAGAGAGGGAGAAACACTCTCTCACACACACTCACACGCGAGGAAGTGTGCGACAGGAACAGTAGTACAAAAAAGTGGGGACAGAAGGAATAGGAAGGGGAGAGAGAGAAAGAGAGAGAGGTGTGGAATGGGGAGGCGGCATGAACTACCGTGATTTCATCAGGAAGAGCTTCGCAGACGCACCGGCAACGCATTCGTTTCGCCTTATCTTTCATTCCAGTGATTTTCGGACGCAACGCTCTGCTTTTGCTGTGGCCGCCCCTCCACCTCCCCTCCTCCTCCCTTTCATTGCTAACGCGGTGCTCGCAGCGCATGTGTGTGCAGAAGAGGGCAACGGGAATTGATACAGCCGACCCCGCTCGATGGCGCAGCAGCAGCAGGAATTCTCCTTCTCATGCGTGTATCCGCCGCCAAGAGGAGAATAAAAAAGAAAACGGAAGCATTGAGAAGCACACCGCACCTTCGCTGCATGCGGATCTCTCCTCTTGCGCTGCGACGTTCCTCTTCTTAATTTTTTTTTCCTTTTCGTTCATGACGGTGAGAGAAGGCGTGCAGCAGCTATCACCAGCCACGAAATAGCTCATAGGAAGAGGGCAAGTAAGGCACATATATATATACACACACACACACGCGCGGAGGCACACTTGCACACATCTTACTTGCTTTTCCCGCTTCTTTCCGGTTCACGCGTCCCCCTCCGTCCTTCGTCGCTTTGCGTTCTTTGGTCTCTTTCCCCAAAAAGCTGTATTACTACACCAAATCATTTTTCCTCCCTTTTTTTTTTTGAGGAGAAGCTACGCCCGCTCCCAGCGAGGACGCAGACAGAAAATAAAAACAGAAGAATAAAGATGCAGAAAACATCAGACAATAAAAGTCCAGTGGAAGAGTGACCACGGCAGAGAGGTCTTTTTGCGTGTGTGTGGTGGTGGTGGTGGCGGGGGGTGTCCATGGACGACGATGAGATGTCTCACGGCCGTACTCGTCGCTACAAATCTTAGCCTATATTGTTGCACGTTTTATCTTCTTCTTTTTAATTTACATGGCGCATGTACTGCATCTGCTCTACCAATCCCCCTCCCTCCCTCCCTCCTCTCCCTCCTTTCCCTTCTATTCATTATTCGATCATTTTGTCTTGCGAGCATCGACTGCAGCATCGTCTGCGCCGCTCCTCTTTTCACCGTTTCCCGCGGGCGTGGCGGGAGAGGGGCGTGCGGCGCACGTGCAGCCCACAGACGCCAACGGAGACCACAAGAAAGGCCCGCAAGAGGACAAATCCCGGCGACGACAGCGGATGGAGAAGAATTCGATGCCCGTTCGAGCACACACACCCAGCCCACCCGTATATGTAAACATGCATACCGGGCGCCAAGAAGAGGACGGAAAAGGAGAAGGGAGGAGGAGGGGGGGAGGGAGAGAGAGAGGAAAGAAAACAAATAAAGAAACAAGAGAACAGAGAATCGAATCGACACGTTGGTGAGAATAAAAAAGAAGGGTTTAGAGCGATACATAAAAGGGCAAAAACACACACACATGAAGTAACAGCTTCGTAAACATTAATAATAATAAAGAAATTAGAAAACAACAACAACAGAAAGAAAAGGGTGCTTGCTTGTCACGTTGTACAAGCCTGCAGGTGAACTCTACCCGAGTTACCAAACGCTTGCATTCGAGGAGAAGAAGAACATCAACAAAACACACACACTCACACACTCACACACTCACACACACAAGGGACGAGTAAACAAAATAAGGGTTGAAAAGAACAAAAAAAAGGGTCGCAAAAAGAAAAGAGTTCTTTGAATTGGTCTCACGGTTGTTCATGACATACATGTCAGACAGTTTTATATATTTTTTTTTCGTTTTTCCCTTTCGTCTCTTTTTGGCTCGTACGTGTTTCTACATGAAATAATAATAATAGTAGTAGCAATTAACAATAAATGGGAAGAACCACAGAGTTCGCCGCCATCCACCGTCTTGTTCCAATTATTATTATTACATTTTTCTTTTTGGAGAGTCGCTTGGCTGCAGCGCTTGCAGTCAGCAAAGCCTTGCGTTTCTTCTCTTTTCTGTGTGTCTGTGTGTGTGTGTGTGGTGGGGGTGGGGGGGAAGTGCGCCTGTGTGGGGGTGTGCGCGACGCATCAACGCGCGTCGCGTCCCCGTCACAGAGTCGCCCCCTTCGTCGCCACCTTTCCTGTCCGTCCGCAACAACGAACAACAACAGCACAAAAAAGCATCTTACTGACGCAGGTAGATGATGTCGTCCCCGCTGGGCCCGTTGCCGATCGAGAGCACCTTGCACCCCGTGAAGTACTCAATCGTTGAGAGGAACTCGCACACACTGTGCGGCAGCGGGGCGCCGCGACGTCGCTTCGCTGCGGCGATCGGGCTGTCGCGCCAGCCATCGATCAGCTTCACAATCGGGTGGCAGTGGTAGAGGGCGGCCTCGCTCGGGACCGGGTCACCGGCGCGGATGATGTCGCCGTTCCTGTACACGTAGCCGTTCACGTCCACCTTCTTCCCCTCCGGGCTGTAGTAGACGTAGGCGATGGTCACGCCGATCTTGTCGTACTCGTCGCCACGGTCCAGGGCGGAGATGGTGAGGTAGGGGCCCTGCACGCTGTTCACCTCGTGTTGCAGGACGCAGTCGAAGAAGCCGCACACGCGCGGTTTCTTCGTGACGGCGCCGCACTCGCCGTGGTGCCGCGCGGAGGTGATGGCCATGGCCACGCCGATGCTGTAATCGCCCGTCTCATCCGAGTACTCCACTGGGCGCAGAATACCGTTGTGGCGGGTCTTGTCCGCCGCAAATGGGAAGCCCTTGGTGAAGAGCTGGTGCTGGATTGCTTCGAAGTTGACGCAGGCGGAGGGGGGCAGGTCACGCAACGTCTTGATGTTCTGTGCGCTGAAGTAGTCCTGCGGGACGAAGCTGCTGGGGCAGGCGCCGATGCCAACGCGGCTGGAGCCCGGCGCCTTGTGCACGTTCAGCACGACGGAGCGGAACTGCTGGAAGTTGAGTTGCGAGGCAGCGAGCAGACCCGCCGCGGTGGTGTCGGCCGACGTCGTGCTCTCCCAGAACTTCGTGCGGGCGTTGCTGAGCCAGTAGGACTGTGGGCCCTCCAGCAGCACCTTCTCCCCGCGCAAGACGGCGCTGCGCAGCTCGTGAATGACATCGCAGCGAGGCGGGAAGTCGGGGTTCTCCCGCACGCGCTCGCGGTAGAGCTGCGCGAGGAATCCAATCTTGTCCTCCGCCGCTGCGAAGTCAATGACGTAGTCTGGCACGCGCGTCACGCCGTCGCCGTTTTCCTTCTGGCAGCGCCGCACGACGTCCTCGTCTGTGAGGTTGTTCACCCGCAGCAGACCGAGGTAGGTGTCCATGTCCTGGGCCAGGCGCTGACGCAGAATCTTTTCGTCGTTGAAGATGTGGTCGAGACGGATGCCGCGCTTCATGACTTTGCTGCCGTGTGCGGGGGCCATGCCCTTCAGCGTCGAGGAGTTCGGAGCCGACCCAAGCAGATCGAGCAGCTTGTGGTATGGCGTGACAATGCACACGTTGCCGATGAAGAGGCGGTCGTGGTAGTCGATGCCGGCGTCCACCAGCTGCCGAACCTCCTTCTCCAGAAAGCTGATCGGGTCCATCACACACTCCGGCCCAACGAAGTTGCGCTTGTCCGCTGACAGCAGCCCCGACGGAGCCAGGTTGAACACAAACTTGCGCCCGCGTTTGTCGAAGACGGTGTGCCCGGCGTTCTCGCCGCTGTTCACGCGGGCAATGCAGGTGCAGAGGGGGTGGTGGGCGACAGCGTCGACCGTCTTGCCCTTCCCTTCGTCCCCAAAGAAGGCCCCAGCCACCATGATAACATCGTTGTTTTCGATAATCTGGTAGAGCGAGTCCTCGATGGAGGCCTCCGTGTACTCCTTCACCTGGCGCGGCTCCTGCAGCTCCGGCAGCGGACGCATGTCTTTCAAGGCGTCGTAGATCTCCTTCTGGCGGTCATTTGTCGGGAAGGTGTAGCCGCACGGCGCCTTGCCGGAACTCGGCGGCGACATCGACGCGGCGGAGCGGCGCCCCTTGCCTTCATCCACCACCTGCACCTCCACCTCCACCTCCATACTCTGCTCACGGGAGTCCGTCCCGTTTTGGTCGTAGTGCTGCTGCTGAGACGCGCCGTTGCCCTGTCCCTCCGCGAGGGGATCGCGGTAAAGGGAGCCGCGCTGCGACGACGCCACGTCGGACGGCGGGGCGTTCGCCTCCTCCTTGAGCGCACCGGCGACGCCGGCGGAGGAGTTGTTGTAGCGGCCACCGTAGCGACGAATAGGCATGGTTAACGGAGAGAGGGTGGGGTGGGGGGTGGGGAGATGGACGCTGTGTGGTTGCTATTTCGTATAGTACTTCTGTATTTGGCCACGTTCACAAGTAGTGGTTGGTGATGAAAACAGAAAGGGAGAGAGAGAGAAGGCTGCCGATCAACGTCGCGGTGGTGCGTGCGGATGTACTGTTAAAAGTGTTGAAGTGTAGTTTTTTTTTCTTATTGTGAGTGTAAAAGAACAGCTAAAGATGCTGACGAGGAAGACAAAGGAGCAGATGCAGTCGTTAACGATTAAAAAAAAAGGTAAGCATGCGTGTGTGTGTGTGTGTGTGTGTGTATATGCAGTTGAAGGGGTGGTGGTGGAGGACGAAGAAAACAACACGGGTGCTCTTTGGCAAACAATCCAGCACATTGCACGCAAGACTTGGGTGCGTAAACTATTGCGTTGTGGGCACGTGCTGTCGCGCACGACAACCTTCCGTTACTGCATTTGCATTTTTTTTCTTTCGCTAAAACAAGCAAACCTCTAAAAAAGCACACACACGCCGCAACGATAGCCAAAGACCAAGCCAGACTAACAAACTAAAAAAGCCTCGCTAATAACGGCAATCGCGTATGTCTGCGGAAGGCGCGCTACCAGCTGACAGCCGACGGCAGTGTCAAGACGCCCACGCAGATGGCTACCGACCACGTGCCGCGGAAACAACACACACACGCACACACGCGCACCGCGAGACCCAAAAGCGCAGTGCTACTATGTGAAGACTCTAGCCCTTCTGCGGGCGTGTGCCTATTCGTAGGTGTATCGGCTAAGCGGGTGAAGCGATGGCACGAGTCCGCGCGACAGCAAATTGGGGTCCTGAAAGCGTTCCGTCGCCTTCGGCACCGTCATCACCCGCTCCCGCCAGTGCGGCTCCTCTATATGATCCAACTCCGCCGCGTAGTGCGGGTTTGCTCGGACCATCATCGACGCCTTTCCACGCGCCGCCAGCGCCGCCCGCATCTGCTGACTGCGCGACACCTTCTGGATGTCCGGCTCCACGTCCAGCCATTTGTAGGACGGGTTGATGCGCGAGGTGCGGATCGTCATGACCCCCTTCGTGGTGGCGTAGAGGGTGAAGGTGTTGGGGTCCATGCGTACGTTGCGGCCCGGGCGGTACTCCGGCTGGCGGGAGTATCGATCTTGACCGAAGCGACGTCGCTGCTCTTTTAGCTTCTCTATCGGCGTCACCGGGGTGCCGGGGATGACGTGGAATATTTTGGCCTTCTTCCGCGGGGAGCCGGCCTGGTTCTTCGCGTTTCCCGCCGTCACCTTACTGGCGAAGCGGGCGGACGTGAAGCGCAGCATTCCTGTCGCCCTCGGCTGGGTAGAGAAGACAGAAAAAAAAAACGAAATAAGGAGAGACAGAGTCCGCCCTCAGTGCCCACCACTACGTGTACGTCACCTTCTCCCTCTCAAACAGGGAAGTGTGGGCCCGAAGTGAAAAAGCGAAGAAGATAAAAAGGAAGATAAGCGGAGGAGGTTGAATGAGAAGAGCAGTTAAGCTGTGGCAGGAAACTCGGGAGCTGGTAAACAAAGATACGCCAACGCGCCATGTTGTATACGTCCTCAATGCGCGCGGCAACACCCTTTCTCTTGTGTTCTGGCTTTGAAGCACAAGGAAGCTGAGAGGGCAAGAAAGAAAAAAACAAAGGCAGGAGTGACTTTCTTTAGCAGGGCACTCGTTGTGTGTGCCTAGGCACACCGCATTCGATGCGCTTCCCTGGCTTCCCCGACCGGTATTTTTTGCCTACTCCCATCTCCTTCTCGCGCCTCCACCACGCATACAGTATGCGCAGACGCGATATTTCATGCGGCGAAGCAGCGCGCCATCTTCCATTACTCTTTCTCACTGTTTTCTGTATTTTTTCCTTTAACGTTTTGCTTTACCTTGATTCAATTAGCGAGTACTTTTCATTCCGTCGCCAACTCAACTCAGCGTGTATGTCTGTCGTCATATATATACGTGTGCATGTGTGTATTCGCGTCTGTGCTGTTCGGCTCTACCTTGCGAAGCGAGCACCACCAAACAGAAGCACCATACACCATAATAATAATAGTAACCATAATACGAATGGTGGCATGGATGAAGCACATCTCGCAGAGCCGCAAATCATAATGATAATAAAAGAGCACACACAAGAGGAAAAAAAAAAAGACACAGGAAACAAGAAGAAGGGATAAGAGGAACACACAAAACGTGATCCATCAGCAAGCACAAGACGTATATATATATATATAACACGCAGAAATGAGAAGGAGAAAAAAAAAAAACAAGAAGACGAACGAGCTATATGGAATGAAAGCACCCAAAACAATCTTTGTTGCGCACCGATGGCAGTACACTACCGACGAAAGAGAAGCAAAAAGATTTAGGGGGGGGGGTAAAGTTCAAGAGGTGGAGAGCCGCCACCAACAACAGAGAAGGAGGAAAGACGTCTTCTGTATTTGGTGCTCTCGGTCTCTCTCTCTCTCTCTCGCTCGCTCACTGTTGATGCACCTCGCTGTGCATGTAGGCGGCTCCATTCCTGTGGATATTTTCCTTTTCTCTTTAAATCTTCGTCTTCCATGCTTGTAATCATCTGTTTATGAAAGCAGCGCAGTTTCCCTACCGCGAACAGGAACAATACTTTCACCATTAGCAAAAAAAAAACAAATAGTTAACAGATAAACCTCCAAAAAAGAAAGAAATACCACCTTCTCTCTCTCTCTCTCTCTCTGAAAGAACGCAGACGAGGCCGCTGAAGAATCCTGAAGAGGAAAAAAGAGAAAAAGAAAAGAGGCGAGCGAAACACGTGAAATAGAAGATATATATATATATTAAAAGTATTTTTTCCCACACAGACGATCAACTGTTCTGTGTAGCTCTGCGATCCTTGAGGCTCGACCAACCGCCACCTCTATATAAATCGAGAGAGAGAGAGAGAAAGATAATCCTCTCGTCATTATTTGAAGTTATTGCATCAAAACAATATTAACAATAAAATGCTCTGCGCTGCTCTTCTCTTTTTATTTCCTTTGTACTCCGGTCCTTGACGGTGTGGAGTCCTCTGGATTGCTGATTACATCGCTTGCAATCAATGTATCAAGAGGAGAGGGAAGGTCACTCGCGCTGGTTTGCGCCTTCGCTCCCTGCTTGCTATATGCACTGCCGCAAGCTTTGCAGAGCCAACGGCGTACGTAGTGCGGTGATGAACGCTGCCGGTGCCATCCTCGAAGACGTGCGTTGCACCTCGTGGCCCTCTCCTTATCGTACAACACACACACACACACACACACATACACGGAGAAAACAAAGAAAAGAAAAAGAAAAAGCGCAGCCAGGAAAACGGGTGAGTGTAAACTTGAAAAAGAGAAAAGAGAAAGAAGAAGTGTCTGCTGTTGTTCTCCTTTCGTATCCTTTCGTCTCAAGTTCATTGAACGGGTAATTAGAAGTAATGCTTTAAAGTGCAGATATATATATATATGTATTTCTTTAACGTTTCTACTATGATCAGCTTTGGCTGCCTTCGCGGTAACTACCACACACAAAAAAGCATGAAAGCAGCAGCGTTGGGAGATTGTGGGGGCCGCACCGCACTTGTCGAGCGGCTTCCCTCGTTCTCTCTCTCTCTGTGTTTCTGTCACCTCTCTGCACTTCATGAATGCTGTTTTGGGTGCTACACACACACACAGTGGCAGCAAAACACCCTTCCTGTTGAGTTGGTGTTTTCTATCATTATTCTTGTTTTTGTTTTTAAAACCGCTTTGCCACGCGAGTCCTCAAATCACATCACTTGGCTCTCTCTTCGTTCTCTCTTTCGCGAGCCGCTGTCCCTCTCATGTGAGGATCAATTCAACGGCGTGAAAGCAAGTAAGCAGCAGCAGCAGAGCAAGGAGAGAGAAAAAAGAAGGACTAAACGACGTGAGGACATTTGCGTGCGCGTATATATGTATATGTCTTCTGGGTCAACTCCAGACACCTGACTCCTCTCCGTATTTTCTTTCCTTACTTCTTCGTTGTTGTTGTTTAGGAGAAGTGCAGCAGCAGCAGCAGCTGTGTACAACAGAGAAAACACATCAACGTGAAAACAAAAACAAAAATAGCTTAAGCTAGTAATAGTAATTATAGTAAAAAAAGAATGCCAAGAGAAGTACTTTAAACGGTCAACAGGACGAGGAAGAGGAAGAGGGAAGAAGAGAACACATACATACATACCACACACACACACACCCGCAAGACAAGAAAGCACCGCTGGCTTTTTACAGAGCCGCGGAAAGGGGAAAAAAGTACGTTCAACATTTAAGGAAAGTAAGAAAAACTATCAAAAATCAAAAACAAGAAGTCAGAAGAAAAATTCCAAAGCGACGAAGAAATATATATATGTAGATAGATTTATTTATCAATGTCAGACCCCGTTGGCGGAGGAGTGCTCTCTCAGCCCTCTATCGTGCCTCGGGCTTCGACACACACACACACACACGCACGCACGCGGAAATCGCGACATCGCTAAAATAAAAACGAAGAAGAGAGAAAACAAAGGAGAGGGAAGGAAACAATAGAAATAAATAATAATAATAATAATCTGGGTTGAGCCTGTGTGTATAACGAGCAACAAACGCCAAAATAATAATAATAGCAACAACAAAAAGAAAGCTGTGGAAATTTAAAAAAGAAGCAAAAAAACGCATGCGAACACGGCAACGGCGGCCATTTCCGAACACCCCGCTGCATCCTTGATCTTCTTTCTCATCTATACAGATATATATATATATATAAATATAAATATATATACTTATATACACTTATATTTGTATACGTTCGTTTCTCCTCTCACGTTTCTTTAACGTCGTCTCTTTTACTCCTCTTCTCCTTCATCCACAACTGTTTTTCCGCCTTTTTAGGGGATGAAGAGGACCACCAGCAGGGCCAGCAGGGCGGACACCGACGCACCGCAGAGCAGCGCCACGCCCATCAGCTGGCCAGCCATGACGCGCTGGCCTTCCGTGCGCAGGCGCGAGTCCATCGGACCGAGAACCATCGCCGAAGCACCAAAGAAGCCGTTTGTCAGGCCGAGCAGTGCCATGAACACGTACGGGGCCGGGTGACCAGGGATGTAGTTGTAAATGCAGAGGAAGGTGAGCGGAATGAAGATGGAGCGGCAGGAGGAGCCAATCAGCAGCACCTTGCGAGAGGGCCACAGGAAGCGCAGCGAGGACGAGAAGCGACCGCTGGCATCGCCGCAGTTGTACAGCAGAATCGCTATCGTTGCGAACCACTTGTCTTCGCGGTCAATCGGGATGATGAGAGAGGGGAAGATGAAAAGCGAAACGAAGAAGTTAATGAAGCAGGCGAGCATCACCGGCCAGATCATCTTCATCACCGGCCACGCCTTGGTGCGCTGCATCTGCTGCGACGTGGTCAGGTTGCGGTCATCGAAGCTGCTGTCGTCGTCGCCGTCCGCCACCGCATCGCCGCGCACCACCCGCACCTCATCATCCTCCGTGCCCTCGTCGCTGCCGTCGATGCCGGCGGCCTTGTTGCGCAGCTTCTCCTCCTTGTTCTTGTCGTCCATCACGATGTTTCCGTACACCTCACCGGTGGGCTGAGCCGCGGTCGCCTCGCCGTAGTAGGGCTGGCGCTCATCTGACGTATCCCGCACGCCCTCGTCGAGCGCGTGCAGCTCGGCGTTGCGGACGGCCTGCGCATCCTTCTCCTGCGTCCCCTCCTCCTCTTGCTGGTGCTGCGCCCGCCGGAGAGCGCGGAACTCGCCGACCTTCTCCTGCGCGTAGCTGTTCCACCGCAGCGACAACGCCATGGTGAGGGCCACCGTCATGAAGGCGAGCGCCAGACTGAAGTAGATGTACGCCTGATGCAGCGTGGAGTCGTAATCGTCTTTCATGGACGCCTTAATGATGCACTGCAGTATCGACGCGATGACGCCGGAGAGACCGCAGCCGAACATGATGGCGGACATGAACTTCGGCGGCATCGTCCCGACGAGCGCGTAGCACGTCGCCTCCTCGTAGGACTTGCCGGCGCCGGCGGCGATGGTCACAATGAAGAAGGACACCATCGCCCCCGTCTGCGAGACGTGCCCGGTGGGCATGACCAAAATAACGAGCAGCTCCAGCATCATGAGGGAGAGGGCGAGGGTGAAGCGAAGCGTCAGGGAAAGCTTCCGCGACCACGGCGTGAGCACCGTCGGGCCGCAAATGGCCTGCGTCACGACAGAAGCCAAATTGTAGAAGGTGAGGATGTTCGCCCAAAACACCGGACTGTTCGGCGTCGCGTGCTCGTTACCTGTCACGTACTTATAGTAGTTCATCACGTACGACGGGGCGGAAGTGAGGGCGTTGACCGGCATCAGCATCGAGATACCCAGCAAGATGCACGTCATGTACACGTACACCTCCGCGAAGGAGGAGAAACCGCAGATGCACCCCATCTTTCCGTGACTGTCTCGCTTTACGCCCTTTTGTTTCTTTCGCTTCGATATATATATCAAGATGATAAGAGGCCTGGGAAGTCGAAAAGAAAAAACCCTTACGCGACTAGCCGAAAGGAAAGGGAAAGGAAGCAAGGAAAGACACGAGGAGAAAGGCCGGGGATAGGAGGGAGGGGAAAACACTAGTGAGAGAGAGAGACTTTTAAAAGAAAGGCGGAGAACCACGAAGCAAATATCGTACTAACCAATTGTAATATATGTATTAGTTTGGGGGGGGGGTAATCGCAGTGAAGGTGGTGATCCACAACAGCACCATTCAAAGAAACAACCAAGCCACACAACAACAAGCCAAGAGGGAGAGAGAAAGCGAAGAAGGGGAAGGGCGGAGAGTGGAGATGCGGGAATGGCAGTCGCGAGGTTCGGGCGGTGGGAACACCAACGACGACGGCAACACCGAAGGACTCAGCCGCGAAAGAGGAAAGGCACCGGAAAAGAATGAAAAGGCAGAGCACTTAGCCTTCCCTCCTCTTCATCGGCACGTCCTTCTACTGACAATACGGAGAGCGACAAGGAACGGCTGCTAAAGGAAGCGCCTACCTCTACGGCTGCTGTCGTCATGTCTCCCCTCCCTCTTTGCGTCGCCTTCACATCAGCTTTACCGCTGCGCAGCACGAGAGCACAGGCTCACCGAAAGCTGAGTTCCACTTCAACTATTTGTTCTCTCGGTTCAGCATTCGTGCCTCTCTGTCCGTGTTCTGCCAGGAAATCCCCCGCAGGTGCCTTTGCGCGTTGCAGCAGTGAACTGCAAGCATTTCTTTTTGTTTGATTTTTGATTCATGTGTAAAATCATTTGTAGAAATGAAAATCACTATAAGAAGAAAACAGTTGAAGAGTCAGCGAACCCAAACGCGGGTGAGCGAGAACAGCAAAGGAAGCGGCAGAGAGCGCCGTTCGCCCCGCCACCTGGTTATCCTCTGCTTCAGGCGTCATGACGCTTACTTGCGCACCTTGCGGACACCGCGGCTCTGGGCGGTCTTGCGGGCCTCGGCGGCGATCAGGCGCTCCTCGCGCTCCTGGATGACGTTCATGCGCAGGCCCTGCTGCTTCGGCACGGACACCTGCAGGTTGCTCAGGTCCTTGCCGATCACGAAGACGTTGGCGGCGCGGGTGGCGAACTCGGCGCCGGATGCGTCCTTCAGGTGGGCCACGGTGAACGCGCCGGGGTGGCGCTCCAGCTTCACGATCTCGCCGATACGGCCGCGGTTGGCGCCGCCGGTCACGATCACGGCCTTACCCTGGCGGCTCTTGATCACGTCCATGCACTTCTTGTCCTTCAGGTTGTACACGATGGTGTCGCCGATGGCGGCGTGCGGGTCCGGGTAGCGGATGCGGTGGCCGTCGTGGGTCACGGCAACCGGCACGCGGCCCGTCGCCGTGTACAGGTTCACCACCTTCAGCAGCTTCACCTGCGCCTCCGCGGCCGACACGTTCACGAACGCGAAGCGGCCCTTCACGTCGTACACCAGGCGGAAGCGGTCGCCCGTCTTCGGGATCTCGACCACGTCCATGAAGCCGGCCGGGTACTTGCCGTCCTTGCGCGGGTGGTTGTCCACGTGCACCAGGCCCTGGCGCAGGATCATCTCACCCTCGCGCGCGTTCAGGGCGTACTTCAGGCGGTTGCGGATGATCACCAGCAGCGGCAGGCACTCGCGCAGCTTGTGCGGACCCGGACGCGGACGCGGAGCGAACACGCCGGTCAGCTTGCTCAGCATCCAGTCCTTCGGCGCGTACAGGCGCTTGAGGTGCTTCTTGGCCATCTTGAGAACGAGAGTTCAACTGATGTTCTTTTCACAGCAGTAATAATGAAGAAGGAATCATACATGATGATAGTTGCAGTGATCGCCATTCACGAAGGGAGAAGGGGAGGGGAGGAGGACGAGGAAGCAAACGTTGATGGAGGTACGTGGACACATCCGTTGTGGCGTGCATTGGACGTCACGAGAGTGTTGCCGCCGTGCTGTGCGGACGCACAGTGGCCCATCTTCACTTGCTCTTCGCCTTCTTTCTCGCCTGAGGAGTGCACGCCTGCATTTCCGGCCGTGTGCGGTTGGCAGAGAGCGAGAGACAACGGAGGAGCGGAAGAGTCCGTCGAACCAGTCGGCCTCGACAGCGCAGCATCGCTCACCGTTCTGTCTCTAGCATCCTCCGACGCGCAATAAGGCATGCACGCACACACCGACAGGCGAGAAAGAAAACATATACCGACAATGACAGAGAAGAAAGCCGTGCAGGACGCTTCTCCTTCTCGTAAAGGAAAAGGAAAAGGGCTGTTCGCAGGGGTAGCCCTCACACTGCCTGTGGCGCACCGGCGGGCTCCGTCGCAGAGGACGGCACGTAGGCCGGGCCGCGACGAGCAGCTCCGCCAGATGCGAAGCAAAGGCGAAAAAAAGCGAGCAGCAACAAGAGAACGAAGCCACACACACAGAGAGAAGCATTCCAAAACCTGCGGTAGCATTCTTCTCCCGTTAGTCGCTTCATATTAACCATTTTTTTTTTAAAGGTAGAAATGAAAGATCACAACAGGCGCATGGCTCTTCCACGTTGTTGGGCACTTCAGTAGCGGATGATCCTGGTCGTGAGCAAACGGGGGAAAAAAAGAAAAGAAAAAGAAACAGAGGAAACAAATCATTCTTTCACCAAGAGAGGAACCGGCGGGGGAAGCACACGGAGAGACAAGAAGAACGATCAACAGAGGAGCAGCACAAGGTGCAAACTACCGCGACAATGCGAGAAGAACAACTGTGAGAAAGAATATGCAGCACGACGTGATTCATGCGGTGGAAACCACGTCCAAGACGCGGTCACTACAGCACTTTGCACCTTCGGAGGCTACTGAATCATTCTTTCCTCTTTTTCTTCCTTTAAATTTGTCTTGGCGGCTCACAACGTCGTCCGCAAGCTTCGCGGCAAATCATCCTAGACTCTCCCCTGACGCGTCTGCTTCAGGCGTCATGACGCTTACTTGCGCACCTTGCGGACACCGCGGCTCTGGGCGGTCTTGCGGGCCTCGGCGGCGATCAGGCGCTCCTCGCGCTCCTGGATGACGTTCATGCGCAGGCCCTGCTGCTTCGGCACGGACACCTGCAGGTTGCTCAGGTCCTTGCCGATCACGAAGACGTTGGCGGCGCGGGTGGCGAACTCGGCGCCGGATGCGTCCTTCAGGTGGGCCACGGTGAACGCGCCGGGGTGGCGCTCCAGCTTCACGATCTCGCCGATACGGCCGCGGTTGGCGCCGCCGGTCACGATCACGGCCTTACCCTGGCGGCTCTTGATCACGTCCATGCACTTCTTGTCCTTCAGGTTGTACACGATGGTGTCGCCGATGGCGGCGTGCGGGTCCGGGTAGCGGATGCGGTGGCCGTCGTGGGTCACGGCAACCGGCACGCGGCCCGTCGCCGTGTACAGGTTCACCACCTTCAGCAGCTTCACCTGCGCCTCCGCGGCCGACACGTTCACGAACGCGAAGCGGCCCTTCACGTCGTACACCAGGCGGAAGCGGTCGCCCGTCTTCGGGATCTCGACCACGTCCATGAAGCCGGCCGGGTACTTGCCGTCCTTGCGCGGGTGGTTGTCCACGTGCACCAGGCCCTGGCGCAGGATCATCTCACCCTCGCGCGCGTTCAGGGCGTACTTCAGGCGGTTGCGGATGATCACCAGCAGCGGCAGGCACTCGCGCAGCTTGTGCGGACCCGGACGCGGACGCGGAGCGAACACGCCGGTCAGCTTGCTCAGCATCCAGTCCTTCGGCGCGTACAGGCGCTTGAGGTGCTTCTTGGCCATCTTGAAAACGAGAAGGAGTGAGGTACCGGGTGAAAAAAAAATCGTTCCTGCAGCGTCAGAAATGTATAGAGACACACACACACAACGGTTGCGTAGCAGATTGAATGAATGCAGAACGAAAGATCAGAGGAGAGGCCGTGGGACGAAACAGGAGGGTGATTATGAAAGAGCTCTACAGGCAGCAGTATATTCACATGGAGAGCGCTTACGTCGGTATGGAGAGCAGTTTTGGCCTCATCGGACTTTAAGCCGTAGAGACGGGGTCCTTATGGAACTCCACGCGACGACGGGGGATTACTATAGAATTACTATTGTACGGCTACTTGAAATTGTAGACGTGGAGGGCTCTTTCCTTGGAAGGAGGACTCTGAAGCTCGACCCGCAGTGCGCGCCATAAGCCTTTTTTGTTTATTGCTGTTGCAATTCATGTTTGACAGCGGATCAACGTGCGGTGGAAAAAATAGATAAAGGAAAAAATATCCCGCATCGTTCGCTTGTAGTTGTCTTCTTTATAGATTCCTTTTGTCTCCTATTTTACCTGTCAAAGTTGCGTTACCATACAGTATATATATAGGTATATTTAATTACTTTTGAATCGAGGTCGAAGCTGGACAAAGCCCGGCAACAGGAGAGGTAAATAGAGGGTTACCCGTTCAATTATTATGATGATAAGAAAGAAAAACAAAAGAACATACAGAGAAGGCGGGGAGGAAGGGGGGGGGAGGGTAGAGGCGATATTTTTCTCTCTCTTACTCTTGAGTTTCTGCATCGCGCGTGCCACGCTCACATCAACGCGTGCCGTATGCACGCACACACCCATGAAAGAGAGGAAAACACACAACGCGTTCGTTTACTTTAAAAACTATAATTAGTAATTGCCAGCCAGTCCACGACGCAGAACAACAGCAAAGAGGAGGAACCCGCTCTTTATTTTTGATCGTGTAACCACGCACGGTTCCACCTGCTCTTCAACAGCAGAAAATAATATAAACAAGAAAAATGCAGAGGACCGCGTCGCTGAACACCTAAACACCAGCGGCAAACGAACCCCAACGATGGAAGGGGAAGGAAGAAAGGGAAAAGAAAAGGACCGACCTGTTCATGGACAAGACAATCCTCGCTGCGAAGTGCAACAGGAGAGTACAGAAGACAGAACAAATAAATAATAATGATAATAAACCTGGGGATCGTCATTTGCCTCTTGTTCCTGCTGCTGTGCTGCACCCTCTCCCCCGCGACAGTCCGATTTAATTACATCTTTTGATCTTGCGTTCCTCCTCTCTTCTCTTCTCTTCTCTTTTTCTTTCTTTTCACGCTGATGTCACCTTCTTCCTAGCTGCCTTGGGTCGTCCCAGAACCAGCATCGTCGGCGGGTTGGCAGAGGGCGCCTGCGGGTCCCACGACGGCCTCGAGGTGTCGCACGTGGTCGGTCGCACGTCCACGGTGACCAGGCGCGATGAGATCTTGTTGCAGCTCGACACAAGACCGTCGAAGGCAAAGCGGTACTGCTCCACCCCGGTGAAGCCGCCGTAGCAGCCCCGGCGGTTCTTCACGACGTTCCACAAGAAGCCCGTCGTCTCCATCTCGCGCAGCGGGCCCAGAGGGACGATGCCGCTCATGTACGGCTCCACCGCGGCCGTGCCCTCCTCCTCCACCCCGCTCAAGTCCCTCGCCAGATTGCCCTCCTGCGACCACGACGGCGGCATCAGCAGCTGCGTCACGCCATCCGGCCAGCACGCGAAGAGCACGGTGTACACGTTCACGACGAATACGTGAAAGACGCGGGCGAAGCGCATGACGGCGACCATTGTGGCGATCTCGTGGTCAAAGCGGCCGCCCAGTGCGCCGAACACAGCCACGTTCGGCAGTACCCGCGTCCGCACGGTCGAGGACGTCGACGGTGAAACATCCATAATAAGGCGGCGGCAGCGCTCGATCTCTTGCGCGTCGCCGTCGGCGAGTCGCGCCGACTCCTCACAGGCGATCTCGAGCTGCGCATCGCACGCCTTCATCAGCTCCTCGGCCGCGTGCGCCTCCTCCGCGCGTTTGTCGTAGTAGGCCGCCTGCTCATCCTCTGTGAGTGTCTCCGTGTTGCCCTGCTCCAGCCGGCGCAGACGCTCCAGCAGCGCGATCGCCTTATGAAAGTCTGTCGAAAGCTGACACGCAATCGGCAGCACCACCGGCGTGTCGACGGACGGTGCCGTGGGCGTGGCATCGGGGCTGCCGCGGCGCCGCAGTGCGTCTGTGCGACGCTGGCGGATGTCTTCGAGCAGGGCCACCGGAATGGTGGCGACCGTCTCGTGAAAGAGCGGGCCCTCCATCGGTGTGGAGGAGGGGGCACGGAGGTCGTCCGCCGTACCCGCCGCTGCCGCCACCACCTTCCGCAGCTGCGCCGGTGAGAGGCTGTCCATATCACCAATCAGCACATCGCACAGCCGCATCGCCATGACCGCAGCGCTGCTGTCGACGGCGTCTGCCGCGTCGGCCTCCGCGCCCTCCTTCGTGGCCGACGGAGCCGCCTGCGTCGCGCAGTACCGCTTCAGCGCTGCGTACGCCCCGTCGACGCAGATAAAGTACGGAGATGTGCCCTCCGCTGCCGTGTTCTTTGGAGCGGCACCGCCCGTGGTGCTGCCACCGCCGCCGCCACCGCGATAGAGCTGAAAGAGTCGCACGTACTCGGCAAAGTCAGCGGCGGTGTTGGCGGGACTGTTCAACAGAATGACGCCAAAGAGATCCGTGCCGGGCGCCGTCGTGGACTCCTCGGGAGAGCAGAGAACGGCGTTGCACGAGCACAGCTTGCGCACGGGGAGTGGCTCGGTGCTCTGCGACATGGCGATTACGCGCACACAGGCGTGTAAGGACGTGGAGAGTTGCGTCGGCTGGTGTTTTCAGATATATATTCATATAGTGCCACAGAGGATATGACGAGAAAACCGTTCTGCACTCAAAGTCAAAAGAGAAAAGAAACAGAAAAAAGAAATAACAGCAACAGTTATAAAGAATAATATTAATCGCAACAGTCGATAGCGTCTCACAGGAGTAGTGTGTTACCGAGTACGAACACCAGCGCTGTGCAATGCGTTCGAAGAGTTCAACAAAGTCGAAGAAGCGAAATAGATACGTACAGCAGCCTGTCTTCGATGAGAGAGCACCGCTACGTGGGAAGCCAGCTTGGAAGAAAAGGTTTTGATGAGTCGAACTGCTCAGCTTTGCGTGTCGTCCGCAAGCAACTCACTCTCACACACAAGAGAAAAGAACGATAAGCGAGAAGTAACGAGAGGTGAAAGGGAAATGCTGTTAGCGGACATCGGTTTGTTGACGGGAGAGGTGAGTTGCCCAAAGAGGCTGCAAAGCACGGAGAAAAAGGGCGACCATGAGGAGGAACAGGCGCGGTGACGCCAACCAAGGCTGGATGGAAACAGAAGGCTGTCGTACATCTCCTTTTGTTTTCTCTCTCTCTCAATATATATATTTCGAATCATTGATTTCCATTTGAAAAGCTGTAATACGTCTCACTTTACGACAGCGCACATACTTGTAGAGAACGTGTGCCCTGCGTCAACAGTTTCCTGCGCGCTTTCCTCGATCAACGCGCAATCCAAAATAACAAAACGAAGAAAAATAATTGTGAAGAGGGAGCGAGAGAGTTGCTCCCCCCTCCCCCCACAATACATATATAGAGGTCAGAAGAGAAGGGCAGCACCGTATTCACATATCCAATAGTTCGATGAGCGGCGGCTCGTACAGCAAACGCCACCAGTACCTACATAAACGCAGCACAAAGAAAGCCTTAATAATAATAATAGAAAAACCATCTCTAAAAGAACGATGTTGATGGAAGTCAGACAGAGGGAAAGAGAGAAGGGAAAGGAGAAAAAAAAGAGGAAAGCTGTAGGACATAAATGGAACGCGGACTTAACACGAGAACGCGAACAGCAAAACCAAAGGCAACCACCAGCGTACTCAATGTTGTGAAAGGATGAGAAGACGACCTCGCCATGACAAACAACGGGTCAACGTCAAAGAAGAAGAAAAGATTATAATAATCTCCGCACACACACACAAGAAAGAAATACACCCCTTCCCTTCACATTCTACCTCCTCCTGAGAAAGAGACACTGCTTCGACGCCCCCTCGTCGCGCCGTTTCTTCTCGTGCCCCTTGCGACTCTCGACCGTACCTGTCGCCGTCTCATCGGCAAAGCTCCGCTTCGAGGAGCTGCGGCTGCTCGCACTGCGCTGATCTCCATCTAACTCGTCATCGCCGATAGTGCTGCCGTGGTGGCTGAGACCGTCGCTGTCAACCTTGTCCTCCGCGATCCGCTTGCCGGGGGTGCGCACGAAGCAGAGGTAGTAGACGAGCAAGGCGCAAAAGAGCACAAAGACAACGACGATCTCCACAACGAAGATAACCCACCAGTGGTTCTGGATCCACGGACGCTCGCTCCGTGGCGCGACGTAGATGGGCAGGGTTGGAAAGGGCAGCGGCGTCTTGACGATCTCGTGCTGCGCCGACATTTTCTTTTCTTCTTCTTTTTGTTCTTGAGTGCTTTCTTGTCTCTTTCTTCTTCCTTTACGCGGATTTAACCACCGAAGGTTGATGCGCCCGCTGAAGGAGGCAACGAGACGAGGCGAAAAAAACAAAAAGAGATTGAAGCAAGCCAAACTTGACGTGTACACGTATGCTGATTTTCTAAAGAGCGAATCACCGGAGGCGAAAAAGAAAAACAGAAAGAAAGAAAGAGGATGAAGACGAGAGGCGGACACGCACACAGAGGGAGAGATGCGCGTTGCTGATGAGATTTATTTCGTGAGAGGGCGGAACTCCACAGATCTCTTGTCAACTTCCTCGGAGTTGCTGAACATATTAGTAGTAATAATAACAGGCCGTTGCTCTTGCAGACGTTTTCATTTCTTCTGTGTTTTTCTTTGGTTCCTTTATCCCACATAGCGTTGCAAGACAGAATCACAACAACAAGAAGGAGAAGGAAAGAAGAAAAGAAACGTCAAGTTGAAGTCAATGACAAAAAATATATATATGACAGAAACAAAGAAACAGTAGGCGTATTTGCGCATGGTGTACCGATAAAACAAACAAAGACACACACACACAGTGTAAAGGGAGAAAGGAAGACGTCTTCACAAACGGGGTGCTGGCGGCTGCGAACTGAACTGGAGAGATGCCAACAAACTGAAGAAGAAGAGAAGAAAAAAAAACGGGGAAGAGGGGGGGGGGAGTGATAAACACAGAAGGGCGAAGGGTGCTTCCTCATCGAGCGAAGCGTTCCGCTACGTGCGCGGCACACACACACACAAAAAGAAAGCAAACCAGAGAGGCCAGATGAACCAGCTGTATGCACATACACACACACACACACATCAACAACAACAAGAGCATTTACGCCACTTTCTTGGTGTGTGTGTGTGTTTTGTCAACCACTATGGACACACCATGGATGCCGCTCGTACAGCGTGAGTGTGTATGTATGTAGAGGGAAGCTGCTTGACCAGCTTCCCGCGGCTCGAGTGCGCCACATCGCCTCAATTCAGCGTCTGCCGCGTCAACACCTCCACCTCGCCCGTGTCTTCGTCGCCGTCACTTGCACTATCGCTTTCGCTGCTGTCGCTGCCTGACACAAAAGAGGACGTGCGTGCATCATCATCATCATCATCATCATCATCATCGAAGTCGTCATCGCTGCTGCGGCTTCCGCGTGAGTTGGAGAGCGATTGCACGCGCGGGTGCTCCTCCTCATCCTCCTCATTCCAATTCGTTGCCGCCGCCTTCCGCGCTGTACGCGTCTTGCGCTTTTCCAGGCGGCGCTCCCACCAGATGCAAAACGCTACCAGCGCCACCACCGCCGCGCAGACGACAGAAAGCACGACGATGAGGGCGATGGCCCACCCACTCGACTTGGCAAAGGTGGTGTCGACCGGCAGCTGTGAGTTACCCAGTTTGTAGGACATGGTGTTGATCATAGACCGGGCCGCGATGGGGACGCCGATCTCGATGAGCTTCTGCAGGGCGGTTTGGATGCCATTGTTCACGGTGGAGTCGAAGTTGCTGCGGAACCAGCTCAGAAACGGGTCGTACCAGGAGAGAGGGTTCACGTGGCGCACGTTGGCGGTGCGCGCGTTCGTCACCTCCAGCAGCTTTTGCTCAAGTCCGTACATTCCTCGCTTTCATGCAATAACAACGACAGAAAAGAAGTTCTTAGTGTCTGTGGTGTTGGCTTATTTGCTCTGGACAGCTCATATATAGATGGATAGATAGATAGATATGCTTGGATGGGTGTATGCGTGTGTCCTTGGTTTATGAGACCGATACTTCACTGCATAAAAGCACCGGCGGGGAACAACGCAGGGAACTGTAAAAAAATGAGAAATGCACAGAACTGTAGAAAACAGTAAAAGAAATTCACAGACGGAAAACGAAGTAAATAAAATAAGAGGAAGAAAGAAGACAAAATCGGTGTTCACAATGACGTCGTGCTCAGCGGCGCGCAGCCTGCCGTGACGACAGTTGAATAGCAAAGGAAAAAGGGAGAAAACACGACACTACAAGAAAAAATATATATCGTTGTTCAATGAAGTCAGACCCACGTGTTGTCCGCTTGCTGACTGCGGCTACTTGGCGAGAACGCAGCTGCTGTTGCTGTCACAAATTAGTATTAGTATTGATATTAGTATTTTTTTTTTCAGAAAGAAAGAAAGGAGAGGAGGAAGAGAAAGGAAATAAGAGAATGGAGTAGCAGCAGGATGTAGGACTGGAAGTCTATCGCGGGATGGGAGCGATAGAGGGGAAAGAACACATGTTCTGAGGTATTATAGATCTATATATATATATTACCGCACCACCGGTATACATATTATAAGCCTACGCTGGCTGTGGAGAAAGCATACCTCATGTGGGGTGCGTGGGCAGCTTGCATAGCCACATAGCACGTCCATACGCTTCTCGACGGCTGAGTGGGAGATCGTTTTCCATACGGTCTTTTCAAAAATAAGAAAAAGAAAGAAAACAGAAAATAACGGCGAAGACAGTCGATCAGAAGGAAAAAGAAGGCATCGTATAGCTTCTCACATCCGTCATCACAGCGGAAGAAGAGCATGACAAAAACCCAAAACAATACAAAAGCTATGCGGCACGCATCTCACCTGGAATCAATTAAATAATAAAGGAAGGCGCGCCTGAAAAGAGAGCTGGGGGAAAAAGAGAGAAGGAAAGACACATGAAAATGGAGAGGTGTACCACCACGCGCGACGATCATCATCATGTATGTCTGTTTGTTTTTTTGCTTTTTGCGCTGATTGAAGTCAACACGAATGGCAGGGCACACACGCCAATAATAACTAATAATTAAAAAGAGTAGGAACACAAACATACACACATACACAGAATACACATACTACAATTGCGGATCGCGCCGCTAACAATGATTCTTACGCCCGGGGCAAAGAAGAACAACAACATGAAAAAAAAGAGAGGCGTTACAGCAGAGGAAAAGTGCAGTAAAGACGTTGCACCTGATCACCGTCTCCTTCGTTTTCCTTTTCCTTATATATATATATATATATACGTCGATCAAAGCCGGCTGTCCCGCGAGCGTCCACGACGAACAAATTCTGCATAAACGAACGCGCAAACGTACAACAAAAAAGAAGAGCGAGAGAGTCGGAGCGGCGCTGTAGCACCAGCTGCTGAGGAGCTCTGTCCCCTCCCCCCTTCTTCAAAAGGCCTTAGTTCGGATGATGACGATGCCCACGGTTGGACAAATCAGCCGCCTCCACACCGCTGTTGCTTTCGCTAAAAGAACGGCTGCTGCTATCATCATCATCATCTGATGAAGACAGCGAGCTGGTCGTCGTCGTGGTAGTGGTGCTGCGAGACTTGACAGACGTGTCACGGTCGTTCTTGCTTGTAGGAGGCTGCGCCGCGGAAGACGCAGCGGGCACGCGAAACGACGTGCTCACCATCCGCAGCAGCCCGCCAACTCGCTTATCCCGTAATTCCCGCTCGTGGCGGTGCCGCAGCCGGCGGGACCAGCGAATACACTGCAGGGCGATGGCCACCACGCACAGCACGACGACGAGGGCGACGATGAAGATCACGTACCAGTTGTCCTTGAACCAGGTGGCGACGGAGGGGAGGTAGAACACGAACTGATTCTGCGGCGCGGCCGGCTCCACGCAGAGCGCGCCGTAGGCGGTGGTCGAGATAACGCTCTGCCCGGCGTACTCGTCGCAAGATGGAATGGTCGCCATGCGGGTGACGAGAGTGAAGCAGGCGGAGTAACAGAGAGGATAGAGAAGGAAAACCTCAAACCGACGAGGGTGCGCACCAGGGATACGTGAACTCGTAGAAAGAGAAGAAATAAAGGAGTCGGACGGGACTTCAACAAGACAAAAAAAGAAGCGTATTTCTGTGCACAATGAAATAGCAATGCCTGCTGTTTGTTGCCTTCTGAAGATATACGTTTCTTTTCTTGTTTATAGTTTCCTTTTCTTGTTTTCCCTCACACGTTGTTCTTCAGTGGTGAGAGTGACCTTTCGTGACGAGATGCGAAGCAACGCGGGGAGAAACGTGTATCCGTGTCAGCAGCAAATCAAAGAAGGAGTGAACTCGCAGCAGCACACGCGTTGGTCGCTTCGCGGGGGTAAGACGGGAGTTGAACGGTAAGAAGTCATCGCAAAAAAACAGGGGACAATGAGAGACAGAGTGGAGGATTCGAAGAAGACACCAACAACAGCGACCACACAGTGAGACACAGTTGGCGATCCAGCAGTGATGGCGCACGTTTTGTTGTGGCACAGCGTTCAATATATATATATATATATATATATACATATTATATTGTTATGTTGGGGAGGGGTTCCCTTACTCAGGCAGAAACGCAGGAGAGAGCGGCGAGACGACAGGTAAGGCGTGTATGCTACCCTGTGCAAACTCCAAGGGGGGGGGGGGAACATAAAGAAGAAGAACGGTGTACAAGCAGGAAGAGGAGTGCATCTAAGGAGGACAAGGAGGGAAGGGGGGGGGGTGAGGGGAGAAAAGGCAGAAGGATTGTAGTCGTACAAGGGAAAAATCAAACAGCAAACTCACACACACGCACACACGCAGGTGCTGTTACATACACGAGCACCCAAGCCATGAACAAACAACAGCAGCGGCAAAAATTATATGTATGGAGACAGAAGAAACCGAGAAGACGGACATCATCAATGAGGGTGGATGTGCCGTTCGTGGGTGCGCTGTGACTCCCACAGACCGTGGAAAGCAGTCCCGCTCCCCTTTCCACTGTTTACTGCCACACTGAGACCCGCTCGCTCTTCCTTTTAAACGTGAGCAGCTTTGAAGACACACAGTGGGCAAGACGATGCCACCGTGTGTGCCACACCCATCGTTCATGATACACCGGAAAGAGGCGAAGGGGGCTGCGCAGGGCTAAGGCGGGGGGAGAAAGCCACACTTTTGCTGACAACTGGGTGCCCGCTGCGTCCTCCCTCGGCCCAGCGGCCGCGCTCGCAGGGTCGGACAGCTGAATTCCGGGCTGAGACGCGGCCCAGCGCCTGCGCACCTCCACCAGCGACTCCGCCAGGAGTTCTTCGAGACGCTCCGTTGGAACAGCGACGGCAGCGAGAGCTGCCTCAACGGCCGTGTCATTGTCCGCTGCCGGTGCCACGGAGGGCACACCTGTCGTTCTCATCCTCCTCCTCCACGCATGGGTGTGAGGCTGTTGCCGCTGCCGACGGCACGGAGAGAGTTGCTGCTGTTTTCGTTGTTGCGGTGGGCCCTGTCGCGCGGCAGGGGTCAGAGCCTGCGTCAACGCGCGCATCTCCGGCGACTCTGGTGTGTTGGGGAGCACCAGATGAACGTGGTGGTGCGTCTGCGCATCCCACAGGGAAAGAAAGAAGGCATCCGGAATGGAGGGGGCGCTTTTCGTGGGGGGTGTCGTTGCCGCCGCTGCTGCTGCGTTGCGCTCCTCCCGACCACCACCACTACTTCTCTTTTCCGTTCGACGCAGGTTTGCTGAGAGCTGCCGGAGAGACCGCCGCTGTCGACGCGTTCTTGTGCGGTGCGCGGCGCCGTGCACGCGCCGTGCGCACGTGCGGTCTTCTTCGTCCTCCTCCTTCTCCTCCCCAATGCGGTGCTGGCGAACGCACATGCGAGCAGCGAAGGCAGGCGAGGCGCAGTACAGCGGACCCACGTTCACGCACAGGTGGCGGCCCTCTTCCCCATCTACCCCACACCCCGCGCCACACCACTGACGTGATCGTCGCACCACCCGCTGCGTGCCCTCCACCGACGCAAACGGTGTGTGCTGAGCCAGCACGCGAGCCAGCAGCAGGCCATCTTTGCGCGCGTGTACCACTTTGACGGAGTCGTTCGCCGGCCCTGCCGAGGTACCGTAGCTGTACGGGAGCCGCACGTATGCCCGCGTGGCCGCCTCCAACCACCGCCACACCCCACGATTCAGCTCTGTGCGCTGCAGGAGTATGTTCGTGAGTAACGTCGCCTCCAACGCACTCTGCGCAGACCACGCGACGGAGGCGTGCGGGGCGAGGTGGCCGCGGTCGTAGCCGCGCCGCCGCACCTCCGCCGGCACCCGCCGCGCCGACCTCGGCAACGTGCGATCGGCGTACACGGTGAGGCAGCGCCGCTGCCGTCGTGCTCGCTCGGCTCCGCTGCTGGTTAAGTGGTACCCACACCACAGCGAGAGGCGCGTGATGGGGTCGTAGAGAAGGGCGAAGGAGTGCCGCTGCAACACCTGCAGGGGCGCACTGAGTAAGGACGGTATGGCGGCGGACGGCATCGCCGTTGACGACGTGTTGCCTGCTACGCAAAACACATCTACCGTGTAGGTCGGCAACGGCTCCCACTGCAAAGGGCGCGATGCTGCCCACGCGAGGGAAGCGAAGGATGACGCGAAGAGGCGGGTGCAGCGTGCAGACACCAGACTCGTTGATGAAGCCCGTTGTGCGTCCCTCCTGCTGACGGGCGGAGCACGAGTCTCCGAGGTGGAGACGGGGTGGTGAGGACCGTGCAGACGACCCAACATGTGTGTACCCCATCGAACTGCATCTATCTGCGCCTGCTCCGCCGCCTTGCTTTCCGCGCTGTCGGCGGGGTACGTGACTGCCCATTGCCGAAGCAGCGGCGGCGACCAGGCCCAGCGCGGCACCCACCGTTGGCCCACACAAGCAGCAGCCCAATTCCGTGCGGACACGGCGGGGCTGAGAGACGGGGCGGGCAGGAGCCACAGCGCGTTGCGGCAACGACCCTCACGTCGCGTGTACAAAGTGCTTTGCTGGCGCGCGCACCAGCCACGTCCGCGATAGCCAACCAGCACGCCGCAGCTACCTGCCAGTACGAGCAAGGAGATGCATGATGCCGTGCGGGTGTCTACTGCGTCATCGGCATGCCCATTGAAACGTTGATTACGAGAGGGACAAGAAGAGGAGGAAGATAACGAGGCGACGGCCGACGTCGCCTCCGTAAACCAGTCCCTCATGCTCTGCATGATGTTGTGTGGTACTGCCCTCTTTTTCCTTGTTGTTTCGGCCGGCGTACGCTGTAGTGCATGTGCGTCCTGGGTGCGCGTGTGCGTGCGCACATCGCGGGATACAACAACGCGCAACAAGCCAGCGAACCAGACGTACATAAAAAACAAAAGATATTAGAAAGAGAGAGGAGAGGAGAGGAGAAATGGTTGAGAAAACAAACACAGTTGAAAGCAACGGCGCCCTTTGCTTTTTTTTTTCTTCTTCTGCTGCTGTTCGTTGCTGCGTGCGCCAAAAGCTTCAGCTGCTCGTAGCCATTCGCAACGCACACGCAGCACATCCAAGACGGAGTGCGGTCGCTACCTCGTTCGACGCACAGGATCGGCAAGTAGCTCCTCCGACATCTACGCTGTAGATCGTCCAAATAATAATAATAATGATAATGAACGGACTGCAGAAAGACTGAAGAACGAGAACACAAAGACACAAGAGGAAAGAGAACAGTGAATATCTCGCCTGCTGTGGATTCGGTTTCTTTTCTTCCAAAAAAAAAAAGGAATACAGCACGTGTCATAGCAACAATAGCTCTCTTAGATAATTAAACGTCAGTACTTCACAGTTATTAGAGCGACGCGACAAGCGTTGACCTCGTCATTCGTCTTTCGTCGCCCGTGCGGCCTCTGCGCTTTGCATCGCCTCCATGGACTGCTGCTTCCCTCGCTCAATCGCAGCTGCCAAGTCGTCCATGCCAGCCCCCGACGCCGCCGACACCGCAGCGTAGGGTAAGTCCTCGTAGAACTCATGCAAGAAGAGTGACATGGACTGCGCCAGTGTACCCGCGTAGCTGCTCCCTTGACTCGGGAGCACCACGTCATGTGCCGACACTGCCGCCGCTACCCGGGAGCCTTCTCCTCGGATGTCGTGGTCATCGTCATCGCCTTCGTGTTGCTCCTCATTGCCTGATAAGCGTAGCTGCTGCTGCTGCTTCTGCGGATGTGTCACGGCGTCATCCAGCGCATCGTTATCCCGCATCCACCCAATCACCGTGTCGGCCGACACGACGTCCGTCTTGTTGAAGACCACCACGAGCGGCACCTGCTGCTTCAGCATAATACCGCTCGAGTATAACATGGTGGAGACGAAGGTGTGCGGGCTGCTCACGCACCGCACGGTGTCCGCGACGAAGAGCAGCGTCGTCGGCAGCACGGCGGCGAAGGACTCTGCGATGAGCTGACCGGAGGCAGACCAGGTAAACACCTCAATCTGGCCCGGCGTGTCCACGACGATCCAGTCCAGCGAGTCCTTGCGCTTCTCGAGGAGGGAGACGACTTGATGGATCTTCGTCGCGAAGAGGTTCAGCGACGTCATGATGGCCCCGTTTGGGCCGAGGCGGTAGTTCTTCATCACCTCGCTGTACTTCACGCTGTCGCGGATGTCGATGTTGACGTTGTACGGCGTCTGCGTCACGGCGGGGTCTAAATTGATAAAGTACGAACGGATGTTGCGGGAGTGGGCGTAGTGCTGCATGCGGTGGACGAGGGTGGTTTTGCCGGTGCCTGCCATACCCACTACCAAGATGACGACAGGGGTGGTGGTGGTGGTCGGCGATGGCGCCGGCTCGGCACTCGTGTCCGACATTTTTTGTTCTTTTGTTACGAGCAGGTGCCTCTTCTCCGGTTTGACGGAGTACGTTGCAATTGAACCGTCTCTGCTGGTACCCCTCACCGCGTTGGTCGAGACGAAGAGAGATGCACTGTGTTTCAAGACGTATTTCACGTGCCCGCACGGAAGAAGAGAAGGGGGACGGGAGGAAGGCGAAGTGGGTCGAATGGCCCGTTGCGAGGCATGCGTATGTGTCTGGATGTGCTTTCAAAAAAAAAAAACAAACGAGGACAACACGAATGTGGGGAAGGCGGTGGTGGTGGTGGTGAGGGGGGAGCAGCAAAAAAGACCGTCTTTCATTCGTGGAGCGGTGCCGGCACACACACTGCCGTGACTACCACCCCGCCGCCTGCGGTGAGACAACAACGGCATTCGAAAGAAAAATATGTCAGCGGAGGCGATTTCACTTATCTGCTTTCCGCTCCTTCTTTTCATTCCGCAACCACCAAACCGCGTGTGGGCGTACACACCCATATGTATTTATATTCATATACGCGCCCACATGTCAACTGCGCTGCTTCATTTAGCGTAGAAGGGCGGAACAACGCGCACCGCCTTTTCCTTTCATTTTCATGGAATTGGGCGACAAAATTACGTTGACTGCGTCAAGAGGGTACTGAGGTGCGCCATGCAGAGGGCGTACTCCCGCTCACGCAGCCACCCACGCTGAAGCAGCAGCAACCGTTGCTGAGCCAGTCGACTCGTCACGCACAGCAGGTCGCCTTTCATGGGGAGCTGCGTGCTGCTCAGCGGCACCGCCACCGCAGCCGCCAGCTGCACCGCCGTGGCGAACATCTCCAGACAATCGATATCACTTAAAGGAGAAAAGCCGGAGGAGGACGGCGAACGCGGAAGTACGCGGTCCACCCTCCACGCACTCGCTGCGCTTCGAATCTCAGACTCCGCGCCTGCGTAGCTCTCCGGCCCACTCTCCCGTGAGAGCGGCAACGCACTGCACAAACGGCAGACCGCGTACAACAGCTGATAGTGGAGCTGACGCACGCGGGCTCGCTCGTCCGCTGGATGACGTTGCGGCGGCGGTTGAGACGGCGCTGCGGCCTTTTCAAACGGTGTGTTGGGCGGCCGACCTTCCTCTGCCCGTGTACCGCTTCCATTCGCCGGCGACGCGGGCGATGCGGCGCTGCTGCGGCTGATGCCGCCCTCCTCATCTTCTGTCGCCTCTTTTGCGGGTGCCGTCCCGGTCGCCTTTAAACCCACGACGGTGGCAAGCGTGGGGGACGACGACGGTGATGACGGCGCAGCCTCAGAAAGCACCCGCTGAAGAGTAGTGGGAGGCTCAGCATAGAGACGTACCAGCAGGCGGAGCAGCTCGCGGCACCGGCGGCCCGCCGAGCCACACCGTGCGTTCCACACCCCATACGTATCCTCACTCACCAGCACATCTACTTGTCGACCAACACAACGGTTCCCGTCGTCGAGGGCACTATGCGCAGACGCGGCGACGGCGCCGATGCTACGAAAGCACCGCAGCAGCTCCTGCACGGACCCAATAAACGCGTCCACCACGGTGTCGAAAAGACGCTGCATGCCTTCGCTGCTGGACGCCGCAAGGACTTCCTGAAGGAGATGAAGGTGCCCCTCCTGCTGCTGCTGGCCGGCTTCGTCCAGTCGCGGCGCCGTGCGGCTGCGTGTCACTACCGGCGCCTCGGCTTCCACTCCCCCAGCGGTGTCTTCTGTCGGCGCGGCGCCTGTTCTGGCGCTTCTGTGTGTGGCAACCGCAGCCGAGCCTTCGGCGGCGGACACCATCAGCTTGCCCCACACGGGGTGACGCAGCCACCACTCCACATACCCGAGTGCAATGAGGTCACTCGGCCAGCGTGGCAGCAGCACGTCACACCAGTGTTGCACCACGAGGCCGAACACGTCCTTCACACGCAGTGGGGGGCTGGAGGGGAAGGAAGGAGATGCCGCTGCTGCTGCTGCTGCTTGGCGAGGCGACATCAGCCGCGCTGGTGAAGATGCGCGGGGGCTTTGCGTGCGGTGGCTTTCCGCATCGGGGGCGAGAAGCGCAGAAGTGAAGACATCCACAACTTGCGCTTCCAGGTGCTCCAGCAGGTCAAACAACTGCAGAAGAGCTTCATGAAGGGTGGGCGGAGGGCGTGTCGCTGTCGGTGGGTGTGTCGTGTTGACGAGTCCCGCAGCACGTAGGTGTTCATCCGACCCCTCGTTGCGTCGCCTCTCCACGCCCGATGTGCGGACTCCCGTGAGGGCTGCTGCTGCTGCTGCTGCTGCTACGCCGGTCCGCGAAGAGCTCTCTCCCGTACTCGGAGTCCCTTCCACCACGGTACTCGCAAGCAGCACATCGACATCGCGCTCCAGCTGCGCGGCCAGACACCTCGACAGCCCTCCTGAGACCCAAAGACGCAGCCACGGCAGCGCTTTTAAAACCGCCTCCGCAGAAGCACTTTCCGGTTTGGCGGACGAAGCCTCCTTCGACCCACTCGTCGTTGCACCCCTCTTCCTGGCGTTTGCCGTTGTCAGCGCCGTCAGGCCCGCATGCTCCTCCGAGAACACATCCACCAGAGCACAAAACGGCGAGGGCGATGCCGGCGCCGCACTCGCCGCAGCAGCCGACGCTACCGTCGTGGCGAGCACAGCAGTGCTACTAGTCTTGTTGTTTGCAGATCGCGCGAAGGCCGAAATCGAAGAGGACAACGACGCCACCCCGGTGCCGCTTATTGTCAGCGGCGGGATAGCGGGCGACTGCGGGGATTGAAAACGAGAGAAAGACGAGGCAGCCGGGGAGCCCGGGAAGAGACGTGAGGCGGCGGTGGAATCGCGTGAGGGTGCGTTTTCGCCTCCTCCACCACCGCCACCAAACGAAATGCTGTTGGCGACGGATGCGGCACGGGAGAAGCCACGTGCGCTGCCGCGACGCCGTTTTGCACCAACGAGCAGCGGCACAGCCCCGCCCTCGTGACAGCCGTCGAGGTGTGCCATGGAAGCTGGGTCGTTGCTGCTGAATGGATGTCCGCACTTCTCCTCACAATCGTAGAACGAGGAAGGAGACGCGGAAGACATGCAGCGATACCCGCGCTCCACCCGCACACCGCTGTCTTCGTCTAGCTGGACTGCCTCGCCGCCAAGCAGCAACCGCACCGCAGAGCTTCCTCTCGTATCGCTCGCGAAGGCTTGTGCCGCCCTCCGCACGCGTTCCTCCACGGGTGCGGAGGGCGGCCGCCGTGGGGCTGCTCCGAACACGTCCGACTCTTGAACACCTGGCAGCACATAACTCCTGTTGTTGCTGCTGCGGGTTCCACCAACAGCAGCAGCAGCAGCAGCAGCAGCGGTTGCGACGAAGGAGGGGGCAGACGGCAGAGGTCCTCCACCGTAGAAGGCGGCGGGCACGCGATACAGCCGCTGCACCGGTACCGCAGTGGAAAGGCAACCCCCACCAATGCCCAACGGCGATGACGGACTCACGGGGGACTGCAGCGGAATATGCGGAAACGACCGAGTTGCCAGCGCTGCGCGTGACGCGTTCGTCGACGCCGCCGCCGCCGCCAGCTTCCACGCGCCAACGCGCCCACCATCACCCACCACACCATGAACTGTCGCCTCGGACCCGCCGTGGCGATGCCGCTTCGCGTCTCCGCTGCGTTCGCTAAGCATTATCGGCCCTTTTCTATTCCCGCCCTCCGTCGCGGCGGTCGCGGCGTACTCGTCGCAGTGAGTGCCACGGCGTAGCGTCGAAGCAGATGGACTCGTCTTGCGTGTGCGTTCTTCCGCGGTGCAGCTGGCGTGTGGACGACACGGTGCGACACCGGAAGAGACAGGCGGCGCCACCACTGAAGGGTGCAGGTGTGCTGAGGAGGACGCCGCAGCACCGCGTGAAGGAGCATCCGACGCGATCGTGCCAGACCTACCGTTTGTTTGCGCGAAGGAGACGCCCGTGCTGACACTGCATGCTGTCGTGGGTGGTGATGACACGGGTGCCGCTCGTCGCGGCGCTTCCTCCGTTACGGGCGCGAAATGCCGAGCTGCTTCGCTCGACGAAAACGCTGGTGAGGCATCACCGCTGTCTATCATACTACGCTACTCTTTCTATTATTTACGGGTGAAAGTGTGTGTGTGTGTGTGCGTGTATGGAAAAAAGGACATCCTTTACCAAGCGAGCAGCACAACAGTAATCCGATTACGCGAACTGACCAACTCACTTTGAAATAATAATAATTATTAATAATAATAATTACGTGGCACACCAACAACAACAACGACAACGGCAGCAACAGCAAAAAGTGCGGCGTCGATTCGGTGTTGCGTGAATTGCACAGCTGGAGTGAAGAGAGGAAAAAGCTGTGTTGAGCATCAACCAGTACATGTATACGTGCGTTGGAAGAGCAAAGAGTCGGCTGCTTCTACGAATCTCTCTCAAAATGGAAGCAAAAAAAAAAAACGGAGGGCAACGAACAGCAAATACCCGAGAAGAAAAACATTTTTTTCTTTAAATGTTCAAGATCCGCATAACTGACGCAGTTGTCTGCGTATGCGCGTGATGAAGTAGGGAATATGGAGGAGTCACACTCCTCTCCCACTTCCTTTCTGTTCCAGTCGAGGGAAACTCATGCTTTCCAGCAGAAATATTTATATTGTATGTGCATTCATCGATAGCGCTAGCGAACAGACTACATGCGTTCAGGAAACACAAATAAAAGCTTGACAATAATAGCAGAAAGAAGAGGAGGTTAGCAACCCCTCGTGACACTCACCGACGAAGACGTACCTGGAACACCGTCTCACCAACCCTGCGGGAACATCGCTTTGAAGCGGCGCACGAAGAACTTCTGCCGTGGCCCACCAACGTCGGAGCCGTACTGTCCGCGTGCGCGCCACACATCGCGTGAGCTTGTCAGCGGTTTGCTGCCGAGTTTGTCGTAGTAATCCGGGTGGACGTTGTAGTAGGTAGACTTGAACTTCGTCACCTCCTCCGTTTTGTGGCGCGCATCGCTGACGCGGTTGAAACGGCGCATCTGCTCCGCCCGCTTTCGGTCTCGCTCTTCCGAAAAGTAAAGCATCTCCTTCGTCACCTCATCGCGGGAGTGGAACCAGTGCATGTTTTCAGCGTAGGTTTGGATCGACTTGGCTCGCTCCCACCCCAGCACGAGACGGTAGTCGATGTCCCTCTCGCTGAGCTGCTCGTTGTTCGGGTCGCGGAAGGTGCTCATGACCTCTTCCGTCACCACCTCACGCCGCGACCGCATCGGGAAGCCGTAGGCGCCCTTCAGCAGTGTGCGGTAGAGGCGTAGCTTCTCTTGGTGCTTGTAGCTGCTGGACGCAGCGGTGCCTGCCGCGTTGCACCGACACACGGTACGTTGCATTGCTGCTGCGTTTCCGAAGTGACCCTGCGTTATTTTTGCTGCTGTTTACCTCCGAGCGACTCTCCTACGATGATGTACGGCAGATCCTGCAAACGTACTAGATCTGAACGATAGGAGGGGGGGGGAGGAACGACTAATCACAATAATAGTAATAATAATAGTAATCGTATAGTGCTGATGATAGTGGTGATGGAATCTGTTAGTCCTGTGCGGGACTTTAAAGTAAAGGAAGAAAGAAACAAATCAGCTACTGCTGTGCAGTGGAACCACGTCCACGAAGGTGCGATGGAACAGGATTGCACCTATCTCTTTATGCAGAGTTTATGCGTGAAAAAACGAAAGCAAACACCACCAACAACAACAGAAACCAATACTCCCTCAAAAAAGAAGAGGAAGGATACAAGTATTTTTGACTCATTGTCTACTACACACACACACAGAAGGTGACAATGAATCGAAGCGCTTGTCAATGAATCCAACGATGTATTTATTTGCATCGTTCTCCAGTTAATGTGGTGCAGAGAGTCTCGAAGAACAGACTACCTTCTGAGGTGTGGCGTACCGGCTTTTTTTCTCCCTTTTCCACTTCAGCCGTTCTCGATCGTTCAATGGTAGCGACGCATCTTCTAGCCAGTCCCTTTCCGCCTCTTTTCGAAACCAGCTATCAACTAGCTTTTACGTCTCATCCCCTCCCACGTGCGTATCAGCTAGCTTTGATTCATAAGGCGAAGGCACTCCCTGACTAACAGAGCTCCGCACACGCACTTTGTGTGTGTGTGTGTGTGTGTGTGTTTGCGCTAGATCAACAATCATTTGCCGAATAGTTGCTCTTGACAAACGTTTGTGCATGTTTTATTTTTCATTATTATTGTTTTATTTTTGACTACAGTTGTCGTCCTTTCAATCGGAGGAGAAAGAAAGAAAAAGAAAATATGATGATGATAAGAACAGTAATGGGAAAAGGACAGCGCGCTTTCTACACATGTCAGCAAAACAAGAGCAACAAACAAAGAAACAAAGAAAGTAAAATATTCAGAAAGGGGCGGGTGGCGTTTGGGGTGGGGTGGAAAGGATTCTAACGTCCTATCCCCCCTCCCCCCCCCTCCACCTTTCCACTTCCCTTCAATTTAAAAGCTGACACCTTTTCTTTTCTCTTTTATTAATTCTAACTATTTTTCCCCTTTCTTTCCTTGTTGCCGCGAGTACGAAGTGAAATGAAAGCGGTGAAGATGAGCAACAACGCAAGTTAGGAGAACAAGATGGAGAGAGAGAGAGCACGAACGACAGAAGAAAGAGGAAGAGAACGCTGACAACGGCAGCACTTTATCGGCGGAGAGCGCGCGCACACACGAATGCGCGTAGCGAAAGAGAAGAGGGGGGGGGGAAAGGAAAAACAAAAAACAAAAATACCCATTGAACTTCACTGTGGACGCACACCTGGAGTTCGTGCGGCCACGTGAGCTTGTGCATCTCCTCGGGGGGAGGAGCAGATGCGGGTGGGACAAGGACGGTGTGGATCCGCCACGCAACAGGACTTTCACACATGAAACGTAAACACAAAAACGGGGGAAAAAAAGCGAAGAGAAGAGTCGTAAAATCAAAATCAATATCAGACACACACACATATATATAAGCACACAAGCGTTCTTCAAGCCGCGTGGGCTACAACGGACAGGTTGCAGCGAATGCCGCACATCTTTGAAGGAAAGAAGAAAGCAAAAGAAATAAAGAAAATGGGAAAACGAATGAGGTGCCGCTTCGTGTCGGCGAAATGACGTGAGCGCAGTAGGCCGGAACGCATGTCGTTTTTCACGAGTTCTCCCTTCGGGCCACGAAGGAAAAAAAGAAAAGAAAAAAAGGCTAATAAAAGTGAAGAGGACCACTCCGCTACTCACAGGAAGGAGGAAACGTGCGAAAGAACAATACCTATATACATTTCGAAGATATACACGTATACATACATATTACTAATACGAAAGCTGCAAGGCTAAAACACCTGTTCAACCACCATCCACCCGTTGCTGCAGGGTTTTTTTTTCCTTCTTCTTCGCTTTTCTACTGCAGTTCAGTCCACTTGCTTCTCTTCTCCGCTGCTCTTCGCTTTGTCTTCTTTACGACACGTAACAGCGCTGTCGCAGACACGAACGAGAACAAAAACAAACAAAAAAGGCGCCAGCGAAGAAACAAAATAAAATAGGATGAACGCACGTTTGCGCGAAGGAAATATGGCGGGAGGTGTGCGTGGAGGAGCGCACGTTACCCCGCTGTACACCTCCTCCCCGTCTCGCTTGTCTTCACGCGTCATACCGGTTGGGTGCGCGGAGGGGAGGGTGAGGTCGACCCAACGCCACACCCAAGTCGCCCCACAGAAAGAAGAAGAGAACAAAAAAAAAAGAAACGGAATTCAAGAAAAAAGCTCTAAACCACTTAGGAGGAAAGGAAGGAACTGGGGGGGGGGGGAGGGACGGAACGTACGGAGTGCGCTTCACCTCGACAAAGAAGGCACAGAAGTACAACGAAGATGAGTAGGCCAACAAAGAGGGGAAAAACGGTAAAACAAACAAACGAAAAAAGAAACTGTCAGGCACATCGAAAGCTGGAGAGGTGGCGTGTGTGCGTGCGTGTGCGTGTGCAGTGACGGCCACGAGCCGGTGTCCGCTTTGTCTTCCAGTGTTGAACTTCCCATCAGGGCTTTTTTTTCTTCTACAAGTGCGAGGGGTGAGGAGGAAAGGGGGAGAGAGAACAAATGAAAGGAAGAGGCATCCAACCTTTCCTTCATCTCCCCCCCCTCCTGTCGTCTATCTTCGAAAACAGCGGGCAGTGCAACGCCAAGGCGGAGAAGAGAGGAGGGGAGGGGGGAAATCATGATAATAATAATAATAAAAGGAGGCGGTGAGAGACTGGAGTGGAAGGGTAAGCAACGACGTCACTTCACTGGCATGCGAGCTAAAACATCGGAAGAGAAAAGAAGATGAAAGACAAATACGGAACATGAAGAAGAAAACACAAGCGAAAAACGCATATTTAGAAAGAGAGAGAAAAGACCCGTTCCACAGAGAAAAACGAGGAGGCCGCCAATAATAATAATAATAGTAAATATATATATATATAATTCATACATCGGGCAACATATATCACTGAGTAAAAAGAAGAAGAGAAAACAAAGAAGAGAGTTCAAAAAAAAAAAACAGAGAAGAAATACATCAGCTTTTCCTTACATCCAATTGTTCTGTGACTGTCTCACGTGTGCGTCATCGTCGTAGTCGTTTGGAGGACGCACGTGGCGCTGGCTGCCGCCCGTGTTCGACGCCTGACGCATCTCCTGATGCTGCTGTTGTGGAGCGTAGCCGTCATCGCTGCTGCGTCGGCGGCCGCCATCACCACTGTTGCTGCTGCTGCGACGGTAGTCGTTGCTTTTCTCGTTGTCGTTGTCGTCCTCGTAGGTGTTACCGCGGAAGGAGCGTGTGGACACGAAGGACTTGGGGCGCAGCGTCTCGTGCGTCTCTTGCTGCGCCCACTCCGGCGCGTCCTCGGGCGGCTCATCCATGTCTTCGTCGTCCTGGCAGAGCGCAACGATGAGAAACACGACGAGGGTGACGACGAACAAAACCACGAAGAAGATGATCCACCAGTTCTTCTGCAGCGCGCTGGAGGTGTTCGTCATCTCGTACATGGTGCGACTCGGCGCCTGCACCTGGCAGGCCGCCCAGAAGTTCACCTTGCTGGCCGCCTGCGCCGACGCGTTCCATTGACTGACGCCCGCGACAGGGCTCCAGCGGTAGCCGGCGTAGCTGTAGCCACCCACCGCGAGGTTGTCCGACCAGGTCGAGGTGTCGGACACACCGCGGAGGATCAAGTCCTGGCCGAACATCATCCCCGGCCGCCGATCGCGTGGTGCCATGTCCGCCGCGTCAAAGAAGCTCGGGAAGCCGCTCGCCTGTCCGTAGTACACGACGGTCGCCGACTGGGGTTTTTCGAAGGTGTTCCCGATGTAGAACGTCACCCCGACGCCTTTGATGTACAAGGGCAGCGTTCGGTTGTCTGCCGTCTCGGCCCACCGGCCCTGGTTCCACCGCCAGTAGCAGCCGTACGACACGCCGTTGATGAGGCGGCCCGAGATGATGGGAAACGGGCAGTTGTCTTCGAGGTTGGCGTCGGTGGTGGCGCCGAGGTACGCGAACCACGTCTCCCCCGCACCGGCCCGCCGCACCGTCTCGATGACCGACTGATGTAATGCTACGGTGGGCTCGCTGGCAAGGTAGCCACCGCCCTGTTGGCAGACGAGGCGCGACTGCATTTTGCTGCCGCTGGTGTCCTGTTTCGCGAAGCTGCTCATCACCGGCACGAAAGCGAAGCCGTGGGCAACGCGCACGGCCCCGCAGAAGAGGAGGAGGAGAAGAAGCAGAGGCAACGCAAGACGGCGGGCGCCGTGCCGCGGCCGCGCGTTCGAGCTTCCCCGCATCATTGTGCCGTGTATGATGCTGTGCATAACACTACTATATATATATGGGGGAGGGGGATCTGAGGAGACAAGCGATGCGGGGCTGCACTGAGGTAAGAGAGTAAAGATAGTGGGCGATGTAAAGCAAATAGATAAATAAATAGATAAACAAATAGATATATTTCCTCTAAAAGTGGCTGTGGCGGAATGCAGCGTCTAAAGCTGACGGGAACCAATAAAACGATGCATTTTTTTTTGGTGACGGTGCCGAAGGAACGACCGTGAAGGTCAGTGATATCATTGGAGAGGGAAAGGAACGAAAAGGAAAGAGAAGGAAAGAGAAGGTAAAGGAAAGTATATATGCATATATGTGTTGACGGGAGCGAGACGGAAAGTGGGAGGGACACGAGTCCATCATGTGCGCCACCGCCGGCAGCTGGAAAACAACAACAACCAACAAAGAAAGACAGGAGAGGAGGTCTTCTTTTTCTTTCTCCCTCACGCGGCCTTCATTTTCGTAAGAATCGCCGTAGATCGTTGCAGCCGATCCCGTTTTCTCTCCCCCCCCCCTCCCTCCGTGAATGTGCCTCCATTATTGGCCACAAGCGAGAATGCACTGTTCCATTGCTGCTGTTCAAACTCCTAGATAGAAGTGGTGAAATGAGAAGAAAACGAAATAAGAAGAAACAAAGGCCTCGATGGGAGCCGAACACCTCAAGCAGCAGCTGCTTCGAGAAAAAAGAATCAAAGAGAACGAAGAGAAAGGAGAGAAAGGAGAGAGCGCGTTCGACCTCCTTTCGTTGGTTATCGGCACCCTCGGCAGCTGAGCGCTCTCCCAAAAATCCTTAAGCCACACTTTCCCCTCCTCTTTCTCGTTTGGTATTCCCTTTTGTTTTTACCGTTGTAATACGTCTGCGGCAGTTCTTCGCACTTCCATTCCCATCGAGCGTGAAAAGGAAGAAGATATGCTTGTTTCACTTTTAACACTTTAAAACAATCAAACTATAATACATCCATACACATAAATCAGTACACATCGGCATCGTCCACATCCAACACACTACACAAAGAAAGAAGAGAACAGTAAAAGAGGGGGTAAGATGAGCTTCTCCTTTCTTTTCCCCCGCTGAGTGCGTAACGCAAGGAAGAGAGACGAGAACCAAAACATCATCAACAGCACGTGCGGTGAAAGAGAAGAAGGGAAAAAGTAATACCTGCGTGGCTGCGGATGCAGGGCATCAGATATGCTTCGCAGGAAAGATACACCCACACACATACACATATGTACGTACTTACAAAAGGTACGTATAGACCGTAGAGGTGGCAGAGGAGGCAAGAGGCGATCGTTGATGATGTCGGTTTCTGTGGGGAGAGGAGTAAACACACCCCTCTACACCGGCTCCTCCTCCCTCTCCCTTTTCGATTGCACAGCCCTTCACAAGGCTCATTACAAGGATGTCCGGCAGCGAATACAACGGCCACTTATCGCTCATGGCGAGCCATGAAGAACAAGAAAGCAGTGTACACGGAGCACCGTTAAGGAACACATGAGCTCCAAAAGGAGGGGGCTTTGAACAAAGAAAAAATGAGAAAGGTGATGATGCGAATGCCGCGATGACAAGCACACAATAACGAAGAGAGAAGGAGGAAAAATATATATGCGAAGTGGTCCGCGACGCTCCATCGACAAGTGAGAGGAAGAGGTCCGCTACATCGCATGGGGAAAAAAACTGTTATGGATAAAGATAAGGGAGATCTCGTGTATGCGTGTGCGTGTGTGGTTGTACGGCGGAACACGAAATGAAGAATGCCACTTGGCGAACTTGATTAACCAACCAAGACAAGAAAATACGTACACGCAAACAAAAAAAAAACGGCAAATTAAGGATTCTAAAACTAATAATAATAATAGTAAAAAAGAGAGGAACAAAACCGCTGTGGCTCATTTAAAACTGAGGAGGAGGGAAGACGATGAAGCTCCGAGAAAAGCAAGAAGCGCAAACAGAAAAACCAACGCTAAGTACATTTGTCTACTTTTTTTTTTTGCGGACGTGGTGTGGCGCGTGGGATGAAAGCAACACCACGCGGAACGGAAACGCGCAAACGATGGGGCCACCAAAGGCTGAAGCCGTTGGGAAAAAAAAGGAAATAGAAAGGAAAAATAATACGACTCCAGTTTTTAGAACGCATTTACGAAAAGAAGTGGAAGAGAAGGGGGAGAAACTGTACATCTTCGACGCCGCATTAACGCGTGTGTCGAGCGAGAACAAACAATACAAGAGAGAAAGAGAAGCGCATCTCACGCGTCGCGTGACACAACACCACCGACGCACGCGTAGGAGAGAAGAAGAAAGGGAAGGAAAAAAGGTTGGGGTCGAAGGAAATACATATACGTATATGAAGGGAGCGTCTCCTTCAAAACCCTTTCCCGTTTGATTCTTGTGTGTCTACAGAAAACAGAAACCGATCCATTAACTTTCTTTCATTGAACACATGTCAGGCGGTCTCTTAAACGATTTGCTGCGACAACGCCTTTCTGCAGGTTCCACCTTCCTTTTCTACCTTCTACTTTTCACTACAGATCCACGTTTAGTTCGGAAATCTCACCTGCCTGCGGCACATCGACATCTTCGAAGGTTTGCGAGACTGTTCGACCACGTGAGTGACGGCTGCTCCTTCGCTTCGGCGCTGTTACACTGTCCACCGCTGACGCGGTCTCGTGCTGCTGCTGCTCCATCCTCTTCACCTCATCCTCGTGCAGACAACCACCCCTCACGTTCGCGTAGTAGTCATCGCCCTTCTGGCGGCCGTCGCTGTCGACCATGTTGCCGTCCCCGTACTGGTTACGCCCGCCACGGCCGAAGATACCGGCGGCACCCATGGTCATGTCCTCCGGGTTTTGCCGGGGTTCCTGTGGGTTGAAGCCGCGACCGAGACGGCGCTGCGCCTCCTGATGTTGCTGCTGCTGCTGCTCGACTGACATCTGCTGCTGCGTGTACGCGCCGTTAGGAAGCTTCGGGTCCTTGCTGCCGTTGCTGGACTTGGGTATGGCGTCGGCGAGGACGTAGGCCGTGCCCATCCGCTCGCGCAACACCATCGCGTGGATCAGCGGTTCCTCCTTCGGCTTGGTCGCGGTGATGCAGCAGTATGCAATAACCGCAAACAGCAGCACCAGCAGCACCAGAGCAATGATGAGAAAGATCACCCACCAGTGTGACTGGGCCCACGTGAGCCGTTTAAAGCAGTTTACAAAGGTTGGCTGCGGCTTGCGGGAGGTGGTGGGGGGGTGCTGGGGGTAGAGCTGCACCTCGCACACCACCATGTACTTGTCGACGGGGTTAGGATTGTTGTTTTCGGGGTCCATAGGGCTGTCCATGCGCACCAACGATCTGGTGCCGACACTGTTGATCATGTAGTACTGCCCGCGCGGAAAGGAGAGACTGCCGGTTGTATTCCACACGAACTGCTCGTAGTCGTTGAGCACGTGTCCCTTGTTGGCATACAGGCCTTGCCAGAAAGCCGTGCCTGGCTCGCCTGCGTAACTGTACATATCGTAGAACCCGTAGCGCCAGCGGTAGGTGCAGCTGTCGCTGCTCAGCGTAGGCGAAGTGCAGCTGCGTGCGTCGCAGCATTTGTTTGGGTTTTCTGCTGACGGCTCCGCGCTGGCGCCGGTGAAGAAGGTCACGGCCGCGCCGGCATCCGTATCCTTAATGGAGGCCATCATCTGGTTGTTAATGGACGTGGTAGGGTCGCTCGCGGGGACGCCACCGCTGCTGAAGCACAGCTTCGCCGTGCTGTCGTAGGTGACAGAGATCTGCCGACTCTTGATGTCCTTGGGGGTGTATATGATCCAGTCCTTCATCTGCAGCACCAGCAGACCTTGCAGCTGGCCGTGCGCGACTTGGGTGGCCGCGAGGAGCGCCACGACGAGCACGGCCTGCGTCAGACGTAGCGCTGCCGATCGCATCGTGTACATCTCTTGGTGCTGCTGCGGTTGTTTTCCTTGCTTGATGTGGCCAACGTGGGCGGGAAACAGAACTACACGAAGAAACAGCAATCACCACAGCAGTGAAGGAATGGAGAAGAACGGTTGTACTTCTTCCTCTCTTGTGCTTGTGTGTTCCCCTCCGCCGTCAACGGTGCCCAGCAAGCACGAAAAGAAATACAATTTTTCTTCTTACGGGTTTCTGCTGCTTGCGTGGAAAACGTCGCTTTGCTTTTTTTTTACTTTTAGAAAGCGCTGCGAATAAGGTAAGAAGCGAAAGTAAGTAGGGCGCGGCTTCTGTGGAGCTATAGCTACAAAGGTATGTAGTAGTTATCTGTGACAGGCGTTGGCGTGGAAGGCAGACGTGCGGAAATACACGAAGTTTGAGAGCGGGAGAGCAGAAGAGTGAAGGCGCAGAAGACATCGTTTCTCACTATTATAGTTTTTTTTTTAGTCCTTGGCCCTCTCCGCAGGTTTCTCGTCCCTGCTAAACCGTGATCGTAGAAAACCTCTACGCAGCAGCAGCGGGTCTCTACAATCCTCATGTGGCAGCTATGTGCACCGGCACAGAGCGGAGCAGCCTCGTGAGTTCTTTTTTCCATTGTGGATGTGTGTGTGTGGTGGGGGTGGGGGGGGGGTGGAGGGCAGGAGCGCCGTGACCAACGCCTGCAGAGACTTCTCTCTTCCTTTTTTTCTCTCTCTCTCTTGTGATGTCACGAACGGGGTCCGCTCGTATCGGCAAATATATATATATATATGTATATATATGTTGACGCTGAAGAGCGAGGAATAAGGACAACAACGCAAGAGAATAGAAGAATCAAAAAAAAAAGAAGAGCAGCAACTACCTGAACGAATAACCGACAATTGACAAGGTATGATTCCGAATGCACAACGTATACTAAGGTGCGGGTGAATGCGATAGCAAATAATCGTAGGAAGAAAAATAAAACGCTTGTTGTGTAGATGAGAGGATTGTAGTTGCGTCAGGGAGAAGAGAGGAGAGCTGGCCGACGACTCGACAACACAGAGGTCATCCTCTGCTTTTCCTTTCCACACTCTTCAACACCGTAGAGCTCGAACGCTACTGAGCGACTGCGCCTCTCCTCCCAATCTGCGGTGGAAAGCGCACACACGCACACACCGTCTTGTGAAAGCGAGCCTTCAACAACAAGCAGCTTTCCTTCAGTTATTATCCGTATGTAAGCTCACAACTGTTTTTTTTTCTTTAATGAAATAAGTGATCGGGTGCGTCCGCTTGACACGAGGGGCCAACTGCCGCACTTTCCTCCTCCTTATCGTTGTGTTCTTTTGTTCTAGAGAACAGCAAGATTCAAAAGGCTCGAGACGGCTTCTACCCAGCAGAACACGTTGTAACGCGCTCCCGCGGCGTTGTGCACGAGGGCCCGCGGCCCGCCACTGTCATTTGACACGAACAGCGTCGCTGCAAACACAATCCCTGCAAACACAACATCGCTCGTCACGAGCGTCACCGCCTGCGCCAGCGGCGCGTGGATCAGCTTTTTGTGTTTCGGTGGCTGCTGCTGTCGCTGCGACGACGATGACAGTGTATTGCGACTCGCCGACCTGTTTCTCGGCGGAGGGGACGACTTGGGTGGGGCAGGTGGCGGCTGCGCCGCCGTTGTCACCGCCCCACACCAGCGTCGCAGCACCGCATTCGACACCTTTCCACTCACCCACTGCAACCCGCCCAGCACGCGCCAAGGCAGCCGGGGGAGCAGCGTCACCACAAAGTAGCCGCGCGGCGTCAGCGCAGCCCACACTGCATCCGCGCGTGCGTGCGCTGTTGTCGTGGCGGCGGCGGCGGCGGCATCCGGCACACGGCTGAAAAGGTCAGCGTCACGCCACTCCGCATGGAGGGGCTGCAGACGGCCAAAGACTCGCCGATACAACGCCTGCACGACGTCCAGCTTCGGCAGCAGCCGCGACCAGACACCGCTGACAGACACGCTAAAATCATAGAGGCCGTAGCTGCACCCCACCGACGGCGACGGCGGCAGCGCGGAGTGAAAGAGCGGCGCACAGAAGAAACTACGCGCCATCGATCTGAGACACATCCCACCTTCCTCTGCTATTGGCATGGCGGCGGAAAGGCCACTCGTGGTGGTACTGCTCCGCACCATGGGGATCACCTTGTCCAGCATCGTACAGCACGCGAGCGTCACGGAGAGCGAGGCAACACACAGAACGCAGCTCGTCATGCACACCCGCAGGACCACCACGCAGTACTGGCACGCCGCGGCACGGCTGCAGGTGCGCACAAACTGCACCGTCGGCACCCGCTGCACCGCGAGCACTTGTCGAGCAAAGGAGGAGACGGCCCACGAGTGGCGGCGGCCGACGCGCATCGCCAGCGCCGACGAGGCGGCGGTCGCGCGTGACGTGGCCGATTCCCCACTGCTGCCGCCACTGCTGCTGCCATCGCCATCTTGGGCAGCGGAAGCAGCAACGCCGCCTTCGTCGCCGTCCGCCCGCCGACGCTGCCGCCGCGCACTCGATAGCGTGTTGTAGGAAATGGTAATACCGCCCTCGTCGGCCGGGTCGATCAACACCCCGTCGGCCTCTGCACCGTTGAAGAGCTCCTCGCGCTGCACCGCATCTTTTGCCGCGCTCACCAACTCTGCCCGGTAGCGCTGCGCGACGATGCGGGAGAGTTGGTACACCAGCGGCGTGGCGGCGAGGGCCACACCAGCCGCGACGGCGTGCCAGCGGAGGGATTGCGTGACATCGAACAGGAAGAGGCTCGCCGCCTCACGTGCGCCGTCGGTGGCGGGTGCGGGGGAGCCGCTGGCGATACCGACCAATGCCTTGCCAGCCATAGAGTTCAGTTCCACCATGTTTGCTTTTCTTTTCCTCTCTTAAATACAAGAGAGAGAGAGTGTACGTGTGTGTGTGTGTATGTGTGAAGGAAAGGGGGAGAAAACCAACAACTATGAAGAGTCGCGCAGCAAAGAGGTCGAAAGGATTGCACCGCCCTTTGAAGGGAATCTTGTCTTCCCGTCGCTTGCGTGTGTGTTCCTTCTTTTGAAGGAGAGGGCGGTGTGTCGGAACGCGTAAAGAAGAATGAGGGGACCTCTCGCGCAATGACGCCGCAGGGGAGAGGAAAGGTGTAGACACAACAGGAAACGTGCGAATACGTACGATAGGGAGGGGCACCTAAAAAGCGTGCTTCAATATATTTATTTATTTATTTAAGGAGGAGAGGAAGAGGAGATGGCAAGTGCGTGGGTAGGCGATCCAGGGCTAGTTTCACGAAAACCCCTCGATGAGAAGACACTTTTCGCTTTGCCATTTTCTTTCTGTCTGTGTCTGTGTGTGTGTGTGTGTGTGTGTGTATCACGGCGCACCTCATGGAGGCTATTGGAAAACCATATATTATTATTGTCTCCTTTTGTTCTTCTTCTTACGCACCGTGCGTGAACCACCACGCAGAAAAGCCCCCTCCCCTCCCCCCCCCCCCTCGCACATTTTCTTCTTGTGCTCTCGTCATTTCACTGCTGGAGAGGAGTTTGCTACGGTGGGCCTCTTCGTGGCGGTGCGGTGCGCTACGCCGATAGATAAAGGAAAAATAGATAAATGGAAGAGGCAGCCATTTTCTTCTTCATTTGTTGTCGTTGCTGCTGCTGCTGCCCGCACGTTCTACTCCTGCTCGAGCGACGACTCCGTAAAGGGCGGGGGCGTGGTGAAGAGACGCCTGCTATGCCAGTTGTGCAGCGGCGGTGTCGCATCTTCTGCGTCGGATGATGGACTTACTGCGGCTGCGGCTGTTGCTGATGCCGCCGCCTCACTCGGCGAAGTGAAGGTCTTCGCGCTGCTCGGTGGAAATGAAAAGGCCACGTCTGACTTCTGCTGTGCGCCAGCATCCTCTCCCCTCTGCTCCGGCGGAGACAGGTTTTTCTCACTATCTTCGGTTGCGACCACCGTGGAGGACGTCGGTGCGGGCACGTCGGGGAGTCGCGTGGCGGGTCGACGGGGATCCGCTTCGGGCGGCGGCGATGCGGCCTCCACCGGTGATGCGGAGGGAGAGGGGAATGAGGGGGTGAAGGAGTCAGACGTCCCCGTTGTGGCTCTCTTGTGCGAATCCTTTGCCGCTTCCACCGTCGACAGTGTCGTACGCAGTGGTGATTCCGTCGTTGCCGCTGCATTGGTACTACGCCTCGGTGCTATTCCCGAGCCGGTTTCAGTTGCAGCCGCTCCTCTTTCATTTGCGCGCTCTGCCACGCCAGCACTCGACCACGCGGCGTCGTCAGCGCTGCCCACTCGCCCCTGCACCGGCGACTCCGCCACGAGCTCCGCCACGTCCATGGCCGAGGGCGACGATGCCACTGGCGAGGTTTTCTGCTCAACGGGTTGTACGCTACGTGAAAACGCATCTTCCGCCTCCGCGCTGTGCAACGTGAAGTCTTCTGCGACGTCCGCCTGAGCTGCTGCGCCGTACAAGTTCAACGGATCCCCGCTCAATGAACCATCACCACCACCGACCAGAGAAGACGACGTCACGTGCGACACTGCCGGCAGCAACGACGCCGCCACTGCGGCCAACTCGCTGCGCGACGCCGCCGTGTGCAGCGGTGGCGGCAGCGGTGGTGCGGACGTGGCCGCCGCAAGACTCGATGTTGTACCTGCTGCAGCAGCATCGTCTGTCTCATCAGCGTTGCCGCCGTTGCCGCTGTTCTCCATTCCCTTTTCGAGGAACGCCACCGCCGGCCGCTGCGTATGCTGCCGTGCGAGGGTGCGGGCGCGAACCTCGGCGTTCTCCTTGGCGCGGTGCTCCGCATCTGCCTGGATCTGCGCCACCGCCGACTGCGCCTCGGACCGAATGACCGTCATGACCACCGCCAATACGTCATCGGTAGAGACACAACGGACCTGGCCTTCTCCGCTGCCCTCGTCTGGCCGGCAGCGCAGCGGCAACGCCAACACGTGCGCCTCGACCTGCGAGTACACGCTGTTCAACGTGCGCTTGACCCGCTTGCACTGCTGCCGCATCGTCTCCTCCGGTGCACGGACATCTGCGTTGGCCTGCATGTACTGCAGCCTGTCGTTTAGGCCCGTTAAGACGTCGATTTCGGCGCGTAGCTGGCGACGATCGCGCTCGTGGTGGAACTTAGCGTCCTGCAGCGCGGCTTGCAAGGTCACGATCTGCTGATCGCGTGCGGTCACCTTCGCCTTCCATTCCGCCATCACAGCGCTCACGCCGCCTTCACCGTCGACGGCAGTGAACGCGGCCTGACGACCTTCGCGGTAGCCGGCGGCGTGTCCGTCGGACTTACCGGCCGCGTAGCGTTCCTCTGCGAGGCGTTCGAGCTCCTCGCGGTGCCGCACATCCTGCTCCAGCAGCTTCAGCCGCGTCTGCTCCGCCGCGTCCTGGCGCTGCCGCGTCCACAGGTCCTGCTGCACCTGCAGATCCTTCTCGAGGGCCTGCGCCTTCTCCGATGACCGCCCCATCGCCTCCAACGCCCGCTGGTAATTAGCGTTGGCCTCCTCGTACCTCTCGCGATACCTCTCCACACTCGCGAGAAGGGCGTCGCGGTCCTTCAGTGTGTCCTCGACAGCGACGTCTTCCTGCGGCGCGAGGCCGACCAGCCGCTTCACCACCCGCTCCAGCTCCGCGTTGTTGCGCTGCAGTTTGCCCTCGATGTCGAGGCGATCGACCTTCTCGCAGAGGGAGCCGAGCTGCAGCAGCGCACGATCAAGAGCGCGCTCCATCGCGTCCCACGTGTGCACTGGCGTGGCGGCCGTGAGAGTCGGCGGTGCTCCGTGCGTGGGCTGCGCTGGTTGGAGAGCGCGCAGGAGGAGTTGCTGAAGCATCTCACTCGTGGCGGCGGTCGGGTCTACACTCGCTGTCGGAAACCCGGGCTGCGAGTTTGGCTCCGGCTGTTGCGGTGCGTGTCTTGGTTCTGCTCGCACACGTGTGGGTGGCCCCGCCGCCGGTGCCGGTGCCGGTGCCGTCGTCGTCGACACAGCGTTGACGCACGTCACGTACGCCACAGCAAGCCAGCTCAGCGCTCCAACTTCGGTGACCAGTGTGTGCTTGTCGCTGCCGTGGTGCCCGCGCCAGCGAGCACCGGGCGATGATGACGTAGACAAGTCAGGAAACTGCATGGAAGACGGGGAGGACAGCTCGGGGTGTCGCACCCGCGTCTCCTCGGCGGTCAGGAATACGATTCGGGACTCGCCGCTGCGCATCCCGACCATCGCTGCTTCGAGTCCCTCCCGCAGCGTGCCGGAGCCCGGTGTAACGTTGCGCGGCGACGACGGCGGCGGTGCGACGCCGTCCACGCACTCTGCTGGCAGGCAGTACGACGTCGTGCGGCTTACGCGGCGCAGCGCCCACGTGCTCCAGTAAATGGTGGCAGGCTTGTTGATCTGCACAATGGATGCGCCGCTGTCACCACCGCCATTCGGGTCGGCGTTTGTGCAAGACGACGTTGACGTTGATGAAGAGAACGAGGAGGAGCGGGGTAGCACACGAACCGCAGGCACCGCAGCAGCGAACGTGCCGGCTTGCTTCGCCAAAGCGGCGGCGTATTGAGCCACCGTGTAGGTAGCCACGAGAAACTCCAGCGCTTTCCCACGATCAGGGAACATGCAGGTCCACCAGCACGCCGCACCGGATGCGTTGGGCAAGTCGCAGAAAAAACTGAGGTACTGCGGCTGCTCGCGATCTTGTTGCAGCTGGAGCGAGCCGCGTTCAAACACACTTTCCGGCCTCTCCAGCGAAATCCTGCACAAAACTTGCCGGTTCGAACTCATCAGCAAGAGGATCGGCGCAGGCGAGGCAGATGGCGGAGAAGCACGCCGCAGGGGTCCGCTGTCGCGTTGCCGAAGCCGCTCCCGTGCCGCTGCTGAAGGTGGCAACTGTTGCGGCGCACTGGACAACGACGCGGCTGTTGTATTTGCGCTGCTGCTACTGCTCCTCGAAGGAACCGATGACGGCGGCACGCACAGCGCCAGCATACAGGTGCCACAGTACAGCGCGTCCCGGTAGACCTGCACCACCGCATGCAAAGCCGTCGTTAACCCTGCTGCACCGCCGCTGTTTGCTGCAATCGACCCATCCTGATGACGGTGGTCGTGGAGGAGTGCGTTGTGGCTGGCATCGGTGCTGCCGGGACCTTCGTAAGTGAAGCGCGGCGGGAAGAAGGCGTCTGCCGCGTTGTTGGCTGGCGACAAAGAAGGGCCGAAGGTGGAGTGGGATGCGGCGTCCACTGAGGTGTGCGGCACCCCGGCCTCCGCCGCAACAGCGGGAGCAGTGGACGGGACAACAAGAGGAGCAGGCGAAGAGGAGGGCTGCTGGGAGACAAAAGGAGGGCCGTCGTCGAACAACTGTGACAAGTTGCGCCGTGTCGACGCGACCTTGCTCGATTGAGGGAGGAGGTCATTACTCGTGTTCGTTGCGGAGCGCGGCGGCGGCGGCGGTGGTGGCCGCTGCTTTGCCGATACCGAGCCTGTGGGTGCTGCGTCAGACGTTGCTGCCTGCGTGAGGAGGGGGTCGTCCAACGCGGCATGCGGGGCGGGGGCGCTGCCACGGCTTCCACCGCCTCGACGTGCAAAGAGATCGTCGTCAGAGGCGTCGCTGTCGGACGAGAAGAGAGCCCGTCGCTTCATGTTTGGTGGCGTGAGGGAGAGGGTGATGCTAATATCCCAGCGTAAAATGCGCAGCTACAAGAATAAGAATAAGAATAAGAATAATACAAAAAACCGATAGGAATCGAGATGTGCTCAAAAACAGCAACAGTAATGCCTGCGTACCAACTGCGTTGATTCGTGGAGAAAACAAATATGTATATGCGTATGTCAGAGAGAAGCAACACACGTTGAGCTTCTTTCGCTGCTTCACACGTAACGTGAGAGAGAAAGGGAGCGCGAAGAAGAGAGCGCACGGGGGCGGGTAGAAGGAGGGTCTTCATTTTTGTTTCCATACGGCAAGGGTAGAAAGCGAAGACACCCATGTTTCTTTTTACCGGCGTCTGGACTTAACGCGGCGATGACGGTAACGATGATGACGACAATGCGCGAGGCGGGTGCTTGCGACCACTGCGCGGGGTGATAAACAGCACAGCCCAGAAAACCGTCGCACATCAAGCAAAGCGCCAACTACCACACAACCAGGACGTTGTGTGCGAGTCAAAATAATAATAATAAATATCGGCGCAACCTACACAAAACACGCTGCCTTTTCTTACCTTCACATAGACAAGAGATCTGCGTCACCACGACACTGACTCCGTGGTTTGTTCGAAAAATGGATCTCCAGCAATGAATAGTTGGATTTGTGTGTGCGTGTGCTAACAGCGTACATACCAGAGGAGCTGGGGGAGAAAAAAAAACAATAATACATTGAAGAAGAGAAAAAAGCTAACAATAATGATAATAATAATCACAAAACTGAGATCCACTCACACGCATGACTGCACTGCCGTGATGACATGAGATGTAGCCGGCGTGCGGGGGTTTTCGCCACGGCCTAAAAAAGGCAGCCTTTTTTTCTTCTGTACATCAAATCGTAAAGGACACATGAGAGAAACGGGAAGGTAAAAAGCTCCGCCGCTGCAAATGACGCGGTGTCTGCCATACGCATCTAAATATCGCAGAACGTGTCGTCGTGGGGGTTGTGGCGCATAATCCACTCCGCAAGAAAGTCCACCGGGTCGTCCGGCCGCGTCGCACACACCTCCAGCAGCCCTTTGTGCAGCAAGGGCAATACCCGCTCCTGCAAGTAACGTGTCATGGGTTGCTTACGCAGCTCCAGCTCTGCCAAGTCAGCCCTCCGCAGCTCCGCCATCTTCGCGTCGTCCGCGTTGCGGGCGCTCTGCTCCATTGCGCACTCCGCGGACTCCGCGGCGACCTTGGCGGCCACCTGCGCCGCGTAGGCCTTCTCCTCTTCCTCCTCCAAGCAGCGTTGCCGCACGGCGTCGCGCTGCAGCTCCTCCAGACTCTTTCCAAAGTTGTGCGGAGGGCCGACGATGACCTGCTGCAACAGCTGCTCCGTGTCTCCGAGAGGGGTTTCAGCGAAGACGGAGGCGGGCGGTGGCGGCGGCACGAGGGGCTCGTGGCCTTCCACGGTCACCAGATGCACCTCGGCGCGCCGCTCCGTCTTGGGCACGCCCTCCACGTTGATGGTCGCCCCTGCGCACTCCAAGTAGCTGAGCACCGAGTAGGTTGCCTCCACGTACTCCTGTTTGTAGGTTTGAAGGTCGTTCTGAAAGGCTTCGACGTCGACGGCGTGCCGAGCGGGCGCTGTGGTGTCTAACTTCCGCTGCTGCTGCTCCGCCGCCACCCCCACAGCGCGCAGCCGGCTCAGCAGGTAGGTGTCGGAGGCCTGCAGCACCACCACGTGGTCCGGCAGCCGCGCCTCACTTGCCGGCTCTTTGGCCGCCGCAGGGCCCGCCATCCCCGCACCGCCCATGCCCGTCTCCTCACCGTCCGTGGCCCCTCCAGCGGCGGCAGCAGCGGCGGATGCGGCCCCCTCGCCGGCGTACCGCGGCCGCAACGCCTCCTCCTCCGTCGCCGGCGGCTGCACCGCCTCGTCCGCGTCATTGTCGGCAAAGACCAGGCGGGCCATCTCGAGCGTGGTCGGCACCCCGTCCAGCACAAAGCCGTGCACGCGGCAGTCCGGCTGGGCAAGGCGCCAGCGCAGCATGAGCGCCAGCGCACGCGTCTGGAAAGGTGCGTTTTGGAGGCTGGCCTTCAGCTGCAACAGCTCCTCCTCCTCTTCCTTCGACTTCTGCGCGTCTTTGACAGCGTTCCCTTTCTTCTTGGCGCCGCCGCCGCTGTTGCCGCCCGCGGCGCGGCGTTTCGGGTTCGCATCGGGTGTGGGTGGCCGCGGATGCAGCCGCAGCAGCAGTACCCGCTCCATCTCTCCTATCTTGCTGCGCCACGCCTGCGCCAGCGGCTGCTCCGCCCACCACTCCTGCACAACGCGCGTAACGTCCTCGTCCTCCGCGGCCGTGAGAGCGAAGGTGGCCGCGGCGACCTCGCGCTGCACCCCGCCGGCGGTGGCGGTGCCCCGACCGCCTTCGTTGTCCATGCTGCTGACCTCGTCTGCGGCGTCCTCCTGGTCGCTCATCGTCATCATCGTCCCCGCCGCCGCAGCAGCAGCAGAAGCAGGGTCGGCATCTCCCCGCGCTGCTGCCCCCGCGTCCCACTCCCGCTGCTGCCGCGCCACCACACGACGCCGTTTGATGCCCAAGCGACGCGTCCGCTCTGCCTGGAGCACCGCCGCCTTCGTCGTCTCTACGCGGGTCCGCAGCGCCTCCAGTGCCGCTGTGTACTCGGCCACCACGGAGTCGAGCGAGACGCAGGGTAGGCGGTAGTAGCGGGCGAGGCGGGCGGCGAGGTAGCTCTTGCCGACCAGCGGTGGCCCTACCAAGGCAATGCGAAGAGGGCTGACGCCGCGCGCAACAGCAAACTGGTGGGCGACGGCGCGGAGGTGACGACGGAGGCTGCCCTCGGCGACCCACGTGTTAGGCAGTCGTGGAGGGGCAGCGGCGCCAGCCGCCGCCTCACCCAACGCCTTCCGCTCCCGCTCCGCCTCCTCCTCCTCTCTGTCGTCCTGCCGCTCCATCAGGGTCTTCATCGACTCCGCCTCCACGCGCAGGTTCAGGGTAAACTTATCCACGTCGCGGTACAGCGGGTAGGAGGGCGGGGGAACCGGTTGCAGGGCACAGCGACCCCCGAACATGTTATTCACGCCCTTCACGATGGACATCCATGAGTTGCGGTTCGCCCCGTCCGTGGCGAAGAGGTAGCGGCGCTCGGGGAAAGGCAGGTTGGCAGAGGGGCAGCAGAGCAGCTTCCGCACAAAGCAGGCCAGGTCCTGGGCGTGCACGAGCGGCACGCGCTGACTGCCATCACCGAAGACGGGCAGCACCGCGGTGGCGGCCGGCGTGGCGGCGAGCGAGGCCGCCGTGGTCACCGCCGCGGTCGGGGCGACATCGTCGTCCTTCTCCGGCCGCGCCGACCACGCCAGTCGGAACAACGGCTCCAGCACGTCCTCCTCGCCCCCGTACGGGAGTCCGCTGCACACCACAAACGTGTCCAGCGGGAGCCCTTTCGCGTGGTGGGCCGCCGCAACGGCTTTCTCCGCATCGCGCCAGCTCATGTACTGCAGGTGCGGCACGCGGCGGTTGTACTGATCCTCCGTTAGCACCTCTGCCGCCGCGTCCCCCCCTGCCTCGTTGCCCCCCTCCTCCTCTTCCTCTTCTTCCTCGCCCCCTTTTCCGTTTCTGCCGGTCGCGCCGCTCTCCACCGGGCCAACGGTCCGCATCGCGTCGACGACGGCGCGCCGCGCGGCATCCTGCGCACTCTGCAAGATTCTTTCCAGCGACTGCGGCGGCGGAGGGGGGTAGGGCGCCTCCGTGTCCCCGTCCGCCTCCTCGTCCTCTTGGCGCGCCGCGTCGTCGTCGTTGAGGTCGGCGTCGTCGCCCGCAGCCTCTGCAGCGGTCAGCGCCGGCGTGGCGTACCACGTCATGAGACTGGACAGCAGTACCAACCGCTTTGGCCGCTCAAAGGAGGACTGCAGCTGCAGGAACTGCACCACCTCCAGCACCGTTTGGGCCTGGCGCAGCTCCACGACAATCCAGTCACACGCCAGCAGCGCCGCCCGCGTCGCGGCTACATCGTGTCGGGAGAAAAAAGTGGAAGTTAACAATGCCGACGCAGGAGCAGCAGCAGCAGCAGCAGCCAACGAAGGCGCGTCGTTCGCGGTGGTACCAGAGACGCGAGCGGAGTGACCGGCCTCTTCCTCCTCCCCACCCCCAATCGTCAGCGGCGGCCCATCAGCGATGCCAACCCTGTCAATGTCGCTCGGCAGCGGCGCCGTGTCGGTGCGGGAGGTTTCGCACGAGGTGAGAAGCCCACGGCTGTCGTGCAGGGAGCTGCGATGCGCCTCATCCGACGTGACTGGGGCGGAATGTGCCGCCGCGGCGGCACCCGCGGCATCGGCGGCGACCGCGTCGGGGCGGAGTCCGCGCGCTGCCGCTGCAGCGTGGAGGCGAGCAACAGCGGCGGCGTTTAACTTATCCGCCGCCGCGCTGTCCCACGTGCAGCCGTATACGTGGTAGGTGGAGGGGGACTGCTGGAACTGGCTGAGCACGCGCGTCCCAACAAAGCTGTCCGCGTAGGATACAAAGACGTTGATGCGAGACATCGCTCCTTTTCTAGCAGGGAAAAAAAACTGTGACAAGAAAGGAGGTTCAAGGAGACGTAGAAAGGTACGTACATGCGTTCATGTCCACGAAAGAAGAACCACCGCGTACGCAGGCGGGGAAAGGTGGTGTGTGCATGGGACCCCACGGAGCGCTTATCCCTCCCCCCCCCTCCCCCCTCCACAGCGCGGCTCCGCCTCTCTCCGTCTGCTCTGCAAGACGCAGCGGAAGAGAAAAAGAAAGGAAAGGATCAGATGCATTCCACCGACCCTCGTAATGATGAAAATCGAAAGAAACCCTCGAAACCAGCGTCGGAGAAAGACCGAGACGCTGCGGAGAGCAACAAAAGGGAGGGGGGGGCGGTTGACCAAACCCCGTTACTCGTGATCTTGGTGCTGAAGCATACGCCTCAGCGGAACAGGGTATGTAGTTGGTTATTTGAACTGCATGCTGCCCCGCAGGAGCATTTCGAAACACGCATATCGACACCACTTAGTAATATATAAAAGAAACACACAAACACATATATACCCACCCATCCCCTGCATTAATCGCCACAGACGACTCCTTTAAAGGATGCGGCAGCAGCTTGAAGCACTCATGCACTGCCGCACAACTGCGCCTCGCTGCCGAAGCGAACGCGCCCGACAGTCAGAAAAAAACAACAACCACTATTGAAGAGAAGCTGCACGACACCCGCAATCACACAACCGAAAAGCTTCCGACTCCTTTTTTTTATTATTATTTGACGCTAATGACCTAAAAACAAAAATCCTTCAATACATAAAAAGACGCAAAAGGAAAAACCCCTCACACACACGCTAGGAGAGAAGACAGAGGCCGCACACACACACAAACGAAAAGAAGACAGTAGAAGCGTCACCCGCGGCAAAAAATGGTTGTGACTTGGCGTTACATACAAAATGACGAACCACAATGCTGTTCTTTCTTACGCGACATCCTGAAAGCACGTCCCGCCCCGCCCACCTTCTTTCCCCCCCCCCCCCGATTCCCTCTCTCTGCGCTATCAACGTGGAGGTGACGCCTTTACCCGCCTCCTTTTCATTACCTATTGCTCTCTACGCAGCGAAGTAATAATACTTCCAACAACGCCAAAAGTAATTCCTTAAACAACAGCAACAACAACAGCACGCAACAACAGGAAAACAACAGAAACAAGATCACTACTCGCCCGTGATCAGGTTGGAAATCAATTTGCGCACGAGACGCGCCTTGTTGCGGATCTTGCGATCGAGCAGTTCGCTCGGCACGGCGTCGAGCGACTCCAGCACCGTCGACAGCTCCCGCTTCACGATTTCGAAGGTGGCATTCTGCTGCGGGTCCTTCTGCGCCTGGTTGCGAATGGAGCGGAGGTAGTCGTCCCACTCAAAGTAGAAGTCCGAGAGCAGTTGCAGCCGCAGCGGCACCGACCCCGTCTGCGCCACCATTTCAAACGTCAGCTGCAGGCACAGGCTGAGGAAGAGCGGCAGGGTAAGGGTCTTGGGCGAGGTCACCACGGCCTGGTTCTCCTTGCACACGGGATTCTCCAGGAAGGCGAGAAGGATGCTGATGTCGTCCGCGGCCAGAATGGCGGTGACCGCCTCCTTCCACTCCTCGGCCCGCGCCTTCTCCACCGCGCTCGCGACGATCGCCTCCGGGTCCATAGCCGCCGCTGCCCCGCCGCCGGCGCCGTTCGCGGTGGAGAGTTGATACTGCGACAGCGCCACCTTCAGATCCCCCATCTCTTCCTTGAGGGAGCGCAGGGAGGTGGTCAGCTTCTGGCGGAAAGCCTCCGCTTCTGTCAGACGGCGCTCCGTCTCCACCGCGGAGGCGTCGACCGTGGCGCGGTTCAGCTCCCGGTAGCGCGTCGTCGCGGCGCCAACGCGCTTCAGACTCTCATCCACCGACCGGCGGAAGGCCACCATCGATTCGGTGTTGTTGAGGTTGCTGAGGATTGGACCTTGCACATCGAGCTTGCCCGTCTCACTCGCCGCCCGCTCCACTGAGATGTGCAGCTGCTTGGCGAGGAGTGTCTTAAGGGCAGCGGAGGCAGCGGCGGCGCTGCCACCTTGCACCTCCTGCACAAAGTTGCGGATGCTGAGAATCAGATCGTGCTCCCCCTCCGTCAGAACGCCGTACTCCGCATCATTGCTGCTGCTGTCGGCCGCACCTGCGGCGGGTGTCTGCGTTGCCGGGGAGGCCACCGCCGAGCTGCTCTTCTCCAGCCGAGCGCGGTTGCGGATGGCAAAGGTGCGGCCGCTGTTTTGCGCCTCTGTGCGGTGGCGCGAGTCCTGCAGCAGCCGCATCGTGTCGGACACCGTCTTCTGCATCCCCACCAGGTCTGTGTCGATCACCCTCACCTGCTCGCAGAACTTCTGCGCCTGCGTGCGCACGAGCGCGGAGACGGCGTGCTCCGACATACCGCTCGTTTTACTCTCGCCCGAGAGAGAGGAGGAGACGGCGGTGATGGGGGTCATGGCCGCCCGGGCAGAGCCGCCCGCCGCACCCGCCGCAGACCCGTCACCAGCGCCGGCTGCCGCGGCGACGGAGGGGAACCAGTTCATGACGGAGTCCCCTCTGGCGGCGGACAGGTTCGACGCCCCGGCGAGGCGGCTAGAGTTGGGCATAGACTGCACGAAGCCGTCCTTGGTGCGAATAGTAATGAAGAGCTCGTAGCTGACAGACTTGCTCTGCGCCGTCTCCGTGACTTTGCCGACGGAGGTGGTGGAGCACAGCGCCGGGCCAGCCATGCGCCACGACGTGGTGCGGTAGGCCTTGAAGAGGGTGTGGTGGGTTTCAATGACGACCGCGTAGGGCCGCGTGCGGGAGCACAAGGTGATGTACTCCTCGTCAGCCGTCACGCTGATGTCGTACTCTTCGTTTGGTTCGTCCTTGTGCGACAGGTTCAGCTGCTGCTTCAGCGTGAACTTCTGCGCGTCGCTCTGGTAGGCCCAGAAGCGGATCTCTCGGTTGCCCTGTGCGGCGGTGACCACCAACACCTCATCGCCGGACTCCTCACTAAAGGCGTGGTGCTGGAAGAAGCAGGCGAAGGTGGGGGTGTTGTCCTCGTGCGGCTCCCACACACGGCCCAGGGCACTCCTGCGGGTGCGGGTGGAAACGAGGTCGAGGTGGGTCGCCTTTGCCGGCACGAGCAACAGCTGGGCCGATTGGTGGTAGTCGATGACGGGGTACTTCACGGCCGTTTTGGGCGCCAAGGCGATCTTGCTCTTCACGGTGCCGGTCGACTCCTCCACCTCCATCACGTTCTGGGTTCCGAGAATGTACAGCCGCTGCGATTCGCCAGCTGTCGAGGCGAACGCCTCCTCGTCCAGCGTCGACTCGACCACCGAGACGGAGATGTCACCGTTGGCCTGCGTGTTGGGGCAGATGATCGCCAGGTCCCTCCCACCCACCGCGTAGAAGAGGGTGGGGTGCCCGGTCATCTTCTCCGTCGAGACTAGGTGCGCGACCGAGGCGGCCTTGATAGCCGTGTCGTTGTGCTTGCCGTGGCGGTTCAGCACGCGCAGAACGTTTGTCTGCTTCACGTTCATGCACAGCAGGCGGCGGTGGCTCGCCAGGACGGGCTTCGCGCCCGCCGTGAAGTTCGCTGCTGAGGTCTTGCTGAGCGTGACATCCGACTTGCACGGCTGAATGTTAGCATCGCTCGTCACATAGTTGAGGGCGTCCATTGTTTCTAAGGGGGGTTTCTTTTTTCCTTTTTGATCCGTTCTCTCGTGCCAGAAAAAAAGAAGAAGAAGAAGAGAAAGTGGCGGCAGTCGCAAGCGTTTGCGCTTCTCCACTGCAGCGGAAGAAAGGGAATACGAGGGTCCAACGGAGTTGTACACAAATTCTTGGACCAATGAGAAGCGAAATGCGCAGAGACGAGGAAGGGTGAGGGGAGGGGGTTGACCGCGTTGAGTCGAGCAACAACAACAATAAAGAGAGAGAGAACAGAGTAGAGAGGTTAAGAGAGCACGGAGGCGAAAGTGGAACTTCAAAAAAAAGACAGCGTCAGAGTTCCTTTCCTCGTGGTACGTACTTGAGTGACCCACTGCCCTTCCCTCGACTGACGGCATAGACACGAACGACTTCATTACCTTGGTGCTCAATCAACGCAGCGCACACAATTGAAAAGAAGAAGGGTTTTCCTGCACCCGCTCGAGTTGCGCTGCCGTATAATTCAGACACTTTCACACCTCCTCCTTGTCGATTGTAACGGGGAAGTGCAAAGAGCTGAAACCGTAAAAGACGTTCATTTCTCTGTTGTTAATTTCCTCGGTCTCTCTTTTTTCCTTTTTTTTTAACGCCGCCTCTGCTACTTACTCGTGGATTAGTCGAAGCAGGCGAGCAGGAAAGGAGAAGTACAAAAAGACGAGGAGAAGCGCACACACTGACTGTGAGTATACCACCAAGCAACGGAGGCGAGTGAGCAGTACACACATTTTAATAACGCTAGTCGTTCATTAGGTTCCCGCCCTTAATGTGCCACAACCGACCACCGGCCTTGAACTCTGCTACCTCCGCCACGACTCGCTGCACCACCGCCTCCGGTGCAGAAGAGCCAGACGCGCCACCTTTGTTCGCGCGCGCGGTGGCGGCCGTCTCCGGTGGAGAGGTGAGGCCGCGCTCACGGATGGCGTCTTCCAGTCGCCTCATGAGCACACTCAGCTCAAATTGCCGCAGCTCCAGCACGATAGCGAGAATCGTCGGTCGGTAGTAGTCTGCAAGCGGCTCCCCAACAGACTTGAGCACCCACGTCGCGTCAGTGAACTTGTCAAGCGACTGCTGAAGCGCCATGCTGAGCATCGCCTTACTAGCGTGTGGGTACCGCGACTCTTGTGCACGCATTACCAAATCCTTCACCCGTTGTTTGTTGATCACGCCGTACTCAGCAAACAGTTCGCGGATGTAATTGCGAATCGGCGCGATATCGGCGTCCTTGAACGTCATGCTTGCCCCGCTCGCGTTCGGAGAGCTGAAAGGAGCCGCACAAGCGCTGGTGCCAGGCAACCCGCCCATGCCAGAGCTCACCGGAGAACTCGCAGACGACAGTCCGCCTCCGCCCACGTACAGCGACGCGGCAGTTGAAGCCAGGCTGCCCGTTGGCGGAGCACTTCCCCGTGCGAGCAGAAAAAGTTGGAGCGGTGGGCGGTTCGCGTTGATGTACGGCAGGTGCGTTGCCACCTGCGCGCAGCGCCGCTTCCACGCCTCGTGCTGACTCGCTTCCTCCGCAGCAAAAACGCTCTTGAAGGCGCGGATGGCGGCGTCCCGTGTGACGGGGTTCGCTGACACGTACTTCAGTCGCCAGCGCCGCTTGGTCGGGTCGCTCTCTTCTGCGTTAAGGACAGCGACGGTTCGCAAAATGTCCTTAATGGAGCGCCGAGAAGTAGACGACGAGACGAGCGCGTTCAGCTCTGCGCGGGTCACACTGCCGTCCGGGCTTTGATAAAAGCGCGTCAAAACTACCTCCCGCAGCGCCGCAACCGAGCCACGGAACTGATCACAAAAGCGACTAACCCACACGCCATGCATCCACACAGCACACGTCTTGAGCGCCTCCACCAACTGCGTGTCCGGCACAGTCGCCATTGCCTTCACTACATCGTTCGACGTGTGGGGCACAATGACGGTTTGTAGCAAAGGAAGTGTGATAATATGGCACCGCTGCAGAAGTTGCATTGTCTGTTCCACCACCGAAGTGCGATGGGCGAACCTTTGGATTACCATCGACGGGTTTGACTCGTCGCCGCCACTGATGCCACCGGATTGAAGAATTTCTGGAGGAAAAAGGCTGTTCTCAACCCTGCCTTGCTCGGCTGTGCCCTTGACGCCGCCAATCACCGACTCTAAAGTGGGGGAGCGCAGCCGGGACCGCATCGCAGAGCTTTCAACTGAATTAGCGCGAAATACTTGTACCTCGCGCTCGCTATCAGCTTCTTTATTTAGAACATAACTCCGTTGACGCTGAAGCTCCCGCTGGATCCGCTCTGCTGCGGCAAATCCAGGGGTGGCGCTTGAATTGGGCTGACTGCAAAACGACTCCGCCACACGCACAGCACCGGTAGATGCGCTCGGAATGTCCAGCGCGGGAGTGAAGTGCTGAATGGTTGACACCGGCGTCAGATGAATTCCCTCCGCTGTGATATACCCCAGCATGTAATTCGATTGTGTCTGAAACGGCTGGGAGTGTAAGGTGTAACTGTAAGTGTTGAGGCGCTGGACGTCCATTTGACTCATAAAATCGCTGCTGGCTTCTTGAGAAGGCTTAAATGAGGGTGATCCAAAGGTATCCAAGGAGCATTTCATTGTCAAGCGCGACCCTGCGCTGAACACGGAATGATCCTTACTGCTCGCAGGAGAAGCTTCGCCGCCGTCGTGGGCAGAGACGTTGGTGCTGAAAAGCCTCACCTCTGTTGCTTCGTACGGACGCTGCTTACGACGCAGGGGATACTGAAAAATGTGCGCTTGGTGTGTAAGCGATGGAGAGAAGTAAACATTAAACGAGGCGACAACCTCGTCATCCGCGGGTGCAGTGGGGCGGGAGCCGAACTTCATAGCTGTGATCGCTAGTGCAGCGAAGAAGAACGATGTTTTACCTGCAACAAGAATGCAGCCAGGTCAAAAAAAGAAGAAAAAAGCCGTACGGAACTAATTTGAAACAACCAAAGAAACAAACAAACAAAAAAGAGCAGATGTAAGGAAAGGGAAATTTGTGTTGAAGGTACGGAAGCCAATAAGCAGTCGATCATTGCTGTTCGAAATGTTGCTCTTTCAGGTGTGTTAACGCACTCAACAGAAGCGCACTGAATAATGCAAAAAAAAAAAGGCTAGTCTTATACAGACACCAAATAAATGTTGCGGTTTTAAACAGTGGGCCTTCGATCAGCTCGCACTAAAAAAACCTTTGTCTGCAGATATTGTTGCCTGTATCGCTAGGGGAAAGGAAACGAGATTTGTACGCACTGAAAAAAGTTTATGCATTAAAGCAAGACTTTCTGTTCAAAACTGTACCCGCCGGAATTCATCTATAAACAACAACATCAAAAATAGCTATCTATTTTTTTCCTTTGCAATCGACAACTGAAAAGTAAAAGCACAGTTTGTTTGTCTTTTCCTAGCAACATCGCCTTTTCTCTCACAAGAAAATGAAAATCGTATAGCGCATGAGGAGTGAACGCAACCTCCATTCCTTCTTTTCATCTTATATAAAATACTCGCCCCCCAAAAAAGAGCAGCTCGTTCACTCGAATCATACGTATTTATACCAAAGAGAAGAGCAGTAATAAACGACTGCTTATTCATTTTTGCTGTTGTTCTCCCGTTCCATTACACTAATGTATAACACATTCCCATCTTCATGCTCCATCAGTCGCAAGCTTCACGGTACTGCAAACCAAAATGACTAGCTTACGCATCAAAAAAGAAAAAAAAAAGACAGCAGCCTGATAGCACAACAAAAACGCCTTTTGGTTCTTTCAGTTTCATTTTCTGTTTTTGTGGCTTCATGTGTGCTGGTAAACGAGAAGAAGTCGCTTCCTTTCCGCCTTTTATTTTTCGAAACTGCAGCTTTCTGGTATAGAAACCGCTCCTTCGTTTGGTCAAAAGAAAAAGTGCAAAAAAAAAAATAAGCATTCCTTTTGTAAGAACAAACAAGCATACAAGGGAAAGAGTCAACGTAAATGTAAAAATAAAGCATGCAGTAGGGTACGGATCTCCCTTTCTTTTTCTCTCCCGGTCTTAATCATGCTTTGACTGGCCGTAAATTTTCTTCACAAAAAACGACGCTGAGAAGTAACCCACTGTTCCTCCGAGGATGGCTAAAAAGAGCGAGAACATGACACAGTAGGACACGTATACAACCCACATGTAAAGCCCATGCATAGTAGTGGAGAACAGGTAGAAAATCCCTGCGTATGCCGAGGCGTAAAGCGAGCATGAAGCTCCAAAACCTATCGACATCCACTGCCAGTGATGGTTTTCGGTGGTCAGGAGAAGAAAAGTAGCAGCAACTGATACACAGGCTGTCACGGCAACATAAAGAACTGTGGTGGTCACCAAAAAACCGTACAAATGAAAAAATTTGTACGACCAAAGCGAGTGGAACACAAACGAGAATTCCACAAAAATAGACATGAAAGGAAGTGCACCGCTAGCCAGCAAAAGAATGTGCGGTGCCAACAATTTACGTGGCGGCCGTGGTATAAGACGCGGAATCTGATTTACATGCGGAATGTTTCGTCTTCTTTCGGTGCGGCGAAAGATGTAGCGACTACACAAGACGCCAGCTAGGCACAGCGGATACGCAATGAATCCCTCTAAAAAAAGCACAATTATGATGCCTTTCAGGTACGGAAGTTGGGCTGATTGGTAAAGAATGGCGACCAAAGATGACGGCACGAACGCGACCGCGTAGGTCAACGGCGCAATCATGAACGTTACGTGAAATGCGCGAATCCACTTGGACGCCATCGGTGGAGCCAACAACCCACAACCCATAAATTGGTAGCCGGACACGTATCCAGCGATACCCGACGTGAAAGCATATCCTAAAACGGTGTACGTGACCAAGTTACGATTCATTGAAATTCGGTAATTAGTCACGACTGACAACATAATAGCAAGTGATGCAAGCACTAATAGCTGGGAGCCGCATCCCAAAATGCCGCAAAAAATGCTGGTGTGTTTAGGGACACGAAAGACATCGGCGTAGAGGCACCGCCACCCTGATTCGTCAATGATATCGTGCCCATCATAACCCAACTGGGCCTCTTGCTCCATTTTGGCTAAGTCGGAGCGTAAAGCGCGGGTGATGACAAGCATGATAACGCACAGCAAAAAGAAAATGATTAGTACAGAATTGATTACCGAGACTATCCGGGTGCGGGAGCTAGCGTGGCGAGTTCCAAAGACGGTGGAGAATCGATTGGCATATTCAACGGAGGAAGACTCAAAAATAACAGAGTACGTGAACTCGTATACGACTCTCGGCTCAAGTTTCACCGGGTTTCCAGTTCGGAGTGTAACATTTACGATTTGATCCTTGTTAACGCCAATGTAGAAAGTGCGGTGCAAATCAATGTAATACTCTGATCGATCCATGTCCCAACTCCCAATGGATCCCCAAACCGGCATGTCGTCAACTGTGAGTTCGTACTCGAATCTTTTCTTGATGTAGCTTCTCAACACCTCAACATCCTCTTCAGTGGCTTTGTATTTACACAAAACGGAAGACGCGACGTTGTTGTTAAAATGGATGTTAGTTTGAAGTATGTAGCTGTTATCGCCCGCTAAAAGTTCGCCCACGGTAAGCGCTTGATCGACCGTTAATAACGGACATCCAGGTGCATCGATGTAGCGGTAAGTCTCATACGGGTTACCACTTGGGTTCATTTTGCCAGCAAAAACAAGTACGTCATCGTTATACTCAAATGTGCGAACCCCTCGGCCGGTGACAAGGGCGCATAGCCATACAGCCATTACCACAAGCGTGAAAAGACAGCGAATTCGCCTCATTGTGATAAAATTGATCGATGTATGAATATATATGTATATATTTAAAATCCAGAGAACGTACGTGTGTATACTTCTGATGTCCGAAAGTTGCGAAAAATTCTCTTCCAACTGAGGTCTTTTGATTTGTTTGCTGTTGACTGCAGAAACTCTAATGTGAACTTTTTACTGTTTAAAAGCTTCTTTTATTTTTGTCGATAGGGATGTTTTTTTCTTCTCAATTAGACAAGCAAATTTCAGAAGGCAGAGAAATGTAAGTGAGCTGTCCCGGGAAGAGAATCTCCTTGAAAGCAAAATACGAAGCACGCGTAAATGCACTGGTGCATTTCTCACTGAGCCCTTTTGCGGTTGCCCCAGCATCTAAGTTGAATTCATAAACGGAGTTTTATTATTTCAGCAGTGGTGCCTTTTATCGCAGTAGTCGGCAGATTTGGGAGTTGCAGTTACATTTTCACCCTTCACGGTAGAAGGATTTGTACATTCGCACCGCCTTACAATTAGTGTCGCAAACAGTGTTTGCGTTGTGCGCGCGCATTGTGGAAGGATGCTCGCGAGGAAACTGCGTGGTTGCCGTGTGTCCGAATCGGGGCCGCTTCGGTTGGGGGGGGGG